CTGAGCCAAACCGGCCAGGGCAAGACAACATTCTAACCATTAGAATGTCAGCCCAAGGACCAGAGTTGCAGATTTGATCCCCAGCCCCAGTTGGGGTTGTGCTGGAGGCAACCAATCGATGTGTCTCACATCTGTGTTTCTCTCCCCTCCTCAAAACTGCTTTAGGAGGACTACATTTCACTTTAGCCTTTGAAAATTTAGTGTCCAAGTTGAGATGCACTGCTAGTGTAAACCACCAGTAGCAGAGATCTAGTACCCCCAAAAAAGGAATATAGGATAATTCATTAATTTTTTATGAGTACATATATTTAATATACCGAGTTATATTGGTATTTAATATATTGAGTTAAGTAAAATATATTTAAATTGTCTTTTTAAATTTCTTTATTTTTAAATGTTTTTATTGATTTTTTTTTTTTTAGGGAGAGAGAGTTAGAAACATCAGTGTGAGAGAAAAACATCAATTGGCTGCCTCCTGCATGCCCCCTACTGGGAATCGAGCCTGCAACCCGGCCATGTTTGAACCAGGACCTCTCAGTGCATGGTACAACGCCCAATCCACTGAGCCACACCAGCCAGGCTGAATACACACTCATCAGTCCACCGATAGCCAGTTCAATATTTCTGAACATCCTCACCCTCTATCTGGGTCAGGGGTTCTGACATTCTCCCAAGTTGGCCTACTTCCCTGAGGCACCTCCTGCTTCTACTCTGTACCAACCTCTGGGCTATGGCCTCCTCCCAGACCACCATTCCAAAGCTGTAATTCTGATTCATGACAAAAAGCTGGGTGGATCACACTTAAGTCAAAGGTTTGGGAATAGCACAATGAGCAAAGAACCTTTTGTTGACTAACATTGTTCACAGAAACCTGCTTATTAAGCCAACAGGACATTTTTTTTTTTTTATCCTCACCCGAGGACATTTATTTTTTGTTCAGATAGAGTAGGAGAGGGAGAGAGAGAGAAACATCGACGTGAATGGGACACATCGAGTGGCTGCCACCCGCACAACCCAACCAGGGCCGGGGACAAACTGCAACCAAGGTACGTGCCCTTAGCGGGAACCGAACCCGGGTCTCTCTGGACCGCAGGCCGATGCTCTAACCACTGAGCCAAACCGGCCAGGGCCAACAGGACATTTTTTACAGACCTCTTCCTCTTTCCTGGGTTTTCCAAACTAAAAATTCTTTCACATTGTTACTCAGAATGTGTGGCTTTCTCTTTCTCTGTCTTTCCTTTCCCATACCCCACCCTGCTCTGTGCACGAGAAATAAGCCCTTGAAGTGTTGTTTGTTTGTTTTTTAATGTTTTTATTGATTTTTTTTTTTCTTTTTGATAGAGAGGAAAGGAGAGGGAGAGAGAGAAATCTATCAGCTGCCTCCTGCACACCCCATACTGGAGATCTAGCCCACAACCTGGGTGTATGTCCTGACTGGGAATTGACCTGGCAACCTCTTGGTGCATGAGTCAATGCTCAACCCACTGAGTCACACCAGCTGGGCTCTCCAAGTGTTTTTTTTTTTAATAAAAGAACCCTTCCTTGTCTGGTTGGATTTGAGTTCAATTCAGACATTTTAAATTGACTAAAATTATCTCTAACCCAACTGTGGAACTTTTTTTTCCCCAGGTATTCTTACCATTGCCATCTAGGCCAGCAGTTCAATTAACTTTTCCTAAACACATCTTAAATGCTTATCATGCAAGGTAAGAGGTAAAAGTGCCTCTAATTGCTGCCCCCTGTCACACTCCCAATGTTAGGTATTATTTTTTTTTATGTTGTTTTGTTTTGTTTTGGTACATGCCCCTAGTGGGAACCTAACTCGGGACTCTCTGGTCCACAGGCCGACGCTCCAACCACTGAGCCAAACCAGCCAGGTCATTTTTTTTTTTTTTAACTTTTATAAGAGTTTATTTGAGCCAAACTGATGACATGCCAGGGAGCAAGATCTCAAATGCTCCCCAATGTTAGGTATTATTGATAATTTTTTATCTTTCTCCCTTTTTGGTATAGCCAATGTTCCTTTCACTAATGTTTTACAGAAAAAAACATTCATACCCATATAATTTTGCCACCTGGATTTTTTCTTTTAGAGCTCTTTCCACATCCGCATATAGGGATATACTTCCATTTTTTAAACATATCCTATTATATATCAGAGTTTAGTTAGATTTCGTTGTTTGGGCATACAATGCTACAGTGGCATCCTCCATGTTTTTATTGTTTTTAAGATTTAAAAAAATTGATTATGCCCAGGCCGGTTTGTCTCAGCAGTTAGAGCTTTGGCTTGTGGACCGGAGAGTCCCAGGTTCGGCTCCCACACTAAAGGCACGTACCTCGGTTGCAGTTTGTCCCCGGCACTGGTTGGGGTCGTGTGGGTGTACACGATACAACTAGTCGATGTATCTCTCTCACGTTGATGTTTCTCTGTCTCTCTTCCTCTCTCCTTGCTCTATCTGAAGATAAATGCAAAAATGTCCTCGGATGAGGATAAAAAATTAAATAAATAGATTATTAGAGAGAGGAAGGAAGAAACATCAATATGAGGGCAAAACATCAATTGACTACCTCCTGCATGCCACCTGCTGGTGATCGAGTCCCCAACCCCAGCATGTGCCCTGACCAGGAATCAAACCAGCAACCTTTGAGTGTACAAGTGGACACCTAACCAACTGAACTACACTGGCCAGGGCTCCATATTTGTTTTTGTTGTTTTGGGGTTTTTTGTTTGTTTTTGGTTAATCCTTACTAGAGGATATTATTTCTATTGATTTTTTTTTTTTTTTTTTTTTTTTTTAGGAGAGAGACTAAGAGTGAGGGAGGGAGAAACATCCATGTGAGAGAGACATCAATTGTTTGCCTCCTACATGACCCCAGCTGGGGCTGGGGATCAACCGCAAAACCCAGGTACATGCCCTTGACTGGAATCAAACCTGAGATACTTTGATCAGTGGCCGATGCTCTAACTGCTGAGCCAAACCAGCCAGGGCTCCGTGTTTGTTTTAATTCCAGTAGCAGTGACTTCAAGTTTTAATGGAGCCTCCCAAGTTATACTCCTACTAAATCAATTAGAGAATTTAGTATTATTACTCTCTTCCCTGCTACAAATCTTCAAGGGGCAATGCAAAAGAAAGAACTTGGGTTCTACTGTTACCTGAAAGGGGACCTGGCCCTGAGCCTAGATCCAACTGGTAGTGTGTGGGTTCCTGACTTCGTGCAGGAAAAGTATCACAACAGGAGTCCAGGTGAAATTTAGAGGACGTATATTAAAGCTGGGGACAATTAAACAAAGAAGGGCTGGGGAAATGAGCCAAAGCTGGTCTCCTTTGGCTCACAAAGAAGTTAAAGTGTTCCTTGGAGACATGCTCAGGGGGTTCTCGAGGGATGAACTACTTTCCATTGCTGCCCTGATTGCAAGCCTCCTGGGGTCCCCTAGGCAGCGGTTCTCAACCTGTGGGTCAAGAACCCTTTGGGGGTCAAACGACCCTTTCACAGGGGTTGCCTAAGACATAACACTAGCAAAATTACAGTTATGAAGTAGCAACGAAAATAATTTTATGGTTGGGGGTCACCACAACATGAGGAACTGTGTTAAAGGGTAGCGACATTAGGAAGGTTGAGAAACACTGCTGGAGTTTATGAATTGCATGCCTTGAGGGAAAGGAGGGGGAGGTGCAGGTGTTTAGGGGAGGATCTCAATAGAATATCAGCTTTATGTCCAAGGGTGTGGTTGGCAAATGTCACTAATTGGATTTCTGCTATCTGTCTCCCTGAGTAGGGGTGATTTAAGCTATTTACCCTCTGGTTGGGGAGAAGTGGAAACCATTTATTCTTCCCTGGCTGAGGGAAGATAAGATATACTAGATGGCTGCAAACTACTTGGTATGTAGATTTTCTAGATGGCTGCAAACAGCTGTTTTAACTGTCTCAGTTTCCCTATTCTGCTTGTCCTTGCTTATTGGCCTTACTACCAGTAGGACCACAAGACCTACCTCTCTGGGCCTCATTTATTCACCTGTAAAATGAGGTATGAGTTTATGTCTCAAGTTGGTTGTGAGAATAGCTTCCCTAAAGGCTTGGATCCAGAATAGACCTGGTTGCCTTTTAGTTTTAGAGTGCCTCAGGGCAGAGGCCAAAAGCTCAGGCTGAACAGGTTAGAGGAGCCTCTCCCCAGACTTGTAGAAACTGAGGCACAAAGAGCACTAGAGGTTTGGTCTAGACCATACAGAGTTGGCGGCCAAGCTAGCCCTGGTTGGAGTCTGAGCTGCAGCTCACGACCTCTGCCCCAGGCCCCGTTTGTGGAAGAAGGGGGGTGAGGGTTGTGTGTTTGTGTGTGTGTGGAGAGGAACTCCAATCTGGAAGTGGTCAGCCGAGAGGCCCGCACTAGCTCCTCCCACTTCTGCCTATTCCTCGTCCCAGCTCCACCAAATACCAACACTGGAACTTGGGCACATTCCTCACTCGCTCTGAGTTCCACCTGAGCCCCAGGAGCAGCTGGGTGGGCGAGGAGTCATTCATAAATAACTAGAGGCACCTGCAGACGGCTTCAATCTCGGCCCCAACCGTGGGGTGGAAGGGCTCACACGGGCCGTGGGGCTCCGGGACTTCGTATCCTCTCTCCCTCCAGGGCCTCAGACGATGCACCCTCGGAACTCGCTTTTTGCTCCTATTGAATGTGAGTGGGACGTGCGTGTAGACAGCAGAGGGAGATTGTATAACCATATCACATGTGTGTTGAATGGTGTACACATCCTTGTTTAGACTTGTGAAATGTATGCTCGGCAGAGTGCAGATGTAGGGTTCACGGAGTACGAGGCTTCCGGTTCTAGCCTTCCGGTTAGTAACGCCAGGCCTCCTTCAGCGTTCGCCCGGACGGTCGCAGCCTCCTGATCCAGGGTTTGCGCGTGCGCTGACTCCGCCTTAGGCTCCTCCCCCGCGATTGAGTCCCGCCTGCGCCCCGCCCTCGCCACACTTTACGGCCCGGCACGCCACTTTTGCTTCGAGACGCTGCCGCTGCCGCTGCCCCCGCAGCTTCTACTACCGCGACTGCTGCAGGTGAGGTGAGGTGTGATGTTGGGCAGGTGCCGCCGGCGACCGGGAAGGAGTTGGGGAGCAGGACCGCCGAAGGGCGACGGGACGACGGGTCAGCTGCTGTTTTGTCTTCTCAGCTCCGGTCTCGTCTGCGCTGCCGCAGGGAGGCCGCCCCGGCGAGCCGAACCAATGCTGGATCTGGAGGTGGTGCCCGAGCGTTCGCTGGGGAACGAGCAATGGGAATTCACACTGGGTAAGTGTGGAGTCCTCCCTCGCTACCCTGTTCTCTGGTTCTTACTTCCCAGCGGGCTCTTTCCGCCTCTGATTTCTGCCCCGTACTCCCCTGCGCCTCGGCTCGTCGCCTCTTCCGTCCTATTGCTTTTGGAGCTCCAGGTACTAGATACCCGCTCCAACCGGCCCGACCCGCCAGTCTTTCGCTCAGCTGGGCCCGGACGCCCTCGCCTCAGGCCTTAACAGGGCCCCTCCCGGGGCAGTGGTACAGTAGTAATAATAATAACAATGACTGACACGCCCCAAACACTCGAGGCCAAGTTCTGGTGCGTAATTATCTCTTGTTCACCTTCTTGGGGTCGAAGGGTCGATACTATCGTTATTCCTATTAACATTTTACTGATGTAAAAGCTGAGAAAAGACTGACACTCCTAAACGTCACAAGTCCGTCTCCCTTAGCTTTTCTGGGCCATGGGTTGCCTCTTCGGAAGGAGAAAGCTAGGCCCCCAACGCATAATCATATGTTGGGGGTCTGGTCAAAGGAGTTGAGGATAGTCTTGTGTGTGTTAAAAGAATTTCTGACTTGTTTTCTTCTTGTTTTTAATGTGGTCGATGTGGCGTAATCCTAAACCCATACTTTAGCTGAGAATGAAACAGGAGTTCAGGGAAACTAACATTAAGTTTGTAGAAAATTCAATTTGGTAATTTTATGGTTTGGGGTTTATTTTTTGGTCCAGTTTTCCTCATCCCTCAATGTCACTACCCTTATGTGTACAAGTATTTGCATTCAGTAACCCCAGTGTGTGTTTACTTTGATGTTCCGGCACTAGGAAAAGGGAGGTGGGGAGCAGGTAGGTGTTGGTTTTGTTTGTGTAGGCCTGAACTTTTGTCATACTAATATGGGCTACTGGACTGACACAGCTGCCCTATTGGACTGTAACTAATCCTTGAGTCTGGAAGACTCATATCTATGAAGACAGGGTAGGTGAGAAACAGCGGGTGACAGATTATAGGGCCCTGCTGGTGCTCACCTCTGGGTTGTAGGAGCCAGGTTTTTTTTGTTTTTTTTTTTTTAATCCTCATCCAAGGATATTTTTCCATTTATCTTCAGGCAGAGTAGGAGGGAGGGAGAGAAAGAAACATCAATGTGACAGAGACACATCGACTGGTTGCCTCCCACATGACCTGAACAGGGCCAGCGAGGAACCGCAACTGAGCTATGTGCTCTTGACCAGAACGAACCCACCACTCATTGGACTGTGGGCCCATGCTCTAACCACTTAGCAAACCAGCCAGGGCAGAGCCAGCTTTATAGAAAAGACTTGGCCAAATTCTCTCATAACACCACTCCTGCAAAGTTCTTCCCAAAATTTTAGCTGGTATCAAGCAACAAGAGCTTTTTTGGGAGGTTAGGGATATCTTTGCCTCTAGACCCATTCATCATGCTGGTGCTATTTGGCTTCTAGTTAGGGAAGAACCTCCTCATCCACAGCTTCTGCTCACACCAAGATTTAAAAGGCCAGAGTGAGCCCTGGCCAGTTTGGCTCAGCGGTTGGAGCGTCAGCTTGTGGTCCAGAGAGACCCGGGTTCAGTTCCCGCTAAGGGCACGAACTTCGGTTGCAGTTTGTCCCCGGCCCCGGTTGGTCATGCAGGTGGCAGCCACTTGATGTGTCCCTTTCACATCGATGTTTCTCTCTCTCTCTCTTCCTCTCCCTCCCTCCCACTCTATCTGAACAAAAAATGGAAAAATGTCCTCGGATGAGGATAAAAAAATAAATAAATAAAAGGCCAGAGTGAGAACCACAACCATAGCTTCGAATTGTGCTTGCTGTGGCAACTAAGTTGTGGATCTCTGTGAGTCTTCTTGGCCAAAAGTAGTGATTGGGGTGTCAGTTGAGATCAGGGTTTTCAAAAATCTTAGGTGGGAGAGCAAGGCTTCTGTCAACTTTTGTTTTAATACCATAACTCTCCCACTTCTAACTTTTGCCAGTTTGCAGGAGTCAAGGGTGGTTTGGGTAGTTATTTCAAATTGTCTAAATAGCAACTGAAAACAGTGAAAAAAGTTATTTTTCCCTCTTAATCTTCACCACAGCCCTCACACATAGCAACTGCAATTGGGACTGATAGGTAGGACTGGGTCTAATTAATTCAAGTCACCACAACACTGTAAAGTAATCTTCATTTGCCAGGTGAAGCTTAGAAAGGTAGAGATGATAAAAAGTAGCAGACCAGGATTTCTTGCTTCCCACTGCTCTACCCCTATGAGGATGGGCTCAGCTTTGTCTCTAGGTTTCTTTTTGGAAAATTGCTATTGCAAATGTATCTAGAGCTTACCATCATCTGCCTGGCATCATAATAGGGAACTGCATCCAACTTCTTGGCTACTTGCCTGGCCTTTATTTTATGTTGGGAGATTAGAGAAATGCCAACAATACAGGGACAGGAAAACCTAGGCCAAGAGGAATCTCTAAGAATGCCACTAATGACTTGATCAGTGGTGGAATAAAGGCAGTGCAAAATTGAAATGTTTTCCATGAGATTTTCAAATGCATTGGTGTGGAGGCATGTCTGAATTTCTTTGTTTTAATCCTCACCTGAGGATATTTTTCCATTGATTTTTAGATAGAGTGGGAGGGAGGGAGAGAGAGAAAGAAAGAAACTTTGATTGGTGTCTGACCATCCCAGTCCCCTATCTGGTCCCGTGGGTTGTGTGTCGTCGTCATTCCCCCCTCCCGCCCCCCATGGGGCTGGGATCAAGCCTGCAACCCCAGGTACATGCCCTTGACCTGGAATCAAGCCTCTGACCATTCTGTCCTTGGGCAGAATGCTCTAACCGCTGAGCCAAACCGACCAGGGCTGAATTTGTTTTTTAAATAAGTGTTGAAGCCCTGGTAGGGTAGTTCAGTTGGTTAGTGTTGTCCCCACATGCCAAGTTTGCTGGCTTGATCCCCAGTTAAGGCACATACAAGAGGCAACCAATGAATGCATAAATAAATGGAACAAAAAAAAAAATCGGTATTTTCTCTCTCTCTTTTCCTTCCTCTTTATCTCTCAAACCAATATGAAAATAAATTAGAGTTGAAATACCCAAAGAGGGTAGATTTAAAGGGTCACTGGAGAATAGCCTCTTCTCTGAGATTACCTTGTCCCAGAGAGACTGAAAGCTCACTTTGTTGAAGACAGCATGTACCTCTGTGGACTCTACTTACAAACATGGAAAACTGAGTAAGAATGGTCACATGCCCTAAAGAGGTTAGTCTAATGGAAAGGAAGGATTACAGAAATAGTGTGATTTATTGTAATGAGGTGAAGGTTGTATAGGTGCTATGGAAAGGAGAGGAGAAGGGACTTGACCTAGGGGGTTTGGGGAAGGCTTCTATCATCCTATAGGAACCAGTACCATTCCTGGAGCTGGTGAACACCAGGAAGGCCCTATGAGATTGTTACTGCCAGATTTCTCAGCAAAACTCTTCATACATATAAATCTTCCAGTCAAATTGAAACAAAATAATGGGAAAGATAGATGGTTTGTAGGGAACTATAAAAATTGGGTATTAAAATTAGAGCGTGATATACTGCTGCAAGAAGAAAATAGTTTCCCTAGATTTCCAATTGTCTTTAGTAGTAGCTGCCTGGGACACTATCAAGGAGTCTCTGGGTTCACTGGAAAAGGGAATATCTGTAGTAAAGTGTGTTATGGGAATGGGTGTAGGAAGAAAGTTTGGAGATTAGATTTGGAGAGATGGGCATGGAAGAGGAATCTAGAGGTTTCTGGCTTGAGTGACTGGGATAGTTGTTAGAGGTCAGAATACAGAGAAGAAACCAGATTGCAGAGAGTGGTGAATAACACATTTTGTTCTTGTACTCGTAAAGCTATAAGTCTGTTTTTGGATTGTCTGAGACTTTGTTTTCTATTGTCTCTCTGTACATGTCTTCTTGTTTGAAACATAATGGACTTTGAAAACATACCTTTTGGTGTTCCCTGAAACTTTTCAGAGGCTACTGGGATTTGGATTTCTTTAAATAGGGGGCATATATAAATCTATTTATAATGAGCCATAAGTTCAAAAATCAAGTGTTAAGATTTAGAGGATATTAGTGAGTAGATTGTAAGGGTCCAATAAAAATCCTCAGTAAAATAAGTTGATTCTGATAGATGTGTGATTTTTAACTCTTTAAATTTTTTTAAAATATGTTTTTATTGATTTTATTAGAGGGAAAGAGAGAGATCAACGATGTGAGAGAGAAACATTGATCAGCTGCCTCCTGCACAACCCCCACTGGGGATCAAGCCCACAACCCGGGTATGTGCCCTGACTGGGAATCAAACAGGGACCTCTCAGTCCATAGGATGACGCTCAATCCACTGAGCCACACTGGCCAGGTGATTTTTTTCTTTTTCTTTTTTTTCCTTCCCTTTATTGATTTTACAGAGAGAAGAAATGAGAGGGGGAGAGAGAGAGAAAAACATTGATGAGACAGAACATTGATTGGCCGCCTCCAGCATGCCCCCTACCAGGGATCAGGCCCACAACCTGGGCATGTGTCCTGAGTGGGAATCGAACCGGCGACCTCTTGGTGCATGGGTCGGTGCTCAACCACTGAGCCACACTGGCCGGACTGGCCAGGCGATTTTTAACTCTTTTTAATTAACCCTTACAAGTCATGTGTTCTTGCAGATTCTCTTTTGAGAGATGAGGAGACAGATGCCACAGAGGAAGAGAGGAAGAGACTGCCCAGGAATTTATGTAGTCTAATGCAGGTTGAGAAACAGAACGTTGATCTCCAGAGTCATGCAGTCAGTGCTTTCTCACTCTGTTTTTTGATTCATGCTGACTTTGCCTTCTCAGAGCTCTTAGCCTGCTTGGGATCAGCATAAAAGTTTCTATCTTTTTGTATATTAACTCCTTCCCCTTATACAATTCAGCTGTTTTCTTAGTGCTTTCTGCTAACTTTATTCCAGCTCATGTTGCTTATTGAACTTTGATTTACACATATCTATAGACCTTAGTGAACCCCCCACCCTCACTCCCACCCCAGACTTGACTACAGGGACTAATACCTAGCACAGTGGTAGATGTCAGTAAGTGGACAGGTCAACTAACCCACCCTGGTGTCCTTGCTTGATTTCAGGAATGCCTCTGGCTCAGGCAGTAACCATTCTTCAGAAGCACTGTCGCATCATCAAAAATGTCCAGGTTCTCTACAGTGAACAGGTGAGTGGTGGCTGATTTGTTGACTGAAACAGCATCCCTAATCAGTGAGTCATCTCCAGAGGTTGATGATCTGGGAGAGACTGACTAGCAGGGATTATTGGGTTAGTGTATTCAAATGGGAGAATCTTCAGCACTGGTCAGTTAGTTACCAAGCACTTTTGTTGTTTTTATTCTGAAATTTTTAGTCTTGATAATCTGGTGCTGCCAGATTTTGAGGAGCAGTAATAACTGAACTTGTTTTTTTATTGTGCTTGACTTACATTCTGGCCCTGGAACAGGGCCTTTTCTGTGTGAGGTCACCTCAGGGACTATCTGGTCTTCTAGGGCACTTGTTTTCCATTTTTGAGTTTAAAATACTCTCTTTTGCTTTGTTGGTTACTTGGGTTTGTGTTCAGGGTTATTGTAGTGCAGATTTCTTCCTACCAGAGCATCCCAGACTTGAAGGGATTATGCCTTACCCCTTTAGTGAGAATGATCCAATACATGGAAATTGCTAAATATTGGCTTTCAATTAATGGACATATTTTATTTTTTGTCCAGTTTATGGTAGTCTCTATTAAATGTTGGTCAGCTGTACCAGGAATTAACCCCTATAGTATAAATGTTGCATGTATCTACGAAGACCTTTCCAGTTTCCAGAAAGAGTGTAGTATTTTAGGTTAGCACCAGAGAAGAACTTCCTGCCCTGGTCATTTTTGCTCAGCGGTTAGTGTCAGAGTTGAGCCTGTTACCTATACCCAGAAATTACATTCATACTGTACCCCTCTGCATCGTCGAGCAAGTGCTTAGCTATTCTTGTGGTACCACAGAACAAGGGACTTATAGGAGTGGGCAGGGGCTTCTTGAGCAACAGAGCCAAAGTGACCTGGCATTTATAAAGTGAACGATGGTAGCTTTCCTTCTTTGTTGCATTCAGATCATTTGTAACCTAATCTGACTTTCAGGATTAGACCATGAGGAAATTACTCATGACAAGTAGCAGCCTTCAAAACAGGAAGCAGCTCAAGAAAATTGGCTTGCGCCCTGGCCAGTTTGGCTCAACGGTTGGAGCGTTGGCCTGCGGACTGGAGAGTCCCTGGTTCGGTTCCCGCTAGGGGCACATACCAAAAAAAAATTCTTTTTTGCCCTGGCCAGTTTGGCTCAGCGGTTAGAGCATCAGCCTGCGGACCAGAGAGTCCCCAGTTCGGTTCCCACTAAGGGCATGTACCTCAGTTGCAGTTTGTCTTCGGCCCCAGTTTAGGTCGTGTGGGTGGCAGCCACTCCATCATGTGTCTCTCTCACATTGATGTTTCTCTCTCTCTTTTCCTCCCTCTCTCCTTCCCACTCTATCTGAAGATAAATGAAAGAAGAAAAGAAAATTGGCTTGCTTCTTGAGCTTATAGTAACTTATAGATTCAGTTAGATTAGCTTTGGGCCCCCCAAGATTGGATGCATTTGAAAATAGTCTTTAAACATTCTTAACCAATTTTTAAGGGTGTGTTATATTTCTTATATCACTGTCTTTGTTGTCATTCCAGTTTTGGAGTACAAATAGTAGTTTTAGCATTAAACTGATTTTCCCCAATATCTTTTAAGCAACTAGAATAAGTTAGAAAACATGAGTTTAATAATTAGCCTGGTTCTCCTTCTGTGAAATGAATATAGTTTCCTTATAATAGAATAATCTTTTGATGAGGATCAAGAGAAGATACTTTCTCGGAGTTCTGATATGGTGCTTCTTACTTGTGGTCCTTTACTCTTCTGCCCTTCTTCCATTCCGTTCCCATTTGTCTCCTTGCTTCCCATTAAGTGCAGAGAATAGTTTGGCCCATTAAATGTTTCAGAAAGCGTAGGCCTACGGTCCGGAGAGACCCGGGTTCGGTTCCCGCTAAGGGCACGTACTTCAGTTGCAGTTTGTCCCCGGCCCTGGTTGGTCGTGCGGGTGGCAGCCACTCGATGTGTCCCTTCACGTCGATGTTTCTCTCTCTCTCTCCCTTCCTCTCTCTCCCTCCAACTCTATCTGTACCAAAAATGGAAAAATATCCTCGGGTGAGGATAAAAAAAAAAAAAAAGTTTCAGAAATATCTTGTCTCCAGCAAATCACACCTTGGAAATGAAATGTGGATGTCAAGTAAGCCCCATCTTTCTTAGAGAGGGGAAGTGTTAACAACTTGCAACAGACAGCTTTACTGAACTGTTTCATATGGAGTACCGCATAGTACTGGGTTACTGGAAGGACCTGTTTAAACACCACATAGTATGTGTGTATTTTCATTCTGGAGATACAAAGTACTGATGAAATGTTGACTGTGAGGATGATTTATTTGCTTCCTTTAAAAATGTGCTTATTTGCAACAATGCCAGGAAGGAGAAAGTGTAAGAAAATCCAGCCCTATCCGGTTTGGCTCACTGGTAGAGCATCATCCCGTGGACCAATGAGTCGCGGGTTCCATTCCAGTTAAGGGCATGTACCACTGTTGAGGTTCGTCCCTGACCCTGGTCAGGGTTGTTTGGGAGGCAGCCAGCAGATGCATCCCTCTCATGTTGATGTTTCTTTCTCTTTCCCTTTCTCTCCCTCTCTCCCTCCCACTCTATCTGAAGATAAATAGAAAAATATCCTCAGGTGAGGATTTTTTTTTTCAGTTTAAAAAAAGAAACCCAGATCCTCCCAGCATTCTTCATCCAAGTGTGGATCTTGAAAGCTAAAATGTTGCTTCATCCTGCTTACCCCTTTGGAATGGCCCTCTCAGAAATGGATTGTGTTCTGGGTTGAGAATAGGGTTCATAAGTCCATTATCTTGTCTTGCTTGAGACCTAATGGTTTAGACATTTGTACAGCATTCTTTCTTCTAGTGTTTGCCAGGCATGATGGTGCTACCATGGTCTGTTATCTTGTGAAGATCAGTGAAGTGGAGGGGAGCAGACAGTCTGAGCTAATCCCAGAAGGCTTTTTGGAGAGAATTTTTCTACTAAGCCCCCACACCAACAGTGACGCAGGCTTTATTTCTCTGACAGCCACACCTCTGTCATTCACTGCCTATTTTGAGAAGTTCTATAAAGAAACTTCTTTAAATTCTTTTGAGAGCTGTGTGTCAATTTCAAGAAAGGGCAGAGTTTTGGATGGTGCTGTTTTTCTTTTGCTGGGCAACCTGGTTAGGGCTATGAAGAGTCTTCAGATGTTGGGTTCTTGAATTGATTGCATTGGACTAGAAGCAGGCAGGTGGGCCTACATGAAGGAGTGCAGTGTGCTGAGCTTAGTGCTTTATGACCTACTACCTATTCTCACAGCAACCCTGGAAGGAAGGGAATGATGGTATTCCCATGAGTAAACTAGAGCTCAGAGAAGTTTTGAGAGTCACTTAAGGTTCACCAGCTTACCTGAACTCAAAGTCAGCTCTGTCCACTATTCTGTGCTGCTACTCCCTTCCCCCCAGGACTCAGAAGGGGCAAATGTAGAAATGTGAGTGACTCCTTAGGTCTTAGACTTGGGCCTTTCAGAAAGAAGCACATATAATATAGGATGATGGGAGGAAGGGAGGAAAGAGTAAGAGTGTCATCTCATACACAATCAGATCACAAAGTACTTCTTCGCCCTGAAATATGGCCTAAAACAGTCAAAAGAATAAAAAGTGTTCCCTGTGGATGGTACAGCCTGGGAGTGAATGGACATAGGTTCAGCTGACATGCATTGAGCATTACCTTCTGAGTTTGAATCCTTATAAGGCTTTACCATGTGGTTTGCATTCCTCATCAGCTGCTCTGTGGGTTTGACAACAGTAAATCCATGCTTCAGATTTGAACCCTGAACCCTCAAAAGAAAGTGGCCTCTATGCTCACATAATTTTGGCCCTTTTCTCCAAGTATTATTACTCAAAGCCTGTAGTAACACAGGCTTTGGAAAAGACAGGCTCTTTTCAGCCAATATTATAAAGTATCAGCTGGAGGCTGGAAATAGAGCACATTGTACATGCATGCAATAGTTTGTTTTTGGCTTCCAGGCCTTGTTAGTTGGGGGATGGGATCTGTACTTAGATATTCCCTGTGTATTACATTTATATTATAAGGCTTTCAGTAGGTGCTGGTAAGTAAATTAATTGTTCAGAGTGTGTGTGTGTGTGTTTTTGTTTTTGTTTTTTTTTTTGTAGTCTCCTCTAAGCCATGACCTCATCCTTAACCTGACTCAGGACGGGATCAAACTACTGTTTGATGCTTTCAATCAAAGACTTAAGGTAACTAAAGTTTAATGTCAGGCTGATTAATATGTGCTCTTGTGAGATGTTCTCAAAATTCCTAAGTGGGAGTCAACTATGATTCAGAGACCACTAGGAGATAGGGGACTGAAGCCATGCCTGTTTCCATAAAAGGAGAAACTGGGCGCTGGCCAGATTGGCTCAGCGGTTAGAGCCTCCGCCTACAGACCAAAGGGTGGTGGGTTTGATTCTGGTCAAGGGCACGTACCTTGGTTGTGATTCAATCACCGGCCTTGGTTGGGGTTGTGTAGGAGGCAACCTATTTGTGTGTCTCTCTCATATGATTGTTTCTCTCTCTCCCCTCCTTCCCACTTTATCTGAAGATCAATGGAAAAGTGTCCTTGGGTGAAGATTTTTTAAAAAATAAAAATAAAAGTGCTGCGTCTAAAACAAGAAAAGAGAAAGAGAAACTGGGTCTAGTGGTTGGAAAGATTTTGGGAAGGACTCTAGCTCTGGGCTTTAGAGGTAAAGGGGAAAGAGTATTGAGGATTCAGGGAACATTCTATGGGGAGGGGACTTTTATACTGAATAGGAAAATGGAGCTAAGTATATGGAATAGATTATCCTGAATCTTTAAAAAGGTACTAAAACTCAGCAATCTCAATCCTAGGTTTCTACTCAAAAAATGAAAACACATCCACAAAATATAAAAAATAACATAACATTCTTAGCATAAGCAGAAATGGATCTAGCAGCTTTATGCATAATAGACACCAGATGAAAAACAACCGTGTTCATCAGTGGGTGAATGGATGAGCAGAGTGAACTATGTTCATACAATAAAGTGTTAACAATAAAAAATGGACAATTTCCTCCTACCTCAACATAGATGGATCTCAAAAACATTATGCAAAATAATTAAGTGAAATAAAAACAGCCCTGGCCGGTTTGGCTCGGCGATTGGTGTGTTGGCCTGCAGTCCGGGGAGACCCAGGTTCGGTTCCCGCTAGGGGCATGTGACTTGGTTGCAGTTTGTCCCCGGCCCTGGTTGGGTTATGCGGGTGGCAGCCACTCGATGTGTCCCTTTCGCGTTGATGTTTCTCTCTCTCTCTCTCTCTCTCCCCCCCCCCCCCCCCCCCACTCTATCTGAACAAAAAAATGGAAAGGTGTCCTCCGGTGAGGATAAAAGAAAAACAGTCACAAAGGACCACCTTAAGAAATAATAATAAAGGTACTAAAATGAGGCCTGACTGCAGGATAAGACCAAAAGATTTTAGTCAAGCTTATGGATCTTTTTCTACTTCATTCTTGGATCATATACTATAACTTAGAAGATGGAAATTGGAACTCTTCTTAAAATTCTGGAGCTTGGCGGTTAACACCACCCGTAAATAAGTTGATTCTTGAACTCCTTTGAGGAAATATAAACAGACAGCTTGCTGATGTGTAGGGTCTTAATTGGTGCTCAAGTGCAATTTACTAACACCTATTTCAGTTCAGGATGTTTTTAATATGCTATTTACAAATGCCTTGGCTTCACAGGTTAGTCATGTGACATCAGACTCATGCTCCAGAGTCACAAGGTTGAATGTGGCTCTGGGCAGTGGCATGCCAGAGCTGTCTTCCTAGTTAGGTTATGGAGTTGCCTTTCCAAAAGACTTGGGTAATTCCTAGTTCTCAGCATCCCATCACAGGTGAGCTGCTGAGGAGACAAGATAGAATATGGAAAAATAATCTTTACATAAAATGAGAATTTCTCATTTATGATGATTTTTCAAAAGCAGGGTTTGATGTGAACATTCTTCACCCCGCATCTCCCTTTCCTCTCCTTGTGGACTCAGTCATCCTGTCCTCACTGACCTGCAGTTCCACAATGGGAAAAGGTAGAGGGTGGCCTTCAATGTGGCTTCATCACAAATTGGGGGAGATTAATCTGGAAACGCCTTTACAAAGAGTAAGTGGTGAATCCGCTTTAAGAAGCATAACTTAAGCCCTGGCCAGTTTGGCTCAGCGGTTGGAGCGTCGGCCTACAGTACAGAGAGACCCGGGTTCGGTTCCCGCTAAGGGCACGTACCTCAGATGCAGTTTGTCCCCGACCCTGGTTGGTCATGCGGGTGGCAGCCACTTGATGTGTCCCTTCACATCGATGTTTCTCTCTCTCCCTCCCGCTCTGTCTGAACAAAAAATGGAAACATGTCCTCGGGTGAGGATTAAAAAAAGAAGAAGAAGAAGCATAACTTAAAAAGGTTATGGGGAATGTAATATTATCAGATATTTATAGCAGGGCTTTTCATAGTAATGAAAAGCTGGAAGTAACCTAAGTAGACAACACAAGGGGGTGGCTAGGCAGCCCGTCATAGAATCACAACATGGTGAGGACAAAAGCATGTATTTAGTGAGCACTTGGTGCATATTAGGCCATGGCTGAATGCTTCCCATGCATTTCCTAATTTACTCTTAATAAGCCTGTGAATGGTATGGTTTACCAGCAAGACAGCTGAGGGGGAGAGGATTAGTGTGGTCTGCCTAACTAAGCTTTTAACCCTATATTACCAGTATGTGGTGACTAGCCACTGAGAATCAGAGTGGCTTAAGTTCTGTTGTTGGGTTTGGGAAACAAATGTGATAAAGCTGAAGAAAATGGTGTGAGTACATTATGCAGAAATGTGAGGAGTGGGAAGTACATTAGAATGAGTAAATAAGTAAAGTCTTCTGCCTCCTTGTGGTCATTATGAGTAAATAAGTAAAGTCTTCTGCCTCCTTGTGGTCATTATGACAGAGGAGGGTCTAGGGCCTTGCCTGACTCTCTGGAAACTGAGGAAGCTATCTGTCAGGTGCCCTTGCTTGGCACCAGGTCTGATCTGACCCATCTGCCTGCCCCTCCATCCCAGGGTTTCAGAATCTACCTCTCTCTCCTGCTGTTCCCTGCAGTTTCCTTTTCCCCTCACTTGATACCTGTGAGAGAGCTCTGTGGAATGAGGCTTCACCAAGTCACAACCTTTACAGCCATGTGTCTTTTGTTTTCCTATCTTGGCTGCTGCCATGTCTCCTCCTCTCTGGCTAAATCAAGGACTTTTCCAGCCCAGAGGATAGAAAATCATGGACTTCAGACTTCCCTAGCTGCTAATTTCTATGGCCCAGCAAACTCAATGGACTAAAATCATGAATTTTCCTGATGACATGAAGGACTCCCAGATGGTCAGCACTCTGGGTTCCTTGCCACTGTGCCACCCTGTCAGCTCTGGTCCACTGAGCAGGTAGGGTTGAACCACCTATAAGTGTTGGTCTGAGCTGCAACAAGTGGGTGATAGTGACATAGGAGAAACATCCTGGAGACACCCCCACAGGGTGAGTGGTGGGAAGTCCTGGAGGTGCTGTTGGCCAACTGTTAGGGTAGTAATCAAAGAGGCAAAGTGCCTGCCTCTGCTAATATAAGCAGGGCCCTCGCCTTGGTCAAATGGCATACCAATTTGGCATGATAAACTGCCATGGCTAGGCTTTCTGAAGGGGACACTAGGTGTCTTATGAATCATAGCTATCTCCCTGCCCTTCCTTGCATGACCTCTCTTGGCATCTCCATGCTTTTGAGCTTCGTGTTCCTCTTAGCTAGCTTCATACCAGACCGACTCACCTGACATGTTGATTACTTCCCCTTTGCTAACTAAATAAGCCAGACCTTAGGGCCCTTAACTTAGTGGGATCAGTGGACAGCACACATACATACAAATAGTGTAGGAAAGTGTTGTTTTATGTGTTGTGATGGCCCAGCAGAGGGAGCAATTCTTAGTAGCAGGTTGGATCAGAATGGCTGCATTATAGTTGAGAGGTGCCTGTCCAACTTGTAAATTTAGTGTTATGATCTCTAAACAAAGTTAGAGACAAGGTCTAGCCAAGAGTGAATTGTATATTATGTCTCAGTTTCTGTGACAAGGCCTGATGCTCCTATACCCAATGCTCTACAGCCTCTTCCAGGGTCGGGTCCAGATTGTGAGGGCAGACAGACATTGAACCAGCTCTGCTTGTGACTCTAAAATGAAGCCCAAGAACTCCTAGCAGGAGAATGGTAGATGGTTCTCCAGGCCCCAGCCAGCCATCCTGCTGGCTGCAAAGCCCTTGACACCATTGGCACAGAGGACTTGGTAGTGCTTACTACTTGGCGTCATTTGTGGCTGAGTGTTTAATAATTTTTTCTTTGTCTCTGCCCTGAGTTCTGGACATTTCATTTGAGGCCAAACCCATTGAAACTTCACCAGGGTTTTGAGGCTCTCTGGGTTTAGCCAGATGCCCTTCATTAAGGATATATCTGAATATTGTCACAGTTGTCCTAAGCTAATGTATTGTGGATTGTTTTCTAGCAGGGTAGACCTCCCTCTCTATATTTTTGTTTTGTACACCACAATATTTTTAAGCTATTTTTTAAATTGACTTGATTTGGGTTTTTATATGCAGCAAAGTATGAAATGGAATGGGGCTCTGTATCCAAGGTTGCAACCTTAACAAACTGCATGAATTTGTTTCTGTGTAGGGTTTCACTGTCCTGTCGGGGTAGTATGTGCAGTCTTCTCTATGACCCAACAGTAGATGAGGTACAAGAACCTTTACCTAGAGCATCCACAGATATCTGTTGAACAATCTGCTGGAAGAGGGGGAAGGAGAGGTTGTGCTGTGTGTGGTATGGGTTTTTCCTCCAGATTAAAAAATGAGAACTAAAGGTAATGTGCAGTGTTTCAGGAGAATTTCAGCTAGTGATAGATTTTTTTCTTCATTATTCTATAAATGTTGTCATATATATATATATATATTTTTTTTTTTTTTTTAGGTGATTGAAGTATATGACTTGACTAAAGTAAAGTTAAAATATTGGTGAGTTTTATCCCTTGCTGGTATATATCACAGGCTTGGTACATGTGGGCTTTATCACACTCATTACATTAGTAAAGGAATGCCATCCACAGCAGTTCCAGGATTAGAGCCTGGTGCCATGATTTCCTCAGGCAGCCTTGAAGCCTACTCAGTTTCCAGGAGAAGGAAAGGAAACCTTACTGAGAACATGCTGCGTGTAAAACACTTATATGTGTGTCAAATTATTTAATCCTCACAACAAAGCAGGACCTCAGCTCAGAGGTGATGTGACTGGCTCTTGGGTCACAGCTGGCCTCCCCTGCATAGCATCTTTTGGCACCTTTTTATTCTTTCATGAGCTACAGAATTGGGACATTCCAGACAGGTCTGACTCCAAAGCCTATGCTAAAGAAAATGCCAAAACAGCCACTATGGGGGCCAAAATCTGCTTTTCAGAATGATGTCTGTATGGTGCACAAATATTTGACCACCGTTATGGCATGGTACTGTTCTAGCATCTAGAGTGTTCTGTTCAGTAAGCTTCCAGGGTCTGGCTGCCCTGGGCTTGAGTTATGGCTTCATCATTTTATTAACCTTTTGTGACCTTGGGCAAGTCACTTAACCTTTTTGAGCTTGTTTTCTCATCAGAGAAATGAAACTAATAATGTGGCTGCTCAGTTAGGAAGATTGCATGAGATAGTGCTGGTAAATAAAGCACAAAGCACAGTGCCTGGTTAAAAAAGAGATGTTCCATAAATAATACTAATTTCCAAAAAAATTATTCCTAACCTTTAAGCGTTTTCCTTAAAGTCATAAATTCCTTGTCTTCATGTTCATCATCTAAATAATTTATGCCCCTCTTTACTCCCAAGCCCTCCGTGCCCCCCACTTGTTTTTTCTGCATGGGATCTATCCCTCCCCCACCCATCTGTCCAGTCACCCGTTTTATCTGCCTTTTAAGAAAATAAGATGCCTTGCTTGGCTGTACCCTTCTTTTTTAAGATCTTCATCCCTTTTTAAGGAAGTTTCTTTTTCAAGCCAATTACTAGTAGGCATCCTGGAAAAACAAACACATTAACATTTTATTCATGAGGCCACTCTTTGTCTAAGTTTGGATGCCTGGAGCTGAGTCTGGTTAAAAGTTTTTAATTAAGCTTTTATTTTGATATATTTGTAGACTCACCTGCTTGTGTTTTAAGAATAACTCTTCTAGCCACCGTCTCCAGTGATCTGTGAGCCCATCCTTGGGGACCTGGTATTAAAAAGTATCTTTGTTTTTCAGTGGAGTACATTTTAACTCTCAGGCCATAGCTCCCACCATTGAGCAGATTGACCAGTCTTTCGGGGCAACCCATCCTGGAGGTAAGCTAAGTCCATCTGATGGTCATCTGTGGCAGGCCATAGTAATGAACCTGGCAAGTGGTACCATCCCAGCCACAACCCATGAAGACTGGTTCCTGTAGTGTATGGGGGTTGGTACTTGAGTGTAAGGGAAAGCTCCTCCCTCTTGTTTTCAACCTAGTAGGTCAGTTCAGAAATGAGACACAAGGCAGCGTTGCCAGTCATTACTCCCTGCCAGGCTGATTTGTGTTTGCAATTTCTGATGCCATTCAACCATGCTGTTTTCTTCTCCCCGCTCCCACAGTGTACAACTCTGCTGAGCAGCTCTTCCACCTCAACTTCAGAGGACTGTCTTTCTCTTTTCAGTTAGATTCGTGGACTGAGGCTCCCAAGTACGAGGTTAGCCCTTCCCCTAGTATTTTTTGCCCAGTGCCCAGGTGATATGGGTCAGCAGACAGTGCTATTAAGGTAGACTAGATAGGTGCCCTTTCTTTGGTTTCCTTGTCTCTGGGGTCTTCAGAGGTCAAGGGGATAGAGTGGGTAGGGTTGACAGGAAGAACAAATCCCAAGCTGACATTCCCAGGGAGAGGACACTTCCAACTTGATTGCTTTTAGCAAAATGTTGTTCCTTAGGCAACAACACCCTTAGGGTTATGAAGTGATAGCTTTTCATGAGGCTTACATTTTATTAAAGGGGACATTCCTGCATTTTCTCCCAAGCGAAAGAAAGGGAAGAAAAACAAAATTAAAGATGAACTTGCATGGTTGGGGTATTTATTCACCCAGAGCCAGATTTAACTATGTGCTTTGATCTGGCCAGTTCATGAAGACCATGAATGCTGGGGAAATGCCAGAGCCTGAATTACATGACCTGCATTGTGCCCTTAGTAAAATTCTGGTCCTGTGTTTTGCAGCCCAATTTTGCCCATGGTCTAGCTTCTCTCCAGATACCCCATGGAGCAACTGTGAAACGGATGTACATCTACAGTGGAAACAGTCTACAGGATACCAAGTATGTGTTGGAAAACCCAGGCTTCACGCTAAGTCTTGGGGGGTAAGGCAAAGCCTGTGCTCATTCTTTGCCTGCCCCCAGGGCTCCGGTGATGCCCCTGACCTGTTTCCTGGGCAATGTGTATGCTGAGAGTATAGATGTTCGAGATGGAACTGGACCTTCAGGTTTACGGCTTCGCCTACTTGCTGCAGGTCAGTTGCTGGCTTTGTGGTGGTGGATTTCCTCTCTGTCCATGTTGAGATAGTCTAAAATCCCACATACTTAGGGATAGTTGGTTGAAGACAAATTATGCCAAGTGTTTATGGTAAAAGCTTTCATTTAAATTTGTGAAGGGACAAGATATAGTCTTACCATTAGCATATTTTAATAAACAACAATAGCACCACTTTCCTCAGCATATACATAAGCCACTGTCAGCTTATGTAGCTTTGCATTGGTTCCCAAGCTGTTTCCTGGAGATATATGAAAACATATTTATTTATTTGTTTGTTTTCTGCTTTTACTTTTATTGTTATTTATTTTGTGCTGAATTCACTCCTGGGCCATAAGTTTTTGTTTCTTTAGTTTTTTCTGAGATCTCTTTTTCTCCTGTGCAACCTTCTCTTTTGGTTTAGGAACAATCTGCTCTTTTTCAGTGAGGATCATCTCAATGTGGCAGGGAGAGCTCATGTATGGGTTAATCTACCCATGAGCTCTGTAAGTTCTATGCTACATCTTAGGAGCTTTCTTTACCTGGATGTGCTCAATGACCAGAGACTCTACATCTAAACTCTTAAGTTCAGCCTTGCTCTCTGCATTTTTAAGCATGTGTAGCAAAAACTCAGCACTCTTTTTGGTCCACCAATCTGGTGTTCAGCCCCACTGTTTCACCTGGGCACCTACCAACTCCACCATTGTAAAGACAGAAAGGCACACATTGCTTCTGTAAAATGACACCCTTCAGATACTTGGTGGCTTTTCAACTATGCATGCTTTTGATGGCCTGGGCAGTTTCACAAGTGTTCTTACAGTGAACATGAAGATTTGAACCTCTTGTCCTGGCTAGTTTGGCTCAGCAGTTAGGCGTTAGTCCGCAGACCAGAGTCCCAGGTTTAGTTTCCGCTAAGGGCACGTACCTCAGTTGCAATTTGTCCCTGGCCCCGGTTGAGGTCCTGTGGGTGGCAACCAGTCGATGTGTTTCTCTCACATCTATGTTTCTCTCTCTCTTCCCCCCTCTCTCCCTCCCGCCCTATCTGAAGATACATGCAAAAATGTCCTTGGGTGAGGATTTAAAAAAAAAAATTTGAACCTCTTGATTTGCATGATTTTGTGGGGGTTTTTAGGTCAAGTGATAGCGAAACAATTTTCAGAGGTCACCTCTTGGTCGCTTTTGGGAAGAGCTATAAAAACATATTTTAAATTTTTTTAAAAGATAGAAACATCAAGGTGAGAAAGATGCATCAATTGCTTGCCTCCCGCATAACTCCGACCTGGGGTCACATCAAACCTGCAACCCAGGTACTTGTTCTTGCTAGAATCGAACCCAAGACCCTTCGGTTGTAACCGCTGGGCCAAACCAGCTAGGGCTACAGTGATGCTTATAACAAGGAAAATCAGTTCAGTTTTTGGTCCCCGCAATAATTTTTAGGAAGACTCACTTCCAGGAATCAGAAGCTAAAATCATTTCTTAAAACTAAAGGTAATTTTACCAAGGTAGGCTTCGGGCAGAAAAGAAAACTCACCTGTGAAGAATGCCTTTCCTGTAGTCCCATCTGGACATCACAAGTATCTGGTACCTAGAGATTTTGGGCACACAGTCTAGCTTGACAGGACTTTTGGTGGGTTCCAGACTTGCCTAAGATACAAGATTTGTGGACTATGCTTTTCTCAGGACCTAGTTAATTTAAACATAGTTTTATTTGTCAGTGTATGTGTGCTGTGAATAAAGACTTGGGTTAATTGGAGAATTCAGCACCTAGTATTTCATATTTTGTATCCCTGAAGTCTTCTATATGTAACAAGTGGATTGTTATCCATGAAGGAGCTTTGTCAATTCTAAGGCCCTGTGCAGTAAGGTGATGGTGGTGGTTATTATGGTACCAGGAATTACAGCCCTCCTCAGATTCTTGGCTTTTTTGGGGGAATGGGGGGCAAAATACTTTGTCTTCCCATCCACAGAATGGGGAAAATTTTACTAATAGTGTGTCTGTTGCTATTCCACAACAGGTGTGTGTGTGTTTAATTGAAGCTATTTCTGAAATGTATTAGACAAAGTCAGGGTTTAAAGATTCTTCCCAAAGAAGAAACTTTGCAAATCAGAAAATTTTTTTATTTTTCCGATTTCCTTTTTGGTCTCCTGAAGTATTAGTGTGTCTGTCGGGTGTTTATGGAATTGGAGTGAGTTAGTGGGTGCTTCATTCTTGGCTTTTATAGAGTGATCTTGAGATCTGATCCCTTGTTGGGTGTTACCACTTAGAAGTACCTCCTAAAGCGACTGTAACCAAAACAGCCTGGTACTGGCACAAGAACAGGCATATAGACCAGTGGAACAGAACTGAAAACCCAGAAATGGACCCAAGGCAATATGCTCAATTAATATTTGACAAAGGTGGCAAGAGCATACAGTGGAGTAAAGACAGCCTCTTTAATAAATGGTGTTGGGAAAATTGGACAGCTACATGCAAAAAAATGAAACTAGACCATCAACTTACACCATACACAAAAATAAACTCAAAATGGATAAAAGACTTAAAGGTGACCCGTGAATCCATAAAAATTCTAGAAGAAAATGTAGGCAACAAAATTTCGGACATCATACGGAGCAGAATTTTCACTGATACATCACCTAAGGCAACAGAAATAAAGGAGAAAATGAACACATGGGACTACATCAAACTAAAAAGCTTCTGCACAGCAAAAGAAACAATCATCAAAATGGAAAGGCAACCCACTGTATGGGAGAACATCATTGCCAATGATGTATCAGATAAGGGGTTAATTTCCAATATATACAGAGTGCTCATACAACTCCACAAAAGGAAGACAAAGAACCCAATTAAAAAATGGGCAGAGGAGCTGAATAGACACCTCTCCAAACAGGACATACAAATGGCCAAGAGACATATGAAGAAATGCTCAACATCACTGATCATCAGAGAGATGCAAATTAAAACAACAATGAGGTATCACCTCACACCTGTCAGGATGGCCGCCATCAACAAATCATCAAACAACTGTTGGCGAGGGTGTGGAGAAAAGGGGACTCTAATACACTGCTGGTGGGAATGCAGACTGGTGCAGCCGCTATGGAAAACAATATGGTGCTACCTCAAAAAATTAAAAATTGAACTTCCATTTGACCCAGTGATCCCACTGCTGGGAATATACCCTAGGAAGCCTGAAACACCAATCAGGAAGAATATATGTACCCCCATGTTCATAGCAGCACTATTTACAATAGCTAAGATCTGGAAACAGCCCAAGTGTCCACCAGTAGACGAATGGATCAAAAGCTGTGGTACATATACACAATGGAATACTATGCAGCGGTAAGAAAGAAAGATCTCTTATCCTTTGAGACGACATGGAGGGACCTGGAAAGTATTATCCTAAGTGAAAGAAGCCAAGCAGAAAAAGACAAATACCACATGATCTCACTTATATACGGAATATAATGAACATAACAGTCTGAGGAATACAGTAGACCCAGACATATGGAAGTAGGGCACAGACTGACATCCCTCAGAAGAGGGGATGGGGGGTGGGGGGGTGGGAAGAGATAAACCACAGAACTTATATGCATGTATGCATGACCAATGGACATGGACAACTAAGCCGGGGACAGGGTGGAGGGGGGGGGGTGCCAATGGGGTAAAAAGGTAAAATATCTGTAACAAAAAAATAAATAAATAAATAAAAATTTCAAAAAAAAAAAAACAAAAAAAAAAAAAGAAGTACCTCCTAACATAAGGTACCTTTTATCTTGTCAGGACCTGCAAAGTGGCAAGAAATAATAGCACTTTATTATATGCTTCATAGCACTTGTGCTACTGTTTATTGTACCTCAGGTGTGTGATGATCTGATTGAGATCTTCATCATACCATAAACTCCCCATGTGGGCAGAGACTGCACCTGTTTTACTCAACATTGTTTCCTCAACATCTAGCAAAGTGTCCAATAGCCTATGGTGATTAATAGTAAATATTTGGTGAGCGAGTGAATGATGTTTTCAGAATTCCATGTCGTTTTTGTGGAACTGAATGAGTCTCTGGCATTATTTTGAGGAGATAGTGGTCTCTGGTAGCATGTCAAGGCCTGGTGACCTGCTTGCATGCAGTCAGTGGCCTCTCTGGGTCCCCCAGGGCCCTGGGCTACAGGGTCTAAGGCCTGACTAGGAACCTGACTACCTCTCCCTCGTTCTCTGCAGGGTGTGGACCTGGCCTGTTAGCAGATGCCAAGATGCGGGTATTTGCACGTTCAGTGTATCTTGGTGATTCTTTCCAAGATGTTCTTAGCATGCTTGGTTCTCCACACAAGGTCTTTTATAAGTCAGAAGACAAGGTGAGTGAGGGAAATATGTTTATAAAGTGAATAGTGGTCTCTTAATATTTTTTAAATCATTAACTTAATATTGAGTAAATATAAAAAAAAAAATGTTTGCTATTTTCTCATAGAACCTGTTCTGTTAAAGCAGATGGAGAAGTAAATTGAAAGCTCTTTTCTGACCCTTGTTGGTCAGATTGTCCTGCCTTTCCTTGGAGACCAGAGCCCAGTCTATAGTCATCCACAGCTGGCTGGGTTGGTTGGCACCAGCAGCAGGGACTCCCACACTCTTGCCTACCCAACAGCTTAATGTCGGAGAAAAAACACAATTTGTGGACTTTCATTTAATCTAAGAACTATTTTAAGGGGTTGGGTTTTAATTATTATTTTTTCACCAACAGATGAAAATTCATTCTCCTTCCCCTCATAAACAAGTTCCGTCCAAGTGCAATGACTACTTTTTTAACTACTTTACTCTCGGAGTGGTAAGTTATGATTCCTTAGAGCAGCATTTCATTTCTGTGCACCCTCGACACACCTGTCTGGACATATGCAGCTGTAACTGTGCCTGGCAGCCAGGAACCTAGCCTAGCTGGCTTTGCCCAATGTTGTCTTGTATGGCAGGCCTTTTCTGTCATCAAGAATGCTGAGACACCGGGTTCCTTGGTTTATCTTTTCTGACAGAAACCTGTGGAATCTGTGGGAATCATTCAGGTTAAGGTGTTTTGGGAACTGCCCTTTTGTAGAGCATAGGAACCTATTCTGGAGTCACACTGGGAGATTTAAAAGGCTCAGAAACAGTGGAGTGTGCTTATGTATTGAGGGGATACCTCAGGCATTATTATAACCCTGTGCTGTGGACCTAGAGCGCTAAATGGAGCTGATGGTCAGCATCAGTGCTGACAGTCCAACTGGTATATGGATTTCATGTGTAAGAAATGATTGTGTAGCCCTGGCCGGTTTGTCTCAGGGGTTAGAGTGTCAGCCCGTGGACCAGAGAGTCCTGGGTTCAGTTCCCACTAAGGGCACGTACCTCGGTTGCAGTTTGTCCCCAGTCCCAGTTAGGGTCGTGTGGGTGGTGACCACTCGATGTGTCTCTCTCATATCAATGTTTCTCTTTCCCCCTCCCTCCTGCTCTATATGAAGATAAATGCAAAAATGTCCTCGGGTGAAGATTTAAAAAAAAGAAAATTATTTTGAGAACACTGCACCAGCAGCATACATCTCTGAGGGCAGGGCTAACCTGGACTTTGGGTCTTCTAAACTTAGAGCTTTCTGGGTCCTGAAGCAGCAAAGAAAGGGTAGATTCCAGAGAATGAGAAAGGATAGACTGGGTCTGCCTATGTAGGAAAGACCAAACAGGAGCTAGAAGTAGTCAGAGGGCAGCAGTGGAATCATAAACTCTTGAGGCTAGGCTGGTGCCAGAAGGGAATGTCACTGTCTTTTGAGTTCTGGAGCCAGTGATAGGTGGCAGGGAAGGTGGAGCAAATGGATTGACCCTAATAGGACTTAGTGTAGCTATTGATGGAGGGTTGGAATCAGGGGTAAACTCGGGATCACAGGCCTGAGCAGTTGGCAGGGTGTGAAGGATAGGGGGGAAGTGTTCAATAGGCTGCATCAAATCTAGGTGTGAGTCCTGGTAAGAAGCTGGAACTTTTGTACCAGGGGTTGCTAACACCCACTAATGAAAGCCAGAGGGTCTGGCAGGTCATGGCTTCAGAATAACTAAGTACCTTGAGTTAGATGGCCCTGAATCTTCTTGGTAGCTATTAGGTCAAAATCTATGCTTAGATTTTTTTTGTGTGTGGTACATGCCCCTAGTGGGAACCGAACCCGGAACTCCCTGGTCCACAGGCCGATGCTCAACCACTGAGCCAAACCGGCTAGGGCTATGCTTAGATTTTTTTTTAATCAGCTACTTACTAGGAAAGATCTGATGTGTTGGAGTCCCCCAAGTAGTGAGAGCTGTAGCCACCTATGCCTGTCAGGACTGCTGATACAAGATTTGGAATGGGGAGGCCTATAGACGGTTGGGTGCCCCCCTCACTAAAAATGTCCAGTTAAGGCTGCTTGGCTTCTGCTGTCCCCTTGATTGTTGCTTGGGAGAAAGCTCTTGCCTGCAGGCATCCTCACTGAAGAATGGGTATCTGTGAGCTGGACATGCCCTAGGAAAGGCCCCTGCCGTGCCTCTGTCACTTTCCTGACTTGTGCGTCCTTGTTTTCTATCCCAGGATATCCTCTTTGATGCGAATACTCACAAAGTGAAGAAGTTTGTCCTTCACACCAATTACCCTGGGCATTATAATTTTAACATGTGAGTATATCTATACCTGCACCTCTGAAAAGTGAACTTCAGGCTAAAAATCCCCTGGAAAGTGAGCTTATGGTTTGGGTGTTTTTTTGTTTTGTTTTTTTTTGGTAGTATGCTTTGTTTTTATTTTTTAGAGAGAGAAAGAAACATCAATGAGAGAGAACATTGATTGGCCACCTCCTGGGGACGTGCCCACAACCTGGGCACGTGCCCTGATCAGGAATCGAACCGGCAACCTCTAGGTGCATGAGTTGACACTCAACCACCGAGCCATACCAGCCAGGCTTGTTTTTGTTTTTAGAGAGAGGGAGGGAGAGAGAGACATTGATCACGCTGCCTCCTGCTTGCCCCCTACTGAGGATAAAGCCTACAACCTGGCATGTGCTCAGACCGAGAATCGAACCAGGACCTCTCAGTCCATGGGACGACACTCAGTCCATTGAGCCACACTGGCCAGGCCGAGCTTATGGCTTTAGAGTTAACTAATTTATCTACTCCTGAATTCTTGCTGCTTCATGGGAAGGGAACATTTCCTGAGTGTTTGCTCTGTTCCTGGTGTAGTGTCCAGTACCTTGTATCTCTCCATCTGTACCCATTTTAAATAAAAAAAAACAGATTCAGAAAGCAGACCCCAGAGCCATACCCTTTTCTGTTCAATTCTAATGCCTAAATCTGGCCTCCCCAATGAATGCTGTGTCAGGCCCAGTTCCAGGGCTTTGGACAGGTGTGCTTGATTCTGTTTTTCCTGGGGTGCAAGGTTGAGGTGTGGAGGTAGTTAAGCCTCTCAGAGGGCCCAGCTTTTACACATCTGTCTTCTCTCTCTCAGTTATCACCGTTGTGAGTTTAAGATCCCAATAGCCATAAAGAAAGGTGAGTAGTGAGAGTCTTCAGGGTAAGAAAAAATTTGGGGGGGTCAGTCACTCATGATGAAAAGGGACACATGATCAAAGTAGAGAGGATGGTAGTGGGTGGGTTTGTGGAGTCTCTGCCCACCTGATCCTTCCCATAGCCTCAACTCCTCTGGGCTGTGCTTATTGTTGGGGGAAGAGGGCTGTATTGTTCTCAGTCTGTAGTCTTGTGGAGGCCTTCCAGGTCTTTTCCTGTGACCGTGGATTGCTAGTCTCTGAGAGGGAGAGTTTCTTATCTACAGATGATCAGGTACTCCCAGCCCAGCCTTGTGACTGTTGTCCACTGCTGGTTGGTGTCACTCACACCTGACCGACCTCCCTTTAACCCTTCACTCTCTTCCATTCAGGAACTCTAAAACTGTCTCTCTCCTCCCTCCATACTCCAACCCCAGAGCAAAGGGTGGCCAGGTCTGGACTCTGCCTAGGACGGGAGTCACAGGTGGGCTGAGCCAGCTACCAACCACTCTGTTCTCTTTTCAGAAAATGCAGATGGTCAGACAGAAACATGTACAACCTATAGTAAGGTGAGCTCCTATTTTCCCACCTGATGCAGCCTGAAAATGAGGTGGGCATGAACCTGCCAATAGTCTGGGGCCCATATTCTCTGGGTCAGCCATTGGTCAGGCCCTGCTAACTCCCTGCTGCCTCCATCCCTCTTGCAGTGGGACAACATCCAGGAGCTCCTGGGTCACCCTGTGGAGAAACCTGTTGTCCTGCACAGGTGAGTGTGGGAGGTTGCTGTCTCTGACCACCCTGTCAGAAGGCTTGGGGAAGCCTAGCAGTGAATATTGCATGGAAATGTCATACACACATACTTCCTGCCCCAACTGTGTGCATTAGTATTAGGCCCACTGTTCTGGGTTCTGTTTACCTGTACCAGAGAGATTGCCCACTGGGAATAGTTCCCTCTCTCCCCCTCCTAGCTCTAGGTTACGAGGTCCTTTTCACCCGTAGATTTCAGAAAGGGAGGCAGTTATGACTGTTGTGGGGTCTTTTCCCATCAAAGCCTGTTACCTGCTATAGTCCACAGCCCAATATCCAATACCGGGTTGCCATGCTGCCTGAAGCTCTATCCCTCCTGACTTCTTACTACCCGAGTCCACTTCTATAGTAACTTTCTGGGCCCTATTGGGCTGTGTAGGATTCAGAGCTGAGTGAGGCCTTTTGCTACCTCTAGGACCTCAAGGGCCTATGTGGGACTCATAGAGACCACTTGCCAACAGCCCCATATCAAAAGGGACTGGTTGCCTGGTCTGGCCTCAGTCTCTAATTCTGGCTTCCCTGGCCTCAGGTCTTCCTCCCCAAACAACACCAACCCATTTGGTTCCACATTCTGCTTTGGTCTTCAGCGGATGATCTTTGAGGTAAGCCCTGGGGACTGAGGGGCTGGTGTTGATGGCAGGGACAGGCAAGTCATTGAGAGAGATCAGGGAGGACCTAACAGCCCTGCGGGGCAGGTTAATCCTTCTTCAGCAATTCTGTGTGCTGAGAACCTGGCCTATCCAATTTAACAGTGAGGTTTCAGAAATTATGTTGGAGAAATTCAGAGTCACAGCAGCTAAAGCAGTGGTCTATATCCAATAAGATGAAGGGTAACAGGAATCCCATATTTATATCTAAAGACAGTACAGCAAGGAAGGGAACCAGAGGGCAAGTGGGGCTCAAATGGTTATAGAGGCCCTGTTGGCATGGAGGAGACTGGGCTGCCCCTGTTTTCTCTTCTGGGTGCCATAACCTTCAGCAGGCCCCTAAGAGTTCCTGAAGAATTGGACAAATGGGTGTGGTGAAGTTTATGTATGTCCCATGAGGCACAGGCAGATGCCAGGGCCGAGATGGACCCTAGCACGAGATAAGGGATGTTGAGGGATTGGCTCAGCCCTGTGTGCATTTGTGTTGTACACAACCTCCACGCCCATGTCAGGACCTTCTTTGGGTCCCTTCTCTGCGGTCACAGCCCCAGTGCTGATCCCACTGGAGGTTTTTGTGGGTCTGATTGCTTGCTCTGCTCCGCCCCTTTGACTTGCTGTCCTCTTCTCACACCAGGTTATGCAGAATAACCACATTGCCTCGGTGACTCTGTATGGCCCCCCCAGGCCTGGTGCCCATCTGAAAACAGCAGAGCTCCCCTAGGGACATCACCACCCATGCCCCTGTCCCCCCTGGAACTGCATCTCATCGTCCTCAGCGGGCCTTCATGTGCCACCTGTGGGTTTTCTTGGACACCTTGCCAGTGTTGAAGGGCTGTTGTGATGTTCTGAGATGGGGCTCAGGCTGGGCGCTCTACCATGGGGTGAGAGACCCAGATATTCTTCTGTCCGTCCTCAGCCTGCTGGTGCCAACAGGAGACACAGACTGCAAAGAGAAGCACAAACTCTGAGCCTTGATACCTGGACCCAGGAGCTTTCGACTAACCAGTAAGGAGGCAGGGTTCTGTCTCCCCTGTCCCACACACATTGGAAAACTTGGGACTCTGTGGCTGAGGACATAGGCACCCAGAATGAGGACACCCTGCCTTTGGCCCAGCATTGCCACATGACCCTTAAAGTAAGCAGGTAGCATGTCCATAGTACTTGGTTGCGACTTTTGCACTACATCCACTTTAGTTACTTGATGAGCTGGCTGCTGCCAGTGTGGCCCACCTCCCCTACCTTGTTCCTTTCTTGTACGTGTTCCCTGCCTGGCCCATTAGGCACACCCAGCTGGTTGAAACACAGCTTTCTGTTTTCCCGGTTCATGCCCAGGCCTGGTTCCCAACTTTCTTGGAACCAACCGTCAAGGTTGCCTCTGCCCCAACCTGGCTGGCAGGGCTGCATGTTTCCATCCTGTTTGCCTCTTTTATTTAATGCCAAAGTTTTAGCCAAAGATACCGTCCTCCTTTTGTTGTGTTTCAGCATTCTGTTCTGCACTGTGGGCTGGCTCCTCTGCCCCAACCCTGGGCAGTGTCCCCTGGCTGGGCCCATTCATGGCTCAAGGCTGCTGGGGACTCAAGGAGGGCTGGACTGCTCAGTCTCTTCATGGGTCTTGCTAAGGAAAGTAGTATATGTGCTTTAAAAATATTAACCTTTTGAAAAGAATTGAGAAGAGAAATGTATAATTTTATCTCATTTTTAATATTTTGGTCTAGCAACTTGTGATACATAGATGACAATTTTGTGAGTTTTTCAAATGTGTGTACAGATTTTTGTAAATATGACTCTTTTGTAATTAACCCATGTACAGCCTCATCTTGTATAGTTTAACGATGAATGTGCAGAGGACCTGCCCCAGGCTCCTGTGATTCCTGGGCCTACAGCCAGACTTGTGTGGCACTCTTGTGACTTTGTGACTAACTGGTGTCTTCCCATTTGGACTGTGGCCTGGCCAGAGACACCCCCACTCTTACCCCACCCCACATATCTCCACCTTTGGGGCAGCCAGGACTGATCTCATCCTCCTGGAATGGGGTAACCTTCTTCGTGTCCTGCCCACATCTCTCCTCCAATAAAGACCTATGCCTTCAGCAACAGCTCACCATGTGCTGTTGCTGGGATGTTTGTACTAAAATAAGTTTGGGGACATTGATTTTTTTTTTTTTTTAAGAATATGGGGAAATGTATTGTGGAGTCATCTTAGGAAAAGTTCCTTGTCTCTGAGGGGACAGTACACCCTTCATTAGGAGATCATCATAGTTGTGTGGGTATAGATTCTTATAGAATGTTTGCCAGTTTTATGAAGACTGAAGCCAGGTCTTCATTCCTCCCTACGGGGTCTAGCTATGAGAAAGACCTGTATGTGTCTGCCTCATCCTAGGGGTTCCAAACCAATTAGATTCCATGAGCCCCTGCCACTCCCTACCCCCACCTACTTGGTACTAGGAGGACTGGACATGTCCCCCTGCTTGACAAAGAGTCTGGTGTTCCATCTCAGCCCTGGCTATCTTAAACTTTTTCTTTTTTTGGTATGTGCCCCTAGTGGGAACCAAACCTAGGACTCTCTGGTCTGCAGGTCTGCGCTCCAATCGCTGAGCCAAACTGGCCAGGGCAGCCCTGGCTATCTTTTTTTTTATCCTCACCCGAGGACTTTTTTTTTTTTTTATATTTTGTTCAGATAGAGTGGGGGTGGGGGGAGAAACATTGATGTGAAAGGGACACATCGAGTGGTCGCCACCCACACGACCCAATCAGGGCCAGGGACAAACTGCAACCGAGGTACGTGCCCTTAGCAGGAGCCGAACCCGGGTCTCTCCAGACCGCAGACCAATGCTCTAACCGCTGAGCCAAACCAGCCAGGGCAGCCCTGGCTATCCTAAAGGGTTGTCATTAGATGGTTCCAAATCAGCTCCCAGTAGAATAGGAACCAAGCTCAATCTTCATTCCATGAGACCCTGAAGAGCTGGTTCCTGAATTTTTCTGCCTCTTTTTGGAGAAGAATCACATAAAATGCAATAATCCACCTGGGAAACTCCCCTTCAAGCTCCCGCTACATCCTGGGTCTGAGCGAGGGGACCTTGAGGCTGTGATAGGTTACTAGTGGCCCCACTGGAAGGGGCCAGTGGCGACAGTCCGCGGATGTGCACAGGCTAGCCCATGTGGATGGTGCAGCAGGTGCCACATTAGCCAGATGTCAGCAGCCGACAGTCCATGCACTACAACCAGTTCACGGTAAAAGCAGGGGTCGAAGGTGCGCAGGTGTGGCGCAGCTGAAGGCTGTGGGATGCCAAAGGTGCGGAAAGCAGGGTGAGGCTCAGGCGTGAGCTGAAGGCGCTGCAGACACATGCCCAGAAAGACATCGTCGATTGGGAAGAGCTCAACCTGTGCGCAGGCACTGGCCAGGCGGCGCAGTGTGGCCCCGGAAAGCACGAAGCCGCCGCCACCCGCGTATGCCGGGTATACGGGTAGGCCATACACAGCCTCAGGAATGTAGTACTTGCTGGCTTGTGCCCGGATTGGCCGCGCCTGCACGATCACGTCACCCGCAAGCAGGTCTTGTGCTGGGTCCCTCGCAGCCAGGAACTCCAGTAGGTTTCCCACATGCATGAACACATCGGCGTCGCCCTTAAAAACGAAGCGCACGTCGGGGCAGTAGGCTGAGGCCCAGGCCAGAAAGTGGATCTCCTTGAGGGTTAAGTTAAAGAAAGTATCGTCAAAGGCCCAGAGCAAGATATCCTCGAAGGCACGGCTCTCAGCACGAAGCAGGGTTTGCCAGTGCGTTTGCTTGCCCTCCCCCTCAGCTTCAGCCCAGTCGTAGCTCGCGCCCCTGGGCACACCCAGCAAGAACACGCGGCGCACGAGCGCCCCCTGCACGCGACCCTCAGTACCCCATGTCTGGCGTACAGCTTGGCGCCGCTCAAAATCGGCCACCACTGACTTAACTGCGATGAGCAGGTCGGGTCCCGCGCTGGGTGCGCCATAGCCTCTGCACTTGTGAGGCTCGTTAATGAGCAGGGGGAAGTGTCGCTGGTCCTTGGCACGCAGGTATCTGCCAAAGTCAAAGGTTCTGGTGGGCGCAGGCGGCTCCGGTGGTGTATCCTCTTCGTAGGCCTGCGGGACTGCCCCTGCATCTGGTATCTGGAATACACGAAGCCGGGGGGTGGGCCCCGGCGCTGCCCTCCCCTGCGCCCGCGGTGCTCTAGTTGTCGGGGCCACGCCATCACGCTGCGCATAGAGCAGGAAGCCGAGGGTGGCGCCCAGGAGCAGCGTGAGCAACGCGTCCCATCGTAGGCGCAGCCTCCGCCTCATGTCCGCTTGGCCAGAACCCGGCCCCTGCGGAGAAACTCTGTCAGGGGTCCGAGCCCCGCCCTCCCCGTGGGAGGAGCACCTGCCGGAGTTCCCCAACTGCCGGGCAGTTCATCCCCCTCTAGTGTAACCCTACTCTGAGCCCCGTCAACGCCCACATACCCCCCACCTCGCATCAGAATGGATACCCCAAAAGGGCAAGAAGTCTTCCAAGTAGTCCCAACCCCTCAGTTTCGGCCCTGGACGGTGCTCCAAGGCCGGGGCAGGGAGACACAGCCTCAGTCCCACCCCCTGCCCACCTTCTCTGCCTAGAGGCCAAATCCCTTCTACTCTACCCACCACGTAGGTCCTTGGGATCCCGACACACGCTCGGCCCTTGGGAGCAGCGTGGCCCCAGACGCCAGAGCCTTAGGCTCAGTGCAGGGTCCCAAGGGCGGCCATGGACCCAGCCTGGGCCAGATGCAGCGTTGGCAGGAAGGGGGGGGGGGGGCAGGGGCTGCTGTCACGTGACCCTCCAGCTGTGCACGAGGACAACTGGAGTTCAGCTCCACCCAGGCCATGCAGGAAGTGGAGTGGAGACTGATCAGCAGAGAGGGATCCTAACTGGCAACTCCTAGAATTCCTGAAGAGGTAGGTTCTGGTCTCAATACAGGCTTAAACTCCCCAAATCTGCTTTTCTGGGGGAGAGGGGAAAGCCTCTCTGGTCCCCGCCCCCACCCTGGATTCTCTGGAGTGGAGCAGTTTCTAGGCCAGCAGGAGGGGGAGGTATGGCAGGCTGGTCCCAAATCACTGAGGCCCAGCATCCTAGTAATTGACCTTACCACTATCCAAGCCCATTCTTGGAAGTGTCTTTCCTCAGCTTACAAGGAGCCCTGGCCCATAAACTGCCCCTGGGACACATGGCTGCCTCCTTTCTCCTGGTTCTGCTATGCCCCCTCACCAAATACACACCAAGACAGCCCATTCAATTTTCACAACCCTGACAGCAGTTCTTATTGCTCATGCCCAGATGGAGACAATGCCCCTCGGAGCTAAGTGACTTGTCCACAACTATACAGGCAGAAGGTAAGATGATTGCCCTAGGTCTTCTGGAATTCAGTCCAGGACTCTTTCCTCTGTCATCCTTTGCCACTCTCCTCATAGACCGGAAGCCAATCCTGTGTTTTTTTCACCTGTTAGTTTCACAAGTGAGCACTTTAGTCTTTCACTCCAGAGGCAGTTCTGAGTCATCCAGTCCCTACCGCCCCAGGCCATCATAGCCTCCTGCAAGTAGAAATAACCAAGCCTGGGCCACTGCAGCCCAGATTGGGGAATTCCTGAAGTAGGCCAATGAGCAAAGGGGATGATCTGGGACCCAGGTGGGCAAAGGTGTACTCTGGAGACTGAGGGCTCAGTCATTGCCTAGCTTTGCTGCCTGCTCCCTCTTCCTGTAACTCAGCCTCCGGGTCCTAACCCATACAGTGAAGCCTAGAGTAGACAGCCTTCCCCACCACCACCACTCTCATCATGCTCTAGAGTTTGAGGGCAGGATTTAGGAACCAGCACTACTTCCCAGTGCCATCCTCTTTGCAATGGCTATGCCAGCTCCTCCTGACAATTTCCCACCAAAATTCTCCCTTAAAAAGCAAACCCTCCTTCCCTGGCCTGTGTGGCTAAGTTGGTTGGGGGTCGTCCCGTACACCAAAAGGTTGCTGGTTGGATTCTAGTCAGGGCACATGCCCAAGTTTCAAGCTCAATCCCCCAAGTGCAGGAGGCAGCTGTTTTGTTTTGTTTTTTATGCTCACCGAGGACATTTTCCCATTTTTGTTCAGATAGAGTAGGAGGGAGAGAGAAAAAAACATCAACGTGAAAGGGATACATTGAGTGGCTGCCTCCTGTACAACCCCAACCCGGGGCCAGGGACAAACTGCAACCAAGGTACGTGCCCTTAGCGGGAACTGAACCCAGGTCTCTCTGGACCACAGGCCAACACTCTAACTGCTGAGCCAAACTGACCAGGGCGCTGGTTGATATTTTGCTCTCACATCTATGTTTCTCTTTCCCTCTCCCTTTCTCTCCAAAAAGAATAAAAATATGTTTTTAAGAAAAGCAAACCCTCCCTCCTGAGCCTCACTTTCCTGTTCATAGACCTCTCAGGAGTTTGCTATTCTGGTTTCTTCCACCGCCTCACCTCCCATCCCTCCTGTGGTTTGGCTTCAGGCTGTACACACCATGTCCCAGAAACACTTCCCTCCTAGGAGCATTTTCCCTGACTCCAGCAAACCCTCCTCAGCCTTGACTGACCTGAAGCCCCATCACAGCAGGTGGGTATTCCCCTGGCTTCCCAATCTCCTAGTTTCTCTCCTTCCTTTGAGCTGCTCCTTTTCTGGTTAGTGTCCTTCAGGACCCACCCACTCCCACCAGTCCTTTTGTGAACCTTTAGCCTTGACCCCCTGCTGAAGTTAAAACTATAGATCTAGCTATCCTCAAACTCTCCCTGGATGTTCTACAGGAACATGCCCAACTTGTTCCAAACAGAGCAAGCACTTCATCTCTTCCAGGCCTGCATCTCAGCAAAAAGCCTCACCTTTCATCCAACTGGCAAAGACAGAAACTCTGGGTCCTCTCTCACTTCACTCTTTTTTTTTTTTTTTTTTTATCCTCACCCGAGGACATTTTTCCATTTTTTGTTCAGGTAGAGTGGGAGGGAGAGAGAGGAACAGAGAGAGAGAGAGAAACATCGATGTGAAAGGAACACATCGAGTGGCTGCCACCCGCACGACCCAACCAGGGCCGGGGACAAACTGCAACCGAGGTACACGCCCTTAGCGGGAACCGAACCCGGGTCTCTCAGGACCACAGGCCGACGCTCTAACCACTGAGCCAAACCGGCCAGGGCTCACTTCACTCTTTATCCATTGTCACCAGGCCTGTTATCCTTTGTCTGAAACAGCTATCAGTGTTCATCCCTTCCCTCCATCTCTGCTGCCACTGCCCCAGCCTGGGCCACCGTCCTCTCTCTGCATTCTCACAAGCCTCCCAGCCTCTATTCCTGAAACCCTTAAAAATCAATGGGAAAATATCCTTGGGTGAGGATTAACAAAAGAAAGAAAAGAAGAAGAAAAGGAAGAGGAGAGAGAAAGAAAGAAAGAAAGAAAGAAAGAAAGAAAGAAAGAAAGAAAGAAAGAAAGAAAGAAAGAAACAGGTACCATGCCCTGGCTGTGTAATTCAGTTGTTTAGAGCATCATCCCAATACACCAAGGTTGCAGGATCTATCCTAGGTCAGGGCACATACAAGGAGTAACCAATGAATGCATCAATGGGTGGAACAACAAATCCACATTTCCCTCTCTCTCTAAAATCAATACATAAAAATTTTGAAAAGAAACAGGTAACATTTTATTACTGTTATTTAATATTTGGAGTCCCACAATGAGTGTGAACTGAGAGCAGGCAGGATTCGTCTACCTTATTTACCACAGTATTTGCATTACCCAGGATGATGCCTAAAACAACAGCAGGTGCCTATAATGAGTGTTCAATAAGAAAAGAGAAGGGCTGGTTGGAAGCCCCTCTTCTGGAGTGGGTGAAGTGAGGCCCACCTCTGTAGCCCATCACCCCCACACTCTGTATATTATCTGGGGCCAAATTCCCAAGGGCACTCCAGCAGGCATGGTGGGTGCTTGTCTGACTCCTGGAAAAGGCAAACTCTGCCCAGCAGTTCGATTAAGTAGGGTTGTAAGTTCTGTGGATGGAGAGGTCAGCAGTAGCAGCAGAAGGAACCGTAGGGTCATCCAGGTGCTCCAAACCCTGGCTGGGCAACTGGCTGACCGCCCTTTTATCTGGTACCCAGCCTAGGCCAGGCCACCATCGGGATTCGCCAGGCCCAGCAAGTCCTCTGCCAGGCTAGTGAGCTCGTTCTCCTCTAGCGCCTCCACCAGACGCTGCAGCGTGGCGCGGCGGCCCTCAGCCTGCACGAAGCGCTGCAGCAGCTGGAAGGCCTGCTCGTACAACCCCTCGCGCTCGTACTCATAGGCCAGTGAGTCGAGCACTGGGTCCCTTAGCGCTCGACAACCTCGCTGCAGGGAGCGCCCAACCTTGCGCCATTTGAGGCCCACTGAGCGCGCAAAGGTCTGCTGGTCCTGCAGGCTTAGTGGCCGGTTCACTGTGGGGGAGTGGAAAGCAGAGTGAGCTAAGGGGTGGGGGTGGGAGCACACACTGATACCCTTCCATTCCCAACCTGTGATTTCCCAGTGACCCTGTTTCAGCCTCTCCAAGCGTGCCTCACCTACGGGCTGACCCTGGAACAGAAATGTCTGGCCAAATGGCGGCGGTGGCGACTTCTTCTCCAACAGAGAGAGGGCCTGGGACTGTGAGGAGCCTGGAGATACCTCCACGTTGCCACACTGGCCTCCTGAGCCACACGTCAGATTCCGGAGCGCATCCTCCAATTCAGTGAGTTCCTCGTCTGGGAGCCTGTCAGGCTAGGAGAGGTGTGCGGCGTTGGCAGGAGTCTTAGCTGCGAATCCCTGCCCCACCCGGCTCTGGCCCCAGCCCGGTCTGGCCGCACCTTCTGGGCAAAGATGCAACTCAAACAATGCTCCTCATCTGTCAGCAAGGGGTCCAGCCGCTCTGAGCCGGCGCGCAGCTCCAGTTGCAGCGGCACTGAGCACTGGGTGAACGCTGCGGCGAGGCAGCCCTCCAGCGTGGTGCGCAGCGCCCCCCCGCGGTAGGCGCGGAGGAAGCGGCCGCAGGGCTGTCGTCCACAGAAACGCAGCTGCACAATCAGCTGCGGTTCGCTGAGGTGGATCTTGAGCATCTGCAACACGTCGGGGCTCCCGCTCTCTGCAGAGGTAGGCAGACAGGCACTAGGCTGTCCCCAGGCGGGGCTGTTCTCCAAGTGGTGAGAGGAGGGGTGAAGCCCTTGATTAGACCCCCTCTCTACCCTCAGACCTAGGGGCGCAGGTTACCCCAGCCGGAAAAACAAAATTGAGATGCCAGAATGAAGACAAGGACCTATCACAGGGAGTGGATGCCATACTAACCACATCCCTAGCGCCCCAAATTAAGATGGTGAAAAAGGACGTGGGGAGAGACTTTGCAGCATAGAGGAGAGAATGCCCTGGGCAGCCAAGCCATCTGGGTAAGACAGCCAGTGGGGCAGGGAAGGGTCAGGAGGTCTCAGATCTTCAGCCTCTACGAAGTGTGGCTCCCGCTGCCCTGGAAGGAAAGTGGCTTTCGCCGCTCTGGGGCCTGAGTGGGATCCCCCAACCAGCTTCAGTCTCCTATTTCATCTGCCCTGACATGGGAATGGGGGGGGGGGGGGGTCCAGAAGATAGTTATTGGGAAGGGGCCTTGGGCAAGGAGTGCTGCAGTGTGAGAGGAAAAGAGGAGAGAGATGCACAATCATTAGAAAGCAGTGAGCTGGCTGGTCTGGGGAGTGGGGGACATCGAGCAGGGAGATGTTAGTACATACATAGGTAGATTATACAAAGACACAAGGATACATGTCTATACCCAAGGGCACACATGAATGAGTAACAAAGAAGACAGCCGAAGCAACTAGTCCACCTCTTCTCCCATCAAATAAATATTTTCCCTAACAATGGTTAGGCACATGCCCACAGAGTTGAGAGGTGTGTGTGTGTTGGGGGGGGGGGGTCTCAGCCCCTGGCCTGGCCTGCAGAAGGCCCCAGGCTGCCCCTTTCTCTCCAAGTGACCCAACCACGCACCTGCCAATGCAGTCCGAAGAGCCCTGTACACTGCCACCTTCTGCTGGGGGTGAGCGTAGGCATCTGACAGGACCACCTTGTCCAGCGAGGATTCCATAAACAGGTATGCACTGCCCACCCACTCCTCCAGCCCATTTGGCCCAGCTGCCATCTTGCCTCCTGAAGATGCAGATAGGCATCCAGATCACCCCAAACCCTGCCCTGGAGACAACCATCCAGACCCATGTGGCCTAGTTGTCCCCACCCAGTTGGCACACTTGTTCACCCAGCTCAGTCCAAACTTTCAGTGAGGACTGTCCCTCCATTGCCTTCTCAGAGGAAGAGCCAAGGGTCACAGTGGTAAGAGAGGAGAGGTACTATCCTGCAGTGGAGGCAGAGAAATTATGCCCCCTCCTCAGGCCAAGTTGTTTCTCTTACCAAAGCTGACAGGAGACATCTTCATCCTGGATGGTGTGCATTCCCCACAGCCAACCGGACCCATGCCCTGGTATGCCCTCAGCTTAAACTTGAGCTCCCAGCATCACTTAGGACCAGAGCCTCCTCTTCCCCCACAGCAGTTTTCTCGTCTGTGTTCCTACTATATATTCTGAATTCACTTCAAAGGATACCTGTAGTTTGTGCCTGCCTAGATTCCTTTCCCCAATCCTGACTGACTTTTGGGGCCTTTTCTCTTCCCTCTTTTTTAATCCATGTGCCTGTTGGGAGGGTTAAGCCCACTCCCTAGCTCCATGTGTGGGCATGTGAAACATGTCTGGTCAATCTGCATAGTCTATTCACCTTTCTAAAATGATTAGTACAGAATTAGGTAAATTCAAGTTGGACCAAGCAACCTGCAACTTTGGCTGGGCCAATAGAAAAGAGGCACTAGTTTCCCTTCCCATGGGTCTGAGCTGGAAGAGTAGGACTCCCTCCTTTGCCACTGCCTGGGAAGAGCCTATCTGAGAATGAAACTGACACAGAAGGAAACAGAGTCCAGAGATGAAGAGGTGTACTCCTAACCACACTATGCCCCTGGCTCTAGCTGCACTCTGAACTTCTCAGTTATGTGAGCTAAATCATTCTTTTTTGTTCTAAAGTGCTTGGAGCTGGGCTCTCATCATATGCAACTCAAATGGATCTGTTACAGACTCCTTCCCTGTTCAGAGAGAGCCAGAGCCCCTAGTATCACCTCCAACTATGGACAAAATCCTAGCCCTAGACCGGGGGCAAAATTCCCAGCCAGGGAACCACTGCACTGACCTTCAGTTCAGTAGTCTCCCAGTTACTGTTTCATGAAGCCTGCCTCTCTCTCCCCACCTCACCTTAGGCAACATCCCACCCTTATCCTATAAGCATGGGCTCAAGACCCCACCTCCTGCCCCATCAGGCATACTTCTTTACTCTTTGGCCATTAGCATTTACATATGGCTAGCTCCAGTTGCTGAGCTCCAGTCGTGACAGATGAGGTGGCCCCAGTTGGCATCCATTTACATGAGAGACAGGAAACCTCAGGACCACAGCCTTGGACATTGTTAGGGAGGCTGTGTTTCAGATCTTCCCCAGACCTTAACCTGAGAGCCAAAGCCTGGACAGTAACTGGGCAAGTGCCATGCAGCATCACCTAGACCTGGCAAGAAAAATATCTGGTGATGGTCTTATCCTGGGTCTGAGAACAGGGGATATGGCTTTTGAGCCCCCCCCCCCAATAATTTTTTGATAGAAAACATATTAATGCTTGGGTATTTACCAAAAACAATGACCTATGGGGATGGGAGGAGATTTGGGGGGATTTTAATTTGCATTGTATTTAGCAATTCTACTTTATGTAAAATAGATATATTTCCTTTGTATTAAAAAGGTGAAATAAATGTGTTTTTCTTAAAAAGCAATAAAATAAGCCCTGGCCAGTTTGGCTCAGTGGGTGAAGCATCGGCCTGTGGACCAGAGAGTCCTGGGTTCGGTTCCCGCTAGGGGCATGTACCAAAAAAAAAAAAAAAAGGCAATAAAATAAAAAAGGGGTTAGTCCCTGTCGATGACAAGTGAGGCCAGTAGGGAGACAAGTGAGGAGTCCTGGGAGAGTGGCCCAGGGTGGTAAAAGAATGTAAAAACCTGCCCTGGAAATGTTTACTTTTTCATGTCTTCTCAGTCCCCTGACTTGAGTGCTGGCCAGATGGATGGATGTGGTCCCACCCCCAAAGGGTGGAAGGGGAGGCAAGACCAACGAGCTGGAGTCCGCCCAGCAGGCCTTCCAGGGAACACTGGAAACTTGGAGGAGGGGGAACGCCCCATCACACTCATTAGGTCTGGACAAATGAGGTAAGTCAAATAGGTCTACCGGGGCCCTTGTCCCCCTTGTCCCGTTGGGAATTCCTTCCTATGCGTCCTTCCACAAAAGCCCCTCCTAGGGAAGCCTCGTGCCTCTCTTTGGGACGGGCCAGGATGGGTCCTGGAAACGCTTAACTGGGCTAAAACTGAGGAACACTTGGGTATCAACTCAAGAAACTATGCCAGCGCCCCATTAACACACCCTAACAGTCCCGGGGCAGCCTCACCTTTGGCCAGGTGGGCAGCAACGGCCTGCAGGCGCGGCCCCTACAGGTCGTAAAGCCTGCGACTCCCAGCATCCAGGCAGGCACGCTCCCTACTCAATGCACCACTTTCAAGCTCTGGAAGAGAGCTCCCAAGCCTCCCATCAGCCCCCTCTTATGCTGGGATTTCGCACGGGCGACTGGCTGGGACCCGCAAGAGGTCGGCTCAGAGATCCGTTCAGAACTAGACCCGCCCTCTCACCTGCAGCCTCTTGAAAGGCCCTAGCTGGGGGCAAGGAACCTGCAGCGGCCAAGGTCCATACCTTCTTTTCTGCCTCTCACGTAAACAGTCCAATAAGCCTCCGGTACCACCTGGCCCGGGCAGCCACGGATGACAACCGCGCCGCTTCCACGCTCCTGACCCAGGATCCACCTCTGCTCCTGCCAGCACTGGGAAGCCCACTCACCCTCTGCACTAACCTGGCCGCCCAGGCCCAGCCCAGATTCCCACGCCTGCCTAGTTCCACTGGATTTGAGCGGCTTCCGGGTGTGCGCGAAGCGCAGGGGCGGTGCCCCAGCTCTTGCCATCCAGTTCGCCCGGTGTCCGGCCCTCGGGCTCCTCGCTGCTCTTTCCCGCCCACTGTCCTCCACCGCGAGTCCCCAGCCTCTGGTAAAGCCCACCTGGTCCACTGAGCAGGTAAGACTGGCGTCCGAGGTTAGACGCACGAAAAACTGCCCGCGGCAAAGGGATTCGGGAGTCTTGTGGCTCTTACGAGACCGCAGGGCTCCAGGGTGAGAGCTGCCCGGCTTCCTCCGGCGGGAAACAAACAGATCAACAGGGGGCCGTCCCCTGGGGACCAGAATTTTCTGGTGCCTTCTGGGGGATCGAGCTCGATGATCTCTGACCTCTGCTACTCCCTGACACTCACGACGGTGTGCTGGTCGGTCCCAGGTTCAAGCCTGATCGAGGGTATCTGAACTTCCAGGATACACGTGCCAATTCCAGCAGGGACCGTTAGCCTGGAAAATATGGAGAAATAGAAAACTGGCAAGTGGTGTGAAGCGCTGTGTATGAAAACCTTCAAACACATTGAAATAAAATTGGCAACTTAAAAGAGGATGCACACTTTCCAACAATGCCCGCCCGGGAAAGGCCGTGTTCCGGGGTGGATCTTCAGAATTCCAGCTGAGTCTAAATCACCCATCTGGAGCCTGGGCTAGTCAGGGTCCAAGTTAGGAACTTGAAACCAAGGCCCCTCCGGCCCCAGCTCCACAAGCTTTTCTCCCACTGGCGTTACCTTGGAAGTATTCAGGACGTCTTCCCTCAGAGGTGGAGGAAGGGAGGGAGCATTCCCCTTTCAAGGCAGATTCAGCAATGCCCCACCCACTCCTCCGCTTCCTGATTGGCTTATGGTCCCTGCCAATTAAAAGTCCCCTCTAATGCTCCCGCCCTATTAACCCTATTGTCACTCTCTAGAGACTGGCAGGGCTAGTATGGGGTTTCCCAACTTGGGACCTGTGGAGTCAACCGGTGCTTGTTGAAATTCAAATTTCTGGACCCTACTCTTTCTGTCTGATTTAGTAGGTGGGGCCATGGATTCTGTATTGGGAACAAGTGTCCAGTGGTTCTGTAGCCCCTCCCTACTGGTCTGAGAATTTCACATTTCAGTGGCCCTCTAGATGGGCTTTGGGCCCAGTCCTTCCCTAGGACTGGCTGTGGAAGCTGGGAGGGAAGCAGTTCAGTGACTCCTGGAAGATTAGTCTGGGCAGTTTTGAGTGTATGTCTAGGGAGGCAGGGGAGGCAGGCGATCTCTCTGAGCTGGAGGGGAGAACCCGGATTGTTCTGAGTCAGGGCCTATGCAGCTTCTGTCCAACCTAGGGACTTTAGTAACTGGTAGAAAGATCTGATAACATTGTCCAAAATCAAGGTATTAGGTTTTATCAAGTTCGTGCATAGGTCGTGGTTGCGTTCCTTCTAATACTGTATAAAATGGGTATTTCTCTGGCTGGTTTGGCTCAGCGGTTGGAGCATCGGCCTGCAGACCAGAGTCCCGGGTTCAGTTCCTGCTAGGGGCACGTACCAAAAATAATAATAATAATAATAAAAATAAATAAAATGGGTATCCCCCCCCCAACAAATAATAGCGTAGTTCACAGGAAGCTTAGAAATCCTTCAGCCAACTTCATGGGTCTGCAGTAGCACAGGACCCACCCCATGTTTGGTTTAATAACTTGATTAAGTCCACCCAGTGTGGCTCAGTGGTTTAGCATCGACCCATGCTAAACCAGAGGTTGCCAGTTTGATTCCCAATCAGGACACATGCCCGGGTTGTGGGCTTGATCCCCAGTCCGGTGCATGTGGGAGGCGGTCAATCCATGTTCTCATTGATGTTTCTATCTCTCTCTCCCTCTCCCTTCCTCTCTCTCTAGAATCAATAAAGGAAAAAAATTTTAAATAACTTGGTTAAATGCTCTGCTGTCACTGACTTGAAGTTCTTAATAATGTTTTGAACAAAGAGTGCCACATATTAATTTTGTACTGGGCTCCACAAATTATGTAGCAGCTCCTGGGCCACAAGCATTGCCATACATAGGCTCTGGTGTTCCCCTGAACTCTCTGGCTTTCCTGAGCTTAGGGACATCCCTTTCTCTCCAAGCCAGAGCTGCTGGGAGCCGTGGAGCCCCCACCTCACACCTAGCAATGGCTGAGTCTGGAAAGCAACTGCCTGAGGAGGTGCTGGCACTCATCTTCCAATACCTGCCCCTATGGGACCGTGCTGCTGCCGCCAGGGTCTGCAGAGCCTGGGCTACTGCTGCCACCTGCAGCACCGTGTGGCATGACACGAACATCAGGTAAGCATCCTCCCCTCCTTCCTCCTGTCACCTCTCTCCGTGGAGTTGGGGGATTCAGTGACTCTCCCCATATTGAAAAGCATAATTATTACTAACACTAACTATGTACCAACCATTGTTCTAAGTGCCTTACATATATTAATTAATAGTATTATTATCCTCCATTACACAGATAGAAAATTGAGGCAGAGAGCGTTAATCACTTCCTGCAAGTCACTGAGCTAGGGAGTAGCAGAGGCTGAATGTGAACTTGGCCAGGCATGGTCTCCTTAGAGACGGCTGAGAAAGCCCAGTTCCTAAAACCCTGTTATTCCTGCCTGGGTTTCAACTTGTGGCGGATGCATCTGAAGTTCTCTAAAGGGATAGGGTGGGAATTCCCTCCTAGCGTTAGTAACTAGCTTGGGGTAACTAGACAGGTCGGGTCAGGGAGGTGTGTGGGTAGGGAGCAGAAATCGGTGATGGTAGCTGGAACCCAGGCTGATGGATAGATAGAGGCTTCTCTTGGGCTCTCTGGGACAGAACCCCATGCCTTTTCTCCAACCCTCTAACCCCAAGTTTCTACTGTGAGCAAGAAGTCATGCTGCCACCATATCTGTCCGCCTGCCTGGACCACGTTCGCAACCTGCAGCTGGAATTTGAGCCATCGAGGGAACCGAGCCGCCGGATGGCCACAGAGCTGCTGACTGCACTGGCGGGCCGTACCCCAGGTCTTCGAGGCCTGTGCCTGGAGTGCCTCGGAGAGAAGCCGCTCTTCGATGCAGGCCGCGACGTCCTGGACGCTGTGCATGCTATCTGCCGGGCTGCTCCCTCATTGCGTCACCTAGACCTGCGGGGCTTACCCTTCACTCTGGATGACGCGCTCGTGCTACAGGTGGCACTTGGCTGCCCTGAGCTCCGCAGCCTTTTCCTGAACAACGGTACCCTGGTGGGCAGCGTGGGGCCAGGCTCCCTGCTCCAGCTACTAGAGGCCTGCCCGCGCCTGTGCACCCTCGGCCTACACCTATCCAGCCTGTCACACACTGCCCTGGAGGTGCTGGTAGCACCAGACCGCGCACCTTTTGCGCTCCTGGCCCTGCGGTGCGCCTGCCCTGAGGATGCACGCGCCCCACCTCTGCCTAATGAAGCCTGGGCTGCATTACGCCGCCGCCACCCTGGACTAGTTGTGGAGGTGGAACTGGAGCCGGCAATGCCTGCTGAGAGTGTAATGCACGTCCTGCAGCCTGCAGTGCCAGTGGCTGCGCTGCGCCTCTGCCTCTCCGGAGACACCGTAGGTCCAGTGCGCTTTGCAGCGCTATACTACGCCGCAACCTTGCGCGTGCTCGAGGTGCGCGCAGCTGCCTCTGCCAAGCTGGATTCCGCACTGGAATTGCTAGCCTCGCTCTGTCTGGGCCTGCGCGAAGTACACTGCTTCTGTGTAGTGCGACCCTCAGTCCTGCACGCCTTCCTCCGGCACTGCCGGCACTTGCGCAGCTACACGCTCAAACTAACACGGGAGCCACATCCCTGGCAGCCCAAGCTTGTCGAATGATGGGGCAAGCTCTCTCCCGCCCCTGCCCCCAACAGGCATGTGGCCTCTCAGATGCTGGGTGGACTTACCCAAGCCCGCGCCAACTGCTGACCTGCTCCTTCAGGACTCTTGCCTCTTGTGCCTCTCGGGGTTTTGGGTGGGGGTGGGGCACCTTGAGTTCATGATCTCAACATCCGCAGGCACCCGATGCCCCCTCAGCACCCCCCCCCCCAGTACTGAAATTACCCTCCTCCAACTTCCCTCCTCAAAACGCTGTGCTAGCTCTGCGATCCTGACCTGGGGTGAGAGGGGATGGCTCTGGCGTAGTCCTTGTTTCAGAGGGTTAGTGTGAAATAAATCCTGTAGTATCTCTGCGTCCAGTGAAAGACCTGGTTGGCTTTGAAGGGGGAGGGCAGGGATCCCACAGAGATTCGAGGAGCGGAACAGGCAGGCGTGGGAGAACTTGAAACCTCAAGGTCCATTGTACTGATGCAGCTGCGGGAGTCAGGGGCGGGACACTCCCTATCCTTGGAATGACAACGCTCTAGGATTGGGAGGGAGGGTGTCCGCTTCTCCTCCCTCCCTTCTCCGGCTCCTCATTGACTGCTCTACCTGAGGCTTCACTGTGCCCACGGCCATGGTCTTCTAGGACTTTACCAACGCATACCAGGCTGCGCATAAGCTATTTCTTACAAAGAACAGTGGAAGAAACAGTGGGTCTGAGAAGAGTGGAACCTGAACCCAGGCCTCCCTCTCCTCCGCACCCCTGCACTCAAATCAGATTCCAGTCTGCCCTTTTGGTCTGCTGGCTCGGCAGCCTGGGCTGAGCCCCGCCCAGTGGGTTTGCATGTGGCCCCCACCTGACCCGGAGCTAGGAGGCCGAGTAGGGCGAGGCAGGCGGCAAACACAGCACTTTCTCTGGCTTTGACAAGTTCCCAGCAGTCGACCGAGCGCTTAGCCAGGCCAAGACTTCGCCATGCAGGAAGCGCCAGCAGCACTGCCCACAGAACCGGTCCCCAGCCCCGTGCCTGCCTTCCTCAGCAAGCTATGGGCCCTGGTGGGCGACCCTAGCACCGACCACCTGATCCGCTGGAGCCCGGTGAGGGCTGGGGCCCCTGGACTCCCCCAATGGTACCGGGGATTCCTCCACGCCAGTGAACATCCACTCCCACTCAATCCCAGCCTGGGATGGGACTGTGGGTCCCTGAATTCAGCGGTCCAGGGTAGTTTATCTTGGAGGGGGTGTGAGAGATGGAGGTAAGGTGACTTCCTCCCAGCTGAGGAAAGAGTAGGAGCCTTCTGGAGACTTAGAGCTCAAAATATCTCTATGGTCACTTAGTTCCCACACCACCCATCAGTCACATCGGAAAACAGAGGCCAGAAGAGAAGGGTTGGGTCTGGTTCTAGCTTAGAGTCACATTACAGGTCTGGAACCCCTCTGAGGCTGGAACCCAGGTCTGGCCTCTGCACCTCCTTTCTGAGAACGAGTAGTGAGTATGGGTCAGGCTGGGATAGGGATTCATTGTGATGGCCCCACTCTAAGCCTCAGAACTGGTTCTAACCTGGCCTTGTCTGGTGTCCCCATGAGTGACAGGCTGGGTCCCCAGAGTGAGTGCCTGTGTGTGCGCCAGAGAGCTGGGCCTGGCAGTGGGCACCGCTCACAGTGTCTTCCGGTCTCCACCCACACGGTGGGTGGGAGAGCGGTGTTCACGGCAGAGCGGGACCAGTTTCCTTGTAAGCGACCAGAGCGGCTTTGCCAAGGAAGTGCTGCCCAAGTACTTCAAGCACAGCAACATGGCTAGCTTTGTCCGACAACTCAATATGTGTGAGTCCCCAGGTCTGGGCAGGAAGGAAGGGTGGGTGACTTGGTGTGTGGAGATGGGGCAATTTAAGGCTCCATGCCCCACTCCCTAGATGGTTTTCGGAAGGTGGTGAGCATCGAGCAGGGAGGCCTGCTCAGACCCGAGCGAGACCACGTCGAGTTCCAGCACCCGAGCTTTGTGCAAGGCTGTGAGCAACTACTGGAACGCGTGCGACGCAAGGTGGGGCAGTTTGCAAGAACCAGCAAACCCGGGTGGAGGTGTTGGGACGGCGGCTGATTATGTTTTATGTGACTCAAGCCCGATGGTATCTCCCACCTGCAGGTGCCTGCGCTGCACAGGGATGACAGCCGCTGGCGCCCGGAGGACCTGAGCCGGCTGCTGGGCGATGTGCAAGCTTTGCGGGGAGTGCAGGAGAGCACTGAGGCTCGGCTGCGGGAGCTCAGGCAGTGCGGGGGGGGGGGGGGGGGGGTGTGTAATTGGGGGGAGTGGAAGAGGGTCGGGAAAGGGGCAGGTGGGGGGAGTCTGGGCTAGAGGATATTGTGATTCTGGGTAGCTCCTTCCTCTATCAGGTCTTGGGGCCTTCATTCATACAAAATGGGCAGGGGCGTAGAACTCTATTCTCTATGGATGGATAATGGGGGGGGGGGGTCGTGGGTTGGGACCTGCCATTCTATGGAGATTGGTGACTGGACCAACTCTCAAATGCCTCAGCACCTTTCCACACCTTCCCCCAGGCAAAATGAGACCTTATGGAGGGAGGTGGTGACACTGCGGCAGAGCCATGGTCAGCAGCATCGAGTTATTGGCAAGGTGTTCCTCTCCCACATTCAATTTCTCTCCCACTCCTGAATACCCTACTCTGCCTAATCCTCTAACCTACCTGAATGTGCTTTGTTAGGATGGGGGTAAGGTCCAAAGGGTGAATTAACCCTTTGCTTTCTCTTCAGCTGATCCAGTGTCTCTTTGGGCCACTTCAGACTGGGTCCAGCAGTGTAGGAGCTAAGAGAAAGCTGTGAGTAAAATTAGGGACATTCCCCCCACCCCAATCCAGCACCTTCCTTGAGTCCTCCTCCAGAAACTCCTTTCTCAGGAATCCTCATCCTCCCCTACCTCCACACCAGCCTTCCTCACCCCAAGGCCATCTCCCCAAGACCCCCCTTCCAAGACTTTTCCTCTCTCCCCTCAACTTCACCACCAAAACCCACACTCTTAGATCCCTGACTTATAGGACCTTATCCCCAAATTCTCATCCAGCAGCCCCTTACCCCAAAGCATCCCAACATCAGAGGGTCTGGGGCTCAAACCATGCTCCTGCCCTCCCCTTTCTATCCCCAAAGGGCCCCCACCTCTGGAGGGAGCCCCTTCTGCCTCCAGCATGTGACCGATGCCCCTGGCAACAGGCCTTAGCTCTGCTGACTTGGCTGCTGGGGCCTGTGGGAGGGAGGTGGTACAGACTGAGGGGCATGGGAGACCAATCTGCCCAGACCCTGTCTGTATCCTGCCACCCTGCACAGGTCCTTGATGCTGGATGAGGGGAGCTCATGCCCAACACTAACCAAATTCAATGCATGCCCCCTACCTGGTGCCCTCCTGCAGGACCCCTACTTTATCCAGTCGGTAGGTTTTGCTTTTCCTCCCTTCCCTAGGGCACAGCTGGGCTTTTGAAGAGCCTGTTCCTTTCCCCCTATTCCTCTCCCATAAAAGAGGAGATGGAGTCAGCCTTCTTCCTCCACACACACACCAGACTCCCCAGCATGGGCTGCAAAACTTTCCCTTTAGACCTGGTCCATGTGGGTATTGGTTGGGTTCTTGCTCACCCTGTGGCTTGAGTTGAAGGGTTAGGCCTAATCTATTTACAGCCTCTCCCAGAGACCACCTTGGGTCTCAGCAATCCTTATAGGGCCAGGGGCCCCATCATCTCTGACATCCCAGAAGACTCTCCATCCCCTGAAGGGACCAGGCTTTCTCCCTCCAGGAGGTAAAAGGGACAAACAGGGGCTGTCCTCTGGGAAGCCTGTGGGGGAGAGACTGGGAGCCCAGATGCCTGTGGGGGTAGGGGAGAGATCAGTGCCAGGGTCTGGTTGAAGCTTTTCTCTGTACAGGGAGAAGGGCACGGCATTGCTCAAAGAAGAGCCGGCCAGCCCAGCAGGGGACAGCCAGGCCAGGCTGGCCCTGGCTCCAAATGAGTGTGAATTCTGCGAGACAGCCCCCCCCCCACTGCCTGTGTCTGTGGTGCAGGCCATCCTGGAAGGAAAAGGGAGCTTCAGCCCTGAAGGGCCCAGGAGTGCTCAACAGCCTGAAACAAGGGGTCTCAGGGAGGTACCTGACAGGTGAGCAGAGAGCCCATTGTTTTAAAAATATTTTTTCTTGCCCTGGCCGGTTTGGCTCAGCAGTTAGAGGGTTGGCCTGAGGTCAGGAGAGACCAGGGTTTGGTTCTCGCTAAAGGCACCTACCTCGGTTGCAGTTTGTCCCCGGCCCTGGTTGGTTCGTATGGGTGGCAACCACTCGATGTGTCCCTTTCATGTCGATGTTTCTCTCTCTCTCTCCCTCCCACTCTATCTGAACAAAATATCGAAAAATGTCCTCGGGTGAGGATAAAAATAAATAAATAAAAATCATTTTAAAAAAATATTCTCTCCTTGTATTTAACCTTCAGCATTTTGATTGTCTTGGTGTGGGCCTCTTGGGTTCATCTTGTTTGGAACTCTCTGTGCTTCCTGGACTTGTATGTTTGTTTCCTTCACCAAGTTAGGGAAGTTTTCTGTTATTATTGTTTCAAATAGGTTTTCAATTTCTTGCCCTCTCTCTTCTCCTTCTGGCACCCCCATGATGCGAATGTTGGCATGCTTGAAATTGTCCCAGAGGCTCCTTACACTATCCTCATTCTTTTGGATTCTTTTTTCCTTTTACTGTTCTGCTTGGGTGTTTTTTGCTTCCTTTTATTCCAAATTGATGGTTTGCTTCATGGCTTTACCTACTCTACTATTGAATCTTTGTAAATTTTTCTTTATTTCAGTTAATGACTCCTTCATTTCTGACTGGTCCCTTTTTATGCTCTTGAGGCCCTCACTAAGTTTGTTGAAGTTCTTACTAAGTTCATTGAGCATCCTTTTAAACAGTGTTTTTAACTCTGCATCTGTTAAGTTGCTTATCTCCATTTTGTTTAGTTCTTTTCCTGGAGTTTGGGACATGTTTTTTGTCTCCTCATTTTGGCTGCCTCCCTGTGTTTGTTTCTGTATATTAGGTAGAGTTGCTATATCTCCTGGGCTTCCTAGAGTGGCCTATTGCAGTAGGTGTCCTGTAGGGTCCAGTGGCACAGCCTCCCTGGTCTCCCAGCTGGGCCCTCGAGGTGCGCCCCTCATGTAGACTTTACACCCTTGTTGTAATTGAGTCTTTTTTTTTTTTTTTAATCCTCACCTGAGGAAACTTTTTCATTTTTTGTTCAGATAGAGTGGGAGGGAGAGAGAGGAAGAGAGAGAGAGAGAGAGAAACATCAACGTGAAAGGAACACATCAAGGGGCTGCCACCCGCACGACCAACCAGGGCTGGGGAAAAACTGCAACCAAGATAAGCGCCCTTAGCGGGAACCAAACCAGGGCCTCTCTGGACCACAGGCCGACACTCTAACCGCTGAGCCAAACTGGCCAGGGCTGCAATTGGGTTTTTTTTTTTTAATCCTCACCCGAGGATATATATATTTTTTTTTATCCTCACCCGAGGACATTTTTTCATTTTTTTGTACAGATAGAGTGGGAGGAGGAGGAAGAGAGAGAAACATTGACGTGAAAGGGACACATGGAGTGGTTGCCACCTACACGACCCAACCAACCAGGGCTGGGGACAAACTGCAACCAAGGTACATGCCCCTAGCGGGAACCGAACCCGGGGCTCTCCAGACCGCAGGCTGACGCTCCAACCGCTAAGCAAAACAGGCCAGGGCTGCAACTGAGTCTTGATTGCAGTCTCAATGTGGCTTCTTCTTTAATTTCATAGTTGTTGGACTTTCATTCAGCTAAATTTCAGGCATTTTTGAATGATGGTTGTTCTGTAGTTTAGTTGTAATTTTGATGTGGTTGTGGGAGGACATGACACCGTGTTTACCTATGCCGCCATCTTGATTGGAAGAGGAATCTGCATTTTATTTTTCTTTATCCTCACCCAAGGACTTTTGTTTGTTTGTTTGTTTGTTTTTGCATTTATCTTCAGACAGGGTGGGAGGGAGAGAAGGTGGAAGGGAAAGAGAGAAACATCAATGTGAGAGAGGCACATCGACTGGTTGCCACCTACACAACTCCAACAAGGACCAGGGACAAACTGTAACCGAGGTACAGGCCCTTAGTGGGAAGCAAACCCAGGACTCTCTGGTCCACAGGTCAACGCTCTAACTGCTGAGCCAAACTGGCCAGGGCAGAAATCTATATTTTAAAAGAGTCCATTGAGGTGGTTGTAAAGATTGTAAAGTACACAACAGTTTAAGAAACACTGGTATTGACAATTGCATAGGGAGGGGACATATCCCAAGACTCCAGCTCTACAACCCAAACCTCAGACCACAGGTATGAGGCAGAGGCATTTTTTTTAAATCCTCACCTGAGGATATTTTTCCATTTTTGCTCAGATAGAGTGGGAAGGAGAGAGAGGAAGAGAGGAAGAGAGGGAAAGAGAGAGAAACATTGACGTGAGAGGGACACATCATCTGGTTGCCTCCCACATGACCCCGACCAGGGCGGGGGGGTGAACCGCAACTAAGGTATGTGCCCTTGATTGGACTTGAACCTGCAACTCAATTGGCCTGGGGGCCAATGCTCCAACCGCTGAGCCATACCAGCCAGGGCAGGCAAAGGCATTTTTATGTGCCCCTCTATGTGTGTGTGTGGGGGGGGTCCTCTCCTACCATTTTCTAGATATTGTCAGATTTAAACCCTGTGTATCGCCCTGGCCGGTTTGGCTCAGCGGTTAGAGCGTCCACCTGCGGTCCGGAGAGAACCAGGTTCGGTTCCTGCTAAGGGCATGTACCTTGGTTGCAGTTTGTCCCCGGCCCTGGTTGGTCGTGCGGGTGGCAGCCACTCAATGTGTCCCTTTCACATCGATGTTTCCCTCTCTCTCTCTCTTCCTATCTCTCCCTCCCACTCTATCTGTACAAAAAATGGAAAAACGTCCTCGGGTGAGGATAAAAAATAATAATAATAATAAACCTTGTGTATCCAGGTTCCTTGGGAACCTAATTGGGGGGTGGGGAGAGTTACTGCATGCCAACAGCAGTTCTCTGTGCACAGGGAGCCTCTGGGCCTGGAGAGTAGAGGCCAGAGTCCAGAGAGTCTGCTGCCTCCAGTGCTACTTCAGCCCCCCCCTGAAAGTGTGGATATGAGTGTACCTTCAGCAGTGCATGGGGCTGTGCAGCCTGGGAAGGGCACCATTGACCTGGAGCTCCCCCAGATGCTGGGACCCAGCCTCCAAGGGCAGGAGTGGACCCTGATGGACTTGGACATGGAGCTGTCTCTGGTAAGATGGGAATGGGGTGGGCAGGGGCTTTGGGGTTGCTGAGCCAACCCTCTGGTCCTTGGTTGTTCTCTCTCAGTCAAAGCCTTAGTTCCTTTCCCCAACTGCTTCTGTGGGTTTCTCCCAAACAGATGCAGCCTTTGGTTCCAGAGAAGGGTGAGACTGAGCTGGTGGTCAAGGGGTTAAATTCTCCAGGCCCAGGTAATGGGATTGGCCAGAACTACCATAATTGGGTAGGCTGGGCAGTTTGTGTTTTGGGGGACATCCCTTGAGTTCAGGTTGCCCTGTGGAGAGCTGCTTAAGCCACTTATTCCCTCACCACTGGGTGAGAGTGGGGAGATTGAGAATGGATGTTTCATCCTAGCTGACTAGAGGGCAAGGCAGGTGAGGTTCCCTTTCCCTGAAGAAAGTGGGACGTTTCTCCCTGCTGAGTACAGCCCCACTCCTCCTAGGGAAGGACTCCAATCTTGGGGCACCACTTCTGCTGGACGTCCAAGCGGCTTTGGGAGGCCCAGTTCTCAGCCTGCCTGGAGCTTTAACCATTTACAGTACCCCTGAGAGCCGGGCCTCCTATCTGGGTCCTGGGGCTGATCCCTTCCCCTGAGATTCTCCAGTCTGAAGCCAGCTCAACTTCCTGTCGCCCCCTGGCGGAGGCTGAGCGAAGACCCTGCTACTCGGTAGCCCCTTTCCACTACCAAGTTATACACATAAACCATATTTTTTGTCTGTATTTTTGGTCTCTTTTCTCTACCAGAGAGCACATAAGTCATGGGGGAGAGGGGCTATTTTGCATTCGTAAAAGTGTCCAGGTCCTAGGGCTTTAATGGAGAAACTCCTAGAGAATGGAATGCTTGGGGAGCCTGCTCCTAGTTCTGCGTGGGTCTGGATGGATCCTCCGGCCCGGATCCAGGGCTGGTGCCTGACCATTGCAACCTCCAGAAATTGGGGGCTTCGGAGGAAACACAGCTCCACAATGAATCCGCTCTGTGATCCTAGGTAAGCTGGTCCCCTTTTGTAAGCATATCTGTGGCAGGTAAAGAGGGGTCGACGAGAAGATGAGAGTAAAGCGCCTGGGAACTGCCAGGCCCAGAATGGGCGCGGGGTATGTGGGGCCGCGGACCGCACTGCCCCCTCGCTGACTCATCCAGCGCGCCGGGAGTGGGGAGGGAATGCGGACTAAGTGTACGAGCCCGGGTGAAGGGTGGCCCTGCCAGTCGGCCTCCCAGCGTGCGGACCTGAAAGCCTGCTCTCCCCTACCCCCTCCTGGTTCCCGGCAGCCCTGGCCGCCCCGCCCCCACCGCAGCTGCGGCTTCCATCCCTACCCCCCGCCCCCACCCAGCCCTTTCTGCCTTGTCATCTCCTACCCCGCCAAGGCTCGACTGGTGAGTGGGGCCGCCCGGAGGAGGGAAAAAAGCAGATCTGGCAGAATTCGCGCCCCCCCAAAGCAGCGCTCTAAGAAGGTCTGTGAGCCCCGCCCTTCCGCAGGACTCTTAATTCTGGGACAAGGGGAACCTGTGGTCGCACCTGCGCAAGGGCTCCCGCAGTTTCCCACAACTCTCACTCCCTAGTGAAAGAGCCTGCAAAGCCAGGTGGAGAGTGGGGTGAGAACCCCCTTCACGACTCGAATTTGGAGCTGCCTTGTATCCTGGTAAGGATCTGGCCGGTGATCCTTGAAGGACTGGCCACGACGTAACTCCGTTAACAGTATTTACTTCTGAGCACTGAGTCTCAGAGGGAGGGCCTAGACCAGCTAGGGTTTCTGTACCCAAGACAGAACCGAGGACAGGACTTGAGTAATGGGCGGAGAAGACTACCATAAAAATAATTTGGTGAGGAGTGAGAGAGAATGAAGGGCAAATCCCATCTGCCCCCTCCCTCTCTGCACTTGTACAAGAGTAAGTTCTGTTTCCTTCCTTCCTTCCTTCCTTCCTTCCTTCCTTCCTTCCTTCCTTCCTTCCTTCCTTCCTTCCTTCCTTCCTTCCTTCCTTCTTTCTTTCTTTCTTTCTCTTTCTTTCTTTCTTTCTTTCTTTCTTTCTTTCTTTCTTTCTTTCTTTCTTCTTTCTTTCTTTTCTTTCTTTCTTTCCCTTCCTTCCTTCCTTCCTTCCTTCCTTCCTTCCTTCCTTCCTTCCTCACCCGAGGATATTTTCCCACTTACCTTCAGATGGAGTGGGAGGGAGGGGGAGGGGAGAGAGAGAGAGAGAGAGAGAGAAACAAAAAACATCGGTGTGAGAGGAACACATCGAGTGGCTGCCTCCTGGAGGATTCCGACCAGGGCTGGGGATTAACCACAACCGATGTACATGCCCTTGACTGGACTCGAACCCAAGACCCATTGGTCTATGGGCTGAGGTTCCAACTGCTGAGCCAAACTGGCCAGGGCTCCCTCTCCCTTCTTGCACCTGTGATTGGATGACAGTCTTTGGAAGCCTCAAATGTAGAGGGTAGAGGGTCTGTGTGTACACAGTACAGTGATGCCAGTTAGTGTAGTGCTGAGGGCATATGCTGTTCACTGGTGTACACAGAAGATGAGATGGAATGTCTGCCTATCACACACTCTAACATTGGAGTGGACAAGAGGGCATTTATTTGAGTCTTGGAGGATGAGTCCACAGCTTGGAGGAAGGGGAAAGGTATTTCAGATTTTAGGAACAGCATCTGCTAAAGTTAAAAAAATACCAGGGGCTTAGAGAGTTTCCCTAGCTCTGAGGGTTGGGGTAAGTAGGGGAGAAAGCCTGTCTTTCCAGGAAGTGGGAGAGTGGCCAGGCCAAATAGTCTGAATTTTCTCTCTGATGGACAGTGGGGAGCTGGGGACAGGTAGTTAGGGCTGATATTCTGCTTGGCAGGAGACTTGATTGTAGTTTAGGTTGGAGCAAGTCAGATTACAGTTCTGTCACTTGGTCTCTCTGATCCTGTCTTCTCATCTGTAAAATGGGGACAATAAATCTTGCCCCAGAGAATTGTTGGAAGTGTCTTTGCTGTGGAGGTGATGAGATAGGAGTGAGAGGTACTCAGAGAGATTGTCCGAGGAGATGAGGTGAGGATGGTGGGGTTGAGGGGAGATGCTGATAAAGACAAACTGAGAGGTGGAAGAGCAGCATTTGTCATGGATGGGACATGAATGAAGGAGGGCCCTGGCCAGTTTGGCTCAGCGGTAAGGGCATCGGCCCATGTACCAGAATCCCAGGTTCGGTTCCCACTAAGGGCACGTATCTTGGTTGTAGTTTGTCCCCGGCCCTGGTTAGGGTCGTGTGGGTGGCAACCAAGCGATGTGTCTCTCTCACATTGATGTTTCTCTCTCTCTCTTCCCCCCTCTCTCCCTCCTGCTCTATCTGAAAATAAATGCAAAAAAAAAAAAAAGTCCTCGGGTGAGGATAAAATAAGGAGGGACAAGGGGTAGTAGTTCTAATCTCTGATCAGTAACCTGGGGGAATGGCTATGAGAAGTGAAATGACCAGGAAGGCATAGCATGACACCAGGTTGTTAATGAGACCTGGAAGGCAGGAGAGGGCTAGAACCACATTTGCTCTCCCAAACCTAGAGCCATGTAAGGAGTTAGAGGAGGGACTTCAAAGGGAGAATGAGACCAGAAGCATACTGTGTGGACAAAGCTAAGGCTGGAGGAAATGGGCTGAGAGAGGAAGTGGTCCAGGGTCTGACCTCTTTGCCCCTAATGCCAGGGGCTTGGCTGACTGGGTCAGGCCATCCAAGAGGGGACGGGCTATTGTCTTTAGATAAAAGTGGACAAAGCAGATTAATCTCTGCTTAACACCTGCTGTTTGGTAGAAACAGTCTCTCAAAATGGAAGGATCCATGGAGGAAACAAGTAAAGGTTCGGCAAGCATTTTCAAATAAATTGTTGAGCCCTGGCCAGTTTGGCTCAGCAGTTGGAGCATCGGCCTGCGGACCAGAGAGTCCCGGGTTCAGTTCCCGCTAGGGGCATGTACTAACAAAAATAAAATAAAACAAATAAATTGTTGATAGCTTTTTTGAGTTTGGCCCTGGGTACTTTAAGATGAAGCAAGAGATGGCTCTGAGTCATTCCCAGGGCAGCAGGGAGACAGTTGGGTCTCAGGTGATGTTAGGAGATCTTGGTCAGAGCTAGGACTAAAGAGAATTCAGGTATCCCTGCTCAGATATTAGGGAACCAGGAAGGTGACATTGGGGTAGTGGCGCTGGTGAGGGGGTGCAGGGGCAGATGGATCTCAGGGTCAGAATGAGGGATGTGGTCATTCTCTGGTGGGTGAGAGGAGCTAGGGAGGATCTCAGTACTTTCTGCTCTAGGTGTGGAGGGGATTCAGGGCTCTGCAGGGTCTAGGCCGGAGGTGAAAGCCTAGACTATGAAAGTAGGGAGGATGACAGAACTATTCAGCAGATAGACTGAAAAAGACTTGACTACAAGCTGGGTGTGGGGTCTTTGCTTGTTAACATGGGGAAGCAGGTTTGGGAGAGTAGTTTGGAAAAACTGGTTCTGAACAGATCGCAGAATCTGTAGGCAGCTGGGGCTCAAGAGGGAGATGCTAATTGGGGAGAGCAGTCGGAGAGTAGTAAAGTCCTGAGAGAGCAAAGGAGAGGAGGACCACAGCTAATGTTTAGGAACCCAAGAAGCCAGAGGAGGAGACAGGACTGAACCGGCCCAAGAGGCAAGAGTAGAGTCCTGTGCTGCAGAGCTGTCCTGCCTCCAGCCTCGAGGTGAACTTAGACCCCAGCCATGGGTGTTCACTGGAGGGAAACAGGTCAGGGGTGAGGAATACGTGGCCCTAGTACCTCTCTACCCCTCCCCAGGTACCCCCCACTATGGGCAACGCACAGGAGAGACCATCAGAGACCATAGACCGTGAACGGAAACGCCTGGTAGAGACGCTGCAGGCCGACTCTGGGCTGCTGCTGGATGCGCTGCTGGCGCGGGGCGTACTCACCCCGCCGGAGTACGAGGTGTTGGATGCGCTGCCTGACACTGAGCGCAGGGTGCGCCGCCTACTGCTGGTGGTGCAGAGCAAGGGCGAGGCCGCTTGCCAGGAGCTGCTGAGCTGCGCCCAGCGCACCGTGCGCGCGCCGGACCCTGCCTGGGATTGGCAGCATGTGGGCCCTGGTGAGCGCAGAGGGGAAGGGGAGACAGGGGCAGAGTTCTAGATTCCCCTATAGGTAGGCGTGTGCAGAGGAAACTGCAGATGGGTAAATTGAGCCTGAGACGCTCCCACCTCCGTCCCAGGCTACAGGGAACGCAGCTATGACCCTCCATGCCCAGGCCACTGGACACCTGAGGCAGCCGGCTCAGGGACCCCCTGCCCTGGTCTGCCCAGAGCTTCACACTGCAATGAGGCCGGGAATTCTGAGAGCTCCTGGGCAGTGCAATCCGGAACCCTCGAGGAGCCCCAGACAGAGTTAGAAGCTGAGGCCTCTGAAGGGGCTGAGCCTGAGTTGGAACCGCAAATGGATCCAGAACCAGAGCCTGAACTGCCGCCAGAGCACGACCTGGAGCCGGACCAGGAGCCAGAACCAGACCACGAGTTGGACCAGGAACCAGAATCCGACCCTCAGCCAGAGCCAGACTATGAGGCAGAGGATGAGTCTGAAGGTGTTAGGCTGCTCAAACCCAGCGCCAGGTTTGTGGGAGGTTGTGGCTGGGAGGCAGAGAGCGGGCCTCACCTGACCAGTCACTTTCCCCCTTCATCTCTAGATTCCTGAAGGCCAGAGAATTGACAGGTCACTCCTCATCCAAGCTGAACAGAACCTGGGATCCTGCCTGGCTGGGATGGATTACCACCAAGGCTCCACCTGGCCTAGTATTCACTGGAAGTGATACACTTTGGAGGGTCAGTTTGGACTCTCTGTGATTCTGGCTCTTTGCCTAGGAATAAAAGTGTGGACCTGTGCTCTGAGATCCAGTGACCTGGGCAGCCCTGTGCCCCACCACCCAGTCCTCAGCCCCATTTTTTCAGTGATTCTAGCTGCACCCCTGGAGATCCCAAATCCGGGCGTCCAGTGAGACAAGGGCTTGACTTGGGCCCTTTTATCTTCCTGATCTTCCTGAACCATTTGAGCACATGTGTTGTCACCAGCCCTATTCCATGGAAGCCACTGGGTCTGGTACAGAAAGCCAGAGAAAGGGAACTTTTCTCCCCTTAGGGAGGGCTAGAGCTGACAGCCTTGGGAAATGAGATTAGGAGAGAGGAAGAGGAAGGGATCCTAAGTAGACAAAGACCACGCACCTCATTTGTAATTGTTTAATTGTCTGGCTTTTCTCAGGACTGGGAGCTTAGTGAGGGTTTGACCAGTAACTGGCACACAGAAGGCGCTCTATGCATATTCACTGACTAAATGAATAAGGACTTCCCAGCTGTATTTCTAAATTTTACAGATGGAAAAACTAAGGCCAAAGGTGAGATTGGGACTGGATCAACCTCTCACAGCTGAGTCTGAGGTGAAACTGGAAGCAACAATTATCTCTGCACCTCTCCTGGTCCAGGAGGGGCTCAGGATTTGGGACAACTAGGGGCCTGCCCGCAGGTTTGATTGTGGCTGCTACCAGGCTATGCCAACCTCTGTCAGAGACCAGCTATGAGAGTGGGCATAAACAGGGACAACAGAGGCCAGTGGAGTGGGTGGGGGTAGGGGCATGGCCAGGTGAACTCCCAGGCTCAACTCACAAGGCCTGAAGTACTGTGCGCGCGCGTGTGTGTGTGATGAGACCGGGGCTAGGAATAGTGGTGCCTTTCAGAGGAACCCTGTTCCCTCCCCTGAACCTTCAGAAGCTGCTGCCTCCCAGCCCCAGGAAGTAGAGCACATAAAAAGGGAATAAATACTTGAGCAGTGGGAGAGGCAAAATGTTGGAAAGCACATCCCAGCCCAGATGGGTCTCTAACTACCAGGACCCTTGCCTGTTGAGTTTGTGTGAAAGCCAGGACCCCAGGCTCAGATACATAATTAGCCCAGGAGAAGGGTGTACCCCTCCCCCCAGGACCCAGTGAGAGGTAGATAGTGTGAAAGCTGAAGGAGCACCAAGGGGCCAGGTAGGGGAAGGGAGACAAGTATGCAGACACCCAAAGCCATCTCATGCAAGAACAAGTTTCTACTCCCAATTCATCCCCCATCCCCATCCATGCTCAACTTCCCTGGTGCTCCCAGGCTTCCCCTCTGCTCAACAGACAGAGGCAGCAGGGTAGACTCAGTTCACCCAACATGCTGCTGCTGGTCTCCAGGTCCCAAGGAACACAAACCCACTGATGTTGCCACTCCTCCCTCCTGAGATGCTCCTGTCCTCTCAGCTTCTCTCAAAAAACACTCAAGCCATGGAAGCAAAGAGTAGTCATCTTGGTGTTCTGGGGGATGAACTGGAGCCCTTGACCAATATTAGTCAGGCAGCAGGCGGCCCAACTCTGCTTCATCCAGCCGGTTGGTGGCCATGATGTGCTCTAGCTGCTGCCGATATCGCGCCAGGTCTTGCATGAAGTGGGGCACCCGAGTATTGTCCAGCACCCCATGGGGCCGCAGGTGGTCTACATCCTCATAGGACACCTATAGGGAGGAAGCTGGATCTGAAGGGTAGGCAGAAGCCCTCCCTTTCAAGAGGCTGCTCCCAGCTCTCTACCAATGATTTATTGCCCTTTGCTCCCCAAACTCCTCCCTTTCCCCTCCTGACCCACTGCCAATTTTATGTATCTCAAGGCTCAGTCCTGGGTGCTTGCTCTTTTTCTTAACACCTTTTTAATTTATTTTTTAATCATCTATGCCCTACAATCCCACTACTCACTAGCTTCTTCACCTCCAAACCTGGATATCTAACTGCCTTCTGAGCACTTTCTCCTAGATAGCTCACAGGTACATCAGACTCCCCATACCCAACCTGAATTTCTGGGTGTCAGATTATGCCAGCCACTCTCCTGACAGTCCCCTATGTCAGATTCTAGGGAGGGGACTGGAATCTGTCACCTTCCCCCTCAAGGTGGCCACTGAGCTCAAGGGATTCCACTCTCTGAAGAGCTCTCCAGCTTGCCTCTCCCTCTCCAACAGCATGGCCACTGCTCAGTTAGGCCAGACCACCATCAGTTCTTCTGGAGTGATTAGAAAGGCCTCCTTCCTTCCCAACTGCATTCCCTTCCCAAGGCTTCTCTCTCTGGACCGCAGGCTGACGCTCTAACCGCTGAGCGAAGCCCGCCAGGGCACAAGGCCTCTCTCTCAATCCACCTCCCATATGACAGCCAAAGGGAGCCTTCTAAAACAAACATCTGTGCCACTCCTCTGATTAAAGCTCTTCTGATTCTCCCATTGCTCCAGAGGAGGTTTACCTTTTTCACCTGGCATAAATACCCAGTGCCAGGGACTTGGTCCCTGGCCATTTCTCCAGCCTCCATCTCCAGGCCTTCCTGACTGCTCCTTGGGTCTGGAATGATACACACACACACACACACACACACAGCTCCCCCCCCCATCCCACCCCCACTTTGTCAAGTACCTGCCAGACTGTTATTTCACCTCCTGTGCTCACCTCCCCCAACCAGAGAGGCCTGGCACTGAGTCCTCGGTCAAGCATCCATCAGAGGCTCAATGAATACTGTGATGAGGAGAGCTGGCTGGAACCTATGAAGGCACGTGGCCACTCACCTTGCCCAGTGAGGTCAACAGCGGGAAATCAATGGTCTGTCGGTGCCGCAGAATGCGCACGATGCCATCCAGGTATACCTGGTCCTTGCTGAAGCAGCCTGTGGGCACAGGAGGGCTGTGAGCCCCTACATCTGAAGCCACCCCCGCCCTTCCCCAGCTCAAGGCACTCCCCACACGGGTACCCACCCGGCAGTGAGGTGTCGGTCTGGCCACGTTTGGCGCGTACGCAGTACTCCCAGCGCACGTCAGTGTCCTGCACGTAGCGCGCCAGGTCCTGGAAGAGCTGGTGGAAAGACATGTGCGAGGCTCGGTAGATAGTGTAGTAGAGCAGTGCTGCGCGCCACAGGAAGGGCTGCTTGCGGAACAGCACACTGTGCAGGCTCGCCAGGCCCTCCTCTGTGGGGTTCGCTGGCCTCAACCCATATTGCAGCCGGCCCTCAGCACTGTGCCAGGGCTGCCGTGCGTTGTTCACACCTCGCAGGTAGTGAGTGCCTGTGGCAGGGGGGAGGGAGGTAGTGCAGGGTGGGTCATCTGGATACCCTCCTGCCAGATCTCTAACCTGTACTCATGTGTCTATCTTCATGCCCCTAAACTTAGGCTTTCACATAAGCTCTCCATGCCACCCCTACCCCAACCTGCATACTCACCCAACCCTAGGCAACATGAAGACCCTCAGGTGAACATGTACCCAAGGACCCATAGAATCTCTCATACAAGAATCCTCCCCTACCCATCCTGAGCTACACACACACACAACTCTCCCAAACTCACACTGTTTCCCAGGCCCCTGGAGAGGAGCAGAACTCACCCACCACCCCAGCCCAACATCCTGAATTTCCTATCATTTGACAGTCACACTAATGTCCCTAGAAAAAAACCTCCTTTTGCCCATAGCAACAGAATTCCTGATGAGGAGAAACAGACAGAAAAGAATAGTAACTAGTGTCCTGTGCTCTCCTTTCCAGCCTGGCCTATCCCCTCCTATACCTGGCTCTGTGTGTCCTCAGCCAACTCCATTTCCACTCTGGAGGGCCTGAATGTTGGCTGGGCTAGTGGGACCCTCAGTATTTTCCTTCTGACCTGTCCAGGCCTCAACAGAAAGGAAGCGGAGAGAGAAAAAGATACCCAAGAGGAGTGATAGATGAGGGTGAGCCCAGAGAGTGGGCAGGCATGTACAGGCCTACCTCTGTGAGCCAGAGGGAGGAAGTAACTGCTCATGAAAGGAAAGGGCCCACTCTCGGAGGGAAGTGGGAGAAAGAGAGGGGTAGGGTTACTGGGGCCCCTCACTGTCCCACTACATCCCAGCCCCTCTCATCTCTACCTGCCCACCCACCTACCCACACCCTGACCTATCTCGTGCCGCAGCATGCCTTCCAGCCAATGTTGGCGGGCTCCAGTCAGGTTGATGGCCAATGTTGGTCGGCTGTTCTCCACCATCATCACTGCCTGGGACAGCAGGTCTTCACTTAGCTGCACCACAACCTGCGGGCAGCAGCAGTGCCCTGAGCCATGGCAACCAGCCCTGGGCCAGTGTGTAGGTGTACCCACTAATAATGCCACAGAGCATCCAAGCTGGACACTTGGCCAGGACACCCACCCTTTACCATCTCTGCACAGAGCCAGCTCCCACCTTACTAGAGCAGGGACAGGGGTTGCCAGGGTTCACTAGCTGGCCAGTTATGGAGCTGGGCCTGGCACCATGCATTGGACAGCCCAGTTTGGGTCATGTAGAAGAGGGTCCTCGCAGGCAAAGCAAGCTCACCTCCCCAATGCAGCCCTCCTTCTGCATGTATTTGCGCACAATAGACCAGATCTGGCACTTGGTCAGCAGCTGGCCCCCAGTTGCAGCCTCAAAGTGTTCGTAGGTGCCAAACTTCTCCAGGACAGCCTCAATGATGCCAACTGCCTGCACATAGGGTCGCAGTGGTTGGTCAGGCCAGGCCTCTTGGGTTTCAGGGCCAGGGTGAGGTGGGCAGGCTGGACTGACCTGATGAATGAACTGTCCAGAGGCTTCACAGTACTTCTCCAGCACAGCAGTAGGCATGGGATCCTGGTACTCGAACTGTGGGTTGTAGGTGTAATGGGACTGGAAGAATTTGTCCCGCTCACGGTCCATGTTGGTTGGCCGCAAGGCCATCAACATGCAGGGGCTCCTGATGGCACTACGGCATACATCCTTTCGAGTCTTAGCAATGTGAGGCAGGGAGGCTGCAGACCGCAGGGTTCCCCCACCTGCATCCCGTCCTCGTCCAGGTTGGACCCGACCCTGGGTGCCACCCCTGCGCTGGCCAGTACTATTTATGATATAGGAGCTCTCACTGCGACGCATGTGGCCACGGTGGCCCAAGTGCAGCTCTGAACAGGACTGCAGCCCAGGTTGGGGCTGCAGGGCTGAGGAGACTGACAGAGCCAGGGGCAAGGCCAGGGACTGAGGCCAGGGGTACATCGGTGTCCCATCTCGGTCTGAGGGCTTCAGCCTATGGCCCACGGTTGAGCGACTAGCTGGTGGGCTGGGGGGTGGTTGCTCATACACCTGAGCCCCTGAGTCCAGCACCATTCTGTTCTGGGGATCACATCCAGCTAGGTCACTCCAACTCCCCACACTGTCGACTTCTGGGGACACAGAAGGGCATGTAGAGGCCAGCATGAGTGGGTGTGGTCTGAGGACCAGCAGGCCCTGTGCTCCACACTGCCCCTGCTGAGTCCCCAGGGGTCTGGGTAGCTGCCCCTTCACCCCACCCACCCCAGTGTCCCTTCAGCAGGCTCACCCAAGCAAGCTGAACTGGGAGAAATCAGGAGAAAGAGTCTTATATACCCTCCTAGATGGTGGTTCCTGGTATACCCTTAGCCTGTGAGCTCCTGAGAGCAGGCCTGAGCCCCTATTTGATTCTAATGTGTGCTCAGCACCCACCTAGGCTCAAAGCTGGTATTATGTAGCTTCAGCTGCCAGGTTGATGGGTGAGGGAGCCTCACTACCTTCTACCTGCCTCCTGCCTATGGCATTTTTCTGTCCCACCCCTCCCACCTGGCTCTATCCACCTCCTCGAGCCCATTTGGCCTCAGTCAGTTTGAGTGCCTGCATGCCCCTTGCTTATGGTAGTACCCCCACTTGGAATGCTCTCTCTCCACTGAACCATCTCTTCAAACTCAATTTAAAATCACCTTTTAGGGAACAGAGGGAAATTTTAGCAAATCTAAGCCAATCCCTGGTCTGTCTCCTATCAGAGGCATCTTCCTAGTTTCATCCAAAGCTGGTGTCAGGGCACTCACCCCTGACTCTGTACCAGGGCTCAGTCAAACACAGTCTCTCTCCAGCCTCTGAATTCCCTTGCCTACCTGCTCAGGGACACAATTCCAGCATTTCTCCTCTCTTCTACATCTACATCACTGCTGGAATCTTTCCATCAGCATAAATACATGCTGTAATTTCTTCATCTTAAAAACAAAACAGAGCACTGTTGGTGGTCAGAGCACTGACCTGAGAGCAGAAGGATCTCAGGTTCAATTCCCAGTCAATGGGTCATGTACCTGTAGGTTCAATACTCGGCCCTGGTCAGGGTTGTGCGGGAGACAGCCAATCGATGTGTCTCTCTCATATCAATGTTTCTCTCTCTCTCTCTCCCTCCCTCCCTTCTACTCTATCTAAAAATCAATGGAAAAATATCCTCAGGCCTGGCTGGTGTGGCTCAGTGGCTGAGCATCAATTCATGCACCAAAAGGTCACTGGTTCGATTCCTGGTCAGGACACATGCCCAGGTTGTGGGCCAAATCCCCAGTGTGGGGCATGCAGGAAGCAGCCAATCAATGTTCTCTCTCATCAATGTTTCTATCTCTCCCTCCCTCTCCCTTCCTCTCTCTAAAAATCAGTAAAGAAAAAACAATTAAAAAAAAAGAAAAAGAGGGACTTCCGGTCAAGATGGTAGCGTAGGTAAACGTGGTATCGCATCCTCCCACAACCACATCAAAGTTACAACTAAACTACGGAACAGCCATCATTCAAAACCGCCTGAAATCAAGCTGAATGGAAGTCCTATAACTACAGAATTAAAGAAGCAGCCACATCCAGACTGGTAGGAGGGGCGATGTGCGATGGGCTGGTCCCACACCCACATGTGGTGGATAAAAATCAGGAGGATACCTGGGCTGGGAAGGGCCTCCCTGAGGACTGAGGGGTCCCCGTCCCACACCAGATGCCCCACTCAGGGTTCCAGTGCCAGGAAGAGAAACCCCATAACTTCTGGCTGGAAAACCCAGCGGGAACTGAGGCTCAGGGAAGCTGACGTGGCTGGAGCCCCAGGCAGCGCCTTAAAGGGCCTGTGCACAGACTTATTGGACTCACTCCCTCTAAGCTTGGAGGGGAGGCAGCTCGAGGGGCACCAGAGACATTCAGGGAAGAACTGAGCTGTTTGGCACTGGAGTGAGGGCTGGAGAGGGGGCTTTCTCTGGGACAAACATGCTGTCAGAGGCCTTTGTTCCTTTGGTGAGCCCTTCCCTGGGGTGGCAGACAGTTCCTATACCTGAGACTCCAGCAATCTGGCTCACACTGGTAGCCCCACCCTAGTGATTTCCTGAGGCCCAGCCCCACCCAACTTTCAGGCCCACCCAAGCTGTTGCCAGTTGCTTAACCATAGGATTGGCCTGTCTTGGATCCTGCTGCAGGTTTTCCTAAATTCTTCAAACAGGCAGCATCTGGTCTCAGATAGCCCCATACCTCTCATTAAGTAATACACAGAAACAAACACATTTTGGAGGCAGCCAAAATGAGGAGACAAAGAAACAGGTCCCAAATGAAAGAACAGAACAAAACCCCAAGAAAAGAACTAAGCAAAATAGAGATAAGATAAGAACAGAACAAAACCCCAAGAAAAGAACTACACGAAAAACAGATGCTGAGTTCAAAATACTGCTTATAAGGATGCTCAATGAACTTAGTGAGGGCCTCAAGAGCATAAAAAAGGACCAGTCAGAAATGATGGATGCACAGTCAGAAATGAAGGAGGCATTAACTGAAATAAAGAATAATTTACACAGATTCAATAATAGAGTACGTAAATCCAAGAAGCAAACCATTGATTTGGAATATAAGGAAGCAAAAAACACCCAATCAGAACAGCAAAAAGAAAAAAGAACCCAAATAAATGAAGATAGTGTAAGGAGCCTCTGGGACACCTTCAAGCGTGCCAACATTCGCATCATGGGGGTGCCAGAAGGAGAAGAGAGAGAACAAGAAATTGAAAACCTGTTTGAAACAATAATGGCAGACTTCCGGTCAAGATGGCGGCGTAGGGAAACGCAGTATCGCGTTCTGCCACAACCACATCCAAGTTACAACAAAACTACAGAACAACCATCATCCAAAATCGCCTGAAATCAAGCTGAATGAAAGTCCTACAACTACGTAATTAAAAAAAAAAAAAAGCAGCTACATCCAGACCGGTAGGAGGGGCGGCGGCGCGAGGGGTGGCGGCAGCGGCGGCGGACGGGCTGGTCCCACACCCAAGTGTGGCGGATAAAAATCAGGAGGCTCCCGTGGCTGGGAAGGTCCTTCCTGAGGACTGAGGGGTCCCCATCCCACACCAGGTGCCCCGCTCAGGTTTCCAGTGCCAGGAAGAGAATCCCCATAACTTCTGGCTGGAAAAACCAGCAGAAACTGAGGCTCAGGGAAGCTGACCTGGCTGGAGCCATAGGCAGCTCCCTAAAGGGCCCACGCACGGACTTATAGGACTCTCTCCCTCTAAGCTCGGAGGGGAGGCAGCTCGAGGGGCACCAGAGACATACAGAAAAGAACTGAGCTGTTTGGCACTGGAGCGAGGGCTGGAGAGGGAGCTTTCTCGGGGACAAACGTGCTGTAAGAGGCCTTTGTTCCTTTGGTGAGCCCTTCCCTGGAGCAGCAGACAGAAGCCATATCTGGGACTTCAGCAACCTGGCTCACACTGGTAGCCCCACCCTGCTGACTCCCTGAGGCCCCGCCCCGCCCCACACAACTTTCAAGCCCACCTAAGCTGTTGCTACTTGCTTAACCATAGGATTGGCCTGTCTTGGATCCCGCTTCAGGTTTTTCCTAAATTCTTTCAAACAAGCAGCATCGGGTCTCAGCGAGCCCCATACCTCTCATTAAGTAATACACAGAAACAAACACAGAGAGGCAGCCAAAATGAGGAGACAAAGAAACAGGTCCCAAATGAAAGAACAGAACAAAACCCCAAGAAAAGAACTAAGTGAAATGGAGATAAGCACCCTAACAGATGCTGAGTTCAAAATACTGCTTATAAGGATGCTCAATGAACTCAGTGAGGGCCTCAAGAGCATAAAAAAGTACCAGTCAGAAACGATCGCTGCACAGTTAGAAACGAAGGAGGCTTTAACTGAAATAAAGAATAATTTACATAGCTTCAATAATAGAGTACGTAAATCCAAGGAGCAAACCATCGATTTGGAATATAAGGAAGCAAAAAACGCCCAACCAGAACAGCAAAAAGAAAAAAGAATCCAAAAAAATGAGGATAGTGTAAGGAGCCTCTGGGACAACTTCAAGCGTGCCAACATTTGCATCTTGGGGGTGCCGGAAGGAGAAGAGAGAGAACAAGAAATCGAAAACCTGTTTGAAACAATAATGGCAGAAAACTTTCCTAACTTGGTGAAGGAAACAGACATACAAGTCCAGGAAGCACAGAGAGTCCCAAACAAGATGAACCCCAAGAGGCCTACACCAAGACACATCATCATCAAAATGCAAAAGGTTCAAGACAAAGAGAGAATCCTAAAAGCAGCAAGAGAAAGGCAGCTAGTTACCTACAAGGGAGTTCCCATTAGGCTGTCAGCTGATTTCTCAAAAGGAACTTTGCAGGCCAGAAGGGAGTGGCAAGAAATATTCAGAGTGATGAAAACCAAGAACCTACAACCAAAATTACTCTATCCTGCAAAGCTGTCATTTAGAATCGATGGACATATAAAAACTTTCCCAGACAAGAAAAAGTTAAAGGAGTTCATCACTACCAAACCGTTATTATATGAAATGATGAAGGGTCTTTTTAAAGAAAAAGATAAAATGTATGAACAAACAAAATGGCAATGAATACATATCTATCAACAATGGAATCTACAAACAAAATGAACAGGAAGAACAGGAACATTCTCATAGATACAGAGAACATTTTGTTGGTTGCCAGTTGGGAAAGGGGTTGGGGGAATGGATGAAAAAGGTGAAGGGAGTAAGAAGCACAAATTCATTCCTAGACTGACAAACCTCAAAGGGAAAGGGGTTGGGGGAGTGGGAAGAAATAAACCAAAGAACTTATATGCATAACCAATGGACACGGACAATAGTTTGGGAAAAGGTGGGAGGGGGGCGGGAGTGGGGAGGAGGGGGTCAATGGGGGAAAAATGTGGAACATCTGTAATGCATTTTACATCCAACAATAAAGATGTGGAAAAAAAAAAAAAAAAGAAACAATAATGGCAGAAAACTTTCCTAACTTGGTGAAGGAAACAGACATAAAAGTCCAGGAAGTACAGAGAGTCCCAAACAAGATGAACCCCAAGAGGCCCACACCAAGACACAGCATCATCAAAATGCAAAAGGTTCAAGACAAAGAGAGAATCTTAAAAGCAGCAAGAGAAAAGAAGTTAGTTACCTACAAGGGAGTTTCCATAAGGCTGTCAGCTGATTTCTCAAAAGAAACTTTGCAGGCCAGAAGGGAGTGGCAAGAAATATTCAGAGTGATGAAAAGCAAGAACCTACAACCAAGATTACTCTATCCTGCAAAGCTGTCATTTAGAATTGATGGCCATATAAAGACTTTCCCAGACAAGAAAAAGTTAATGGAGTTCATCACCACCAAACCGTTATTATATGAAATGATGAAGGATCTTTTTGAAGAAAAAGATGAAATATATGAACAAACAAAATGGCAACGAATACCTATCTATCAACAATGGAATCTACAAAGTGAACAGGTAGAGCAGAAACGTTCTCATAGATACAGAGAACATTTTGTTGGTTGCCAGATGGGAAGGGGGTTGGGGGAATGGGCGAAAAAGGTGAAGGGATTAAGAAGTACAAATTCATTGCTAGACTGACAAACCTCAAAGGGAAAGGGGTTGGGGGGTGGGAAGAAATAAACCAAAAAACTTACATGCATAACCAATGGACACAGACAATAGTGTGGGAAAAGGCGGGAGGGGGGCAAGAGTAGGGAGGAGGCGGTCAATGGAGGAAAAATAAGGAACATCTGTAATACATTCAACAATAAAGATTTAAAAAAAAAAAGAAAAAAAAAATATCCTCGGGCGAGGATTAACAAAATAAAACAAAACCCTCACTTGATCCCACACTCCTCCTGTGATAGCACACTCCATTTAGCTATTCTTCACTGCAGCGCATGTCAAGAGTAATCTATACTCAGTCTCCATTTCTTTCTTTCCTGTTCTCTCTCTCTCTCTTTTTTTAAAGAAAATGTTTTTATTAATTTAAAGAGGAAAGAAGGGAAAGAAACATTTATGAGAGAAAGAAACATCAATTGGCTGCCTCCTACATGTTCCCCACTGAGGATAGAGCCAGCAACCCAGGCATGTGCCATGACCAGAATCAAACTGGTGACCTCTTGGTACATGGCACAATGCTCAACCGAGACACACTGGCCAGAGCTCCTGTTCTCTCTTAAATTTCACTCCAGTTAGGCTTTCTCCCAATCTCTACTGAAACTGATCTGAGCACGGCCGGTGTGACTCAGTGGTTGAACCTCGACCCATGCACCAAGAAGTCACCAGTTTGATTCCTGGTCAGGACACATGCCCAGGTTTCGGGCCTAATCCCCAGTGGGGGCCATGCAGGAGGTGGCCAATCGGTGTTCTCTCTCATCGATGTTTCTGTCTCTCTCTCCCTCTCTAAGAAATCAATAAAAAGGGGGTAAAAATAAAAAAGAAACTGATCTGACCAAAGTCATCAATGATTTTCATATTGATCAGCAGCACCTGACATAGTTAATCACTTCATTCTGGAAACATGTTCTCCACTTGGCTCCCCGAATATCCTACCTCTCTAGCTCTTTGTTCTTCTTTTTTTTTTTTTTTTTTTTTTACTATGTTTTTATTAATTTTTTAGAGAGAGAGGAAGGGAGAGATAGAAACATCAGTGTGAGAGAGAAACAATGATCGGCTGCCTCCTGCATGCCCCCCACTGGGGATCGAGACTGAAATCCCAGCATGCACTCTGACCAGGAATCAAACCGAGACCTCTCAGTCCATGGGATGACACTCAATCCACTGAGCCAAGGTGGCCAGGGTATTTTTTTTTTTTTATCCTCACCCGAGGACATTTCTCCATTTTCTGTCCAGACAGAGTGGGAGGGAGAGAGAGGAAGAGAGAGAGAGAGAGAGAGAGAGAGAGAGAGAGAGAGAGAGAGAGAAACATCTACGTGAAAGGAACACATCGAGTGGCTGCCACCCACACGACCAACCAGGGCTGGGGACAAACTGCAACCGAAGTACGCACCCTTAGTGGGAACCGAAACTGGGTCTCTCTGGACGGTAGGCCAATGCTCTAACTGCTGAGCCAAACTGGCCAGGTTAACTATTTGTTCTTGATCTTCCTTGCTGGTCATCCCTATCTTCCTGACCTGTTAAACCTGTAATGCACTTGGAAACTTCTCTCTTCCATTTGTACTCACTCCCTAGGGAATCTCATCCATATTCATGGTTTTAAGATCATCAACTCAGACTTCTTGCATAAATTTCAGACCAGTGTTGCCAGTTCTCAATTCAACATCTTTACTGGAATGTATAACAGCCATCTCAAACTGAACATGTCCCCTGTCTGGAATGCCTTCCCCCCATATAATTTCAGTGGTTACTCTCTCACTTTCCTCAGATTTCTGTACATGTATGTTATTTAAAAAGCCTCCCTAAAACACACTATAAAATAGGAAATCTCCTCTCCCAACTCCACCACAATTCCCCATCCCCTTCTTTACATTATTGCTTTCTGAAGCAGGTATCTCCATCTGAAGTACAGCATATTTAATGGTTAATTGTCTGTTTTCTCCTTCGAATGTTCAAAATGTGTCCTCAGAGCCCAGAACAGTACCTAGAGCAGCTCCTCAATAAATGACTGAACCCGAGAGCCCTTTTCCTTCTCAGAACTGGAATCATTCCTTCCTTGCACTTTGTTTCCCCACCTGGATCTGATCCCCCCCACCCCCCCACCCCCACACCCCACTCCCACCCCCCCACCCCACCCCCACACCCCTACCCCCACCCCCCACCCCCACACACATTCCTTCCACCTTGCCGAGACCAGCTGCTTAAAAAGATTTCAGGCCTCAGGCTTCACTCACCTCAACTAACTGTACACTTTTCTGGACTCCTCACTGGTCTTTGGGCCTCTGCCTGGACCAGTCCCCCTTCATCTTTCCTTCTTTCCTTCCACCTACCTCTTCGAAATTACCAGAATACGTCTGTTTCTTTTATGTCTCAGGTCTTCTGCCAAGAATGCCTTCCCAATGTCTCCCTGGAGCAATCTCCTACTCATTTTTCAGGACTCGATTTAGGCCTCACCTCCTCAGTGAAGCCTTCCAGGCGTCTGAGGCTCCCAGTGCCCAGGCGGCCTCTTTATCGCCCTAGGTTGTCACAGTCGTAGCCTAGGTCCGTGTTCCCTCACCATCTCTTGAACTCACCTCCATGTTTCAAGCACCCAGTACTAGAAGCAGAATGAATGAAAGATGGCTGGGGGAGGAACACACTGAAGGCGGAGTCTGGTGACAAATTAGAGGGTGTGGCATGCGCCAATAGGAAACTCCCGGAGAGGATAACTTGGCAGAAGAGCCAATGAGGCACGTAGATATCGAGGAGGGGCTTGACCTGCAGCCAATAAACGGCGGGAATGGGGCAAAGGGCGTGCCCAATGGAGGGCGGGGCCAGAGGACAATAGAAGAGGGATTCCTCGGTAGATGAGGTGGGGGTCGTGTCGCGCGCTTTCTCAGCCTTTCAGAGTAAAAGGGTTCCGTCCTCCTGTCTCACCCCCACCTGTTTGCTGCTGTTCTCGCCGTCACTGTTCCCGTTTCGAAACATCGGCAGCCGGCAGGCCGGCCTTGGGGTGTTGGCGCCGGGGACGCACGCACTCGGATGCGCGCACGCTCAGGTGAAAGCGCGCGGATCGCGTCAATCTCTGCAGCGGTGGCGGGAGCCTGAGAACACAGCTAGGGGGTGGGGCCAAGCAGGGCACAGGGGTCAGTGTCAGCTACCAGGTCACATTCCTAGGCGGGGCGTTGTTTTGAGCCCGCCCCCTCCACGAAAGCCAATTGGTTAAAGGCTTCAGGTGGTACCCAGCCATCCGAGTCAGAGCAGGGGAGACAGATCACTGCCTCGGCACAGATGCGTGGGGATGTAGTCTGCGCACGGTGGTGGAAGCCCGGGTACTTGGGAACTGATGCTAGGATATATAGGGTGCAACCCGTATATCAGGACTGGAGCCAGGATACCTTGGGCGTGTCCCTGCCCTTGGACCCCCCCCTAATGTTCGCGGACACTTTTATTTCATCCCCTCCCCCCTCCCCAATACACACAATTCAGGCATATGGGGGACGTAGCTTTATTCTGCAATCAATTGGAAGTCAGGCACATGTGCCCAAGAGGCAGGAAGATGAAGCGGGCGTAGGTGCTGGCACAAGGCTGAAGAGTGCACGGTGACCCGGGAGGGGCGAGGGTTGTGGGCCGTCCTGCAGGGAGCTGATTGCGGCCAGGCGCTGCTCTCGGGACACGTCCCCGCGCAGGTCCAAGAGGGCGGAGACGTGATCCTCGCTATGAGGGCACCACGGAGATGAGTCAGCCCGCCCCATCCCTTCCAGGTCCCTTCTCCCTTTCCGCCCCATCTGCATACTTCACGTCGGGAAATTGTTGCCGGAGGCTTGCCACCTCGAGGCCAAGCATGGTGAGGTCGTGAAGGTTCAGCAGGTTTCGCAAGGTGAGCAGCACCGGTGCGCAATGAACGCTCTCTTCCAGGCCCTGAACACGTTGTAGTAGTTCTTGAGCCGGCCCTTGGCTCCCACCCAACCACTGAGACTTCCACCCCTCTGCTCGCCAAACAAGCTCTCACCAAATCAAGGAAAAGGTTCCGAAGCTGGGTGGCATCGTGTTGCATGCGCTCGGCTGCCTGATTCCGCTCCTCCGCACCGCGACACACTAGGCGGCGTTGCATCAGCGCAGACAGGTACTGCAGCACCACAGTACGCTCTGCCTCAGCCAGGAGCATCTGCGGGGAGGGCGATCAGGTGGGTCCAGGACGCCTTTTCCAACGGCGCTCCACCCTCACCAGTCTTTCTCCAACATACCTGGAACGCGGGATTCCGAACACGCCAGAAGTTCCTGCAGAAGCACGCTGTGCGCTCGCACACATCGTCCAGCAGCTCCGGGCTCGACAGCCAATGGCGTGAGGGCAGAGTTGCAAAGAGGGGCTGAGGGTGGGGAAACAGAGACAGGGCTGAAAGGATAATCCAGATCCAGCATTTCCCACAGAGACTCCTATACATACGCTTTATCTCCTCCTAGCCCTTGTGTGTGTGTGTGTGTGTGTGTGTGTGTGTGTGTGTGTGTGTGTGTGTTTATCCTCACCCGAGGACATTTTTTCCATTTTTTTGTTCAGATAGAGTGGGAGGGATAGAGAGGAAGAGAAAGAGAGAGAAACATCGACGTGAAAGGGACACATGGAGTAGCTGACACTCGCAAGACCAACCAGCACCAGGGACAAACTGCAACCGAGGTACATGCCCTTAGCGGGAACCGAACCCGGGTCTCTCTGGACCACAGGCCGATGCTCTAACTGCTGAGCCAAACTGGCCAGGGCTATTTCCATTTTAAGTCTCACCTGGAGCTCCAGCAACAGCGCCTCCAACACCAGTCGGCAGATCCTCCTCTGCAACTCGTCCAGCGCTGCCTCCACCGGAGCCAAGGCCCCTAAAGCCACCCCATCGGGCTGCAAGACTGACACGGAGGAGCTAGACCAACCAAAAGTATATCTTCAGGACCAAGGCCAAGGCCCTCACAGCCCTCGGTGGTCTGGTCGCTTGGACACCACCTAGTGGTGCGTGTGTGTGTCTTGTGTGTGTCTGGTCGCTTGGACGCCACCTAGTGGCGGGTGTGTGTGTGTGTGTGTGTGTGTGTGTGTGTGTGTGTGTGTGTGTTCGCGCGCGCCACCTAGTGGTGCGTGTGTGTCTGGTCTCTTGGACGTCACCTAGTGGGTGTGTGTGTGTGTGTGTGTGTGCCACCTAGTGGTGCATGTGTGTGTCTGGTCGTTTGGACGCCACCTAGTGGCGTGTGTGTGTGTGTGTGTGGCGGAAGGGGGAAAGAAAGGCGATTTCCCACACTTCTTTAGGTCTGGAATGTGGACTGAGGTGTGGAGTGGTGGGCTCAGCAAGCTATAGACACAGCCCAGTCCGACCTGTCTCTAATTCTCCGTGTGACTTTGAGCAAGTCATGTCTTTCGGTTTCTCTTTTCTCATTGGTAAGGGGAGAGAGTTCATCCCAGTCAGGAGGAAGTAAAAATCAGCAACTTGATTGTCTGCCCTCTTTGCCCCCACCCCAAAGAATATAAGACCCAAGAGGAAAGGAATATTTTTCTGTTTTGATCACAGCTGTAACCCCAGACATTATCTGGCACAGAATAGGCCTTAGAAGTAAATGTTGAATTAATGAATACATGAGACTATGTACTAGGCGCTGTAGTAGATACTTTACATCTGATGTGATTCTCAGAATGTCTCATTATTACACATATAATACTAATGAGAAAAGAGAGATTAGGTCATTGGTCCAAGATCACACAGCTAGTAATTAGCAGTACTGGGGTTGGAACCACAGGGCCATGTGACTCCAAAGTTCCTAATGGCTTAGTGAAGGCAGGGTCCATACCTAATAGGTGTTCAGTCAGGAGTTAGTAAAGATGAGGTTCTGTGGGGGCCTTCTGGTACCTGAGTGCTGATTGGTGGTTGAGGGCAGCCAGTAGGTAGGACACGTAATGAGGAGCTATTGCTTCCCCTCTGAGGTGGTCTCGGGAGAATCGGATCAGAGCATCATTGAAGCTGGAAAGGGTAGAGGTAGTTCCTGTACCTGCTGTCACTCTGGTGTCCCAACAATCTCTGACCTGAGTACCCTGGCCCCACTTCCAAGATACCTAAGGCACTGTTTGAAGGAGCCTTTTCCCATTGATGTAGCTTATTCACTCAGAGCCCCCTTTAAACCACCCCAGGAGCAGGGCTATGGGATGGGGGTGGGTCAGTGCCTTGGCAGACCTCCTCAGGAATGCTCCCAGTTCTGACAGTGCCATGCTATGCACCCGCCGCTGCAATGACTCACTGACCAGGCTGGTCACTCGAATGTTCTCTTCCAGGATCTACAGGTAGGGATGGGTAGCCATCAGCAAAGTCCTAGCCCTGCCCTCCTCCCCTTTCTTTATGAAGGCTGTCCACCTGGCTGCCACTTCCCACCCACCTGCAGCACAATGGCTGGCAATGGTGAGTGATAGAAGCCAGATGGATCTGTGTCAGGCTCTTGCTCCCGGCCCCACTCAGCTACTTCCCCATCCAGTGCCTTCTGCAGCCACTGCACCATACTTGCCTGGGGGAAGGAATGAGGGTCAGCAGAATGTAGCAGGGCAATGACCCTGCTAGAGACAAGCAGACATGTGATTACACAGCCGGTGGCAGAACTTCTCTGGACCTGGGCCCCAAATACTTACCTGGACTTTGGACACAAATGTTGCCTCCAACTGCTCAATATTCTCCAGGGTCAGGAGGGGCTCCAGCTGAGACACATCAGCCTCAGGCCCCAGTTCTAGGCTCCCCATCATTTCTGGCCTGGTGATGAGTGGCCCAGTGTCACACTGAGCTCCCAGCTTCTGATCCACCCACTTCCCATTGCCCCAAGGGCACTGACCCCAGGTACACATGCAGTGCCCACTGCAGCAAGGTGAAGGCGTCAGTGGCTCCCAGCTCAGGCCCTTCCAGGAATTGCTGCAGGCATCGACGCAGGCCACTGTGCAGGGTATGGGCCCACAGCTGGACCACCTTGTAGTGTGGTGGGCAGCAGGGTGCTATTAGTGCCTCAGCTGTGGCCAATTCAGCTGGTAGAGCCACCCGTAGAGCCTCCAGCCACTCTGCTAGGGCCCCTGGTCCAGGCAACAGAGGTGTCCCAAAGTGGACCCGCTCTAGGCCCTCCTCTAGTGCCCGAAGACAGCGCTGCCGCCAGTTCCGGGGGGGCTGCTCCAGGGAGGTTGTGCGGCCAGCCTCCACCTCTGCCACACGCACAGCAGCCACCAACAGGGCTGGGTCCTCTCGTGCCAGCTGCCCTGCAGTACCTACAGCTGCCTCCACAGCCTGGCCCAGTGCCTCAGCCAGAGGGCCCAGCCCCTCAAAGACTGGCAATTCCAGACCTCCAAGAGAGGCCCATGTCTCCTCTTGCAGCTGCTCCAGCTCCCGAAGGCTCACATATGCTTCCAAGAGCCGATGGGCATCAATCAGGATCTGTGTGTGGACCACTGCAGCTGGCACTAAGGAGGGAGCAGAGGAAATAGCCTTCAGTCTCAGACTTTCCACCTGTGCAATGGGTGCAAGATCAGATGCTGAGGCCCTGGGGCTGGGGTAATGTATAACATATTTAATGACCAGTACAGTAGACTTTTACTAGGCTATTGAATGAATTTAGTGTTATTAAAAAAAAAAAATCCAGTACAGTAGAGCATCGGCCAAACTGAAAGAACCAGGGAAGGGTCCAGCCAGTGTGGCTCAGTGGTTGAGCATTGACCCATGCACCAAGAGGTCACCGGTTTGATTCCTGGTCAGGACACATGCCCAGGTTGTGGGCCCGATCCCCAGTGGGGGGCATGTAGGAGGTGGCCAATCAATGTTCTCTCTCATTGATGTGTCTAGCTCTCTCTCCCTCTCACTTCCTTTCTCTCTCAAATCAGTAAAGGGAAAAAAAATTTATTTAAAAGAACCAGGGAAGGTCCTAGAGGCCTGGTGGGCCAAGTGTAAACCCTTGAGCTGATGGAACATAAGGAAGCCAGGAATCCTGGAGGGAAGGCAGGAAGGAACTGGAGGACATTCCAGAGGCTATTCACCCACCCCATTAGGGAAATATTTCAATTTAACAACCACAGTGGTCAGAGCCTCTTGACTAGCTGTCAGTTCTGACTCAAGACATCCCATGCTCAGGAACTCCAGAGTGAGCTAATTTGCACCCGGTTTTACATGCCATCTGAAGCCTGAGTTACTCTCTGGGAAGTCCCTGGTGTGTCCCTCCATGTAATTTCCCACTGGCTCCCCAGCCCCTTGAGTGTTTTCTGACTAACTGTTGGAGGGCTAAAGCCCAGTGCCTCTGTACACTCACCTGCTCGCAGCCGAGGCAATAGTTGAGACAAGGCCTGCAATTGTTTGTGTTGGACAACCTGTTCCCGCAGGGGCTCTAGGGTCTGTATGGCCTCTGCCATGTCCCGGAGCAATCCATGGGCCTGGCCCAGGGCCTCACGGGCTTCTTGTACGGTCTCAAGGGCCTGGGCCAGCTGCCATACACCAGACTTCACACCCTCCAGGTATGACTGCACCACTGACTGTGGAAGGAGGGGAGACAGTGAGGCCTGGCCAGCCCTGCCACCCACCCCCAGCACTCTTGCCCCCTGCCTGATGCCTACCTTGATGCGAGCTTCCAGGGAGCAGGTACGCTGCACTTCACGGCTTCGGTACTGGCCTAGCCTGGCCAGCTGCTCTGGCCGGTAGAAGATGCCTGAGGCCCACTTAAGTGCTGCACCCCGAGCCAGCTGCTCCGCCCTCTCCTGCTCTGGCCACTTGGGCCCTGGGCAGGAAAAGCCTGGGCAGCCATGTCAATTTCGCAGGGCCTGAAGGAAGTGGCTGCCGACCCTGCTCCCCTTCCTGCTCCTCAACCTGACCCCCAAGGCAGTCCACTCCTCTCGCTGTCCAATAGAACTGCTGCCAGACCTGGCAGGGAGGACCCAACCCCACCATTCCCATCTTTCTTGCCACATCCCTCCCATAGCCCACCCAGAAGGGCTCATACCAGGAGGAAGTGCAGGTTGCATTTCGTCCTTGGCTGTGGAGTCCATTTTAGTCCCTGGAGGAGCCAGAGCCAAGGTAGGAGTCCCGGCAAGGGTCTGGGTTACAACAGGCAAAGTGGATGCTCCTTTGAGCCAAAGGCTCTGTCTAGGCCTCTCCGAGAAGGAGGAGGGAGGTTCCTGCCCAGGCTCCTCAGAAAATCAGAGGGAGGTGGGTGTGATGAGGAGGCACCTGGGAAGACTCCCTTGCTGGGTTTCTCAGTTTTGCCCCTGCAGATGCAAAGTGAGGCTGAGGCACAGGCCTCCACCGGACCCCGCTCTTGATCTGAGGTGCAGAGGACAGTTTGGTATGGAACTCACCAGGTTTGACCAGGCATCCAGTTCTCCCTCCTCTGCAAACTGTGCTGGCCTTGAGGACGGCCCTCTCCCCCAGCCCTCACAGCAGAGCTGGGCACTCCCTCCACTGGCTCACAGAGCCTGGGTGGCTCTGGCTCACACTTCAACATTCAGCAGAATGCCTCTTTCCAAGGAAGCCTCTGTCCCACGTCCCTTCTCAGAAGCCCCCGTCTCCTTCCAAGGTCCCTCCCTCCCCAAGAGCAAGTACAAAAAGGAAGGAAGCTGAATCTCTGGCATTTTATTCCCAACAGGAAAGAGCATCTGCACTATGGGATGGGGTGGGGAGGCCCATTTCCTTGTGGGGAGGAGGGCATACTCCCTGTGATAAGTGAGGCTTACTCAGGACCTCTTAGTGCTCAGAACAGACATGAACTAGATGGCACAACTGTGGGGTGGAGAGTGGGGTGTGCAAATATGGATGCAGACATCACAGTATGAAAACTGTGTTGACAAGCCCTTCAGAGGAAGGTGTGTACCTCTGCAGAGGAGTGAGAGATCACAGGCTGTTGTGAAGAATGCGTATGGTGGGTGATGGCAGGAGAGGTTCAACGACTATGAAAGCAGTTTTTCTTGAGAGTTAAAGGTGGCCATGGAAGGGACTGCAAGGTAGTAATAATGTAGTGGACACTGGTGAACCACCCGAATCCACCCTTCAGGACAAAAGCACTTGTTCCCCTAGCTGCCAGAAGTGTAAGTTGCTGAGGTCTCACAGCTGAGTCTCTCAGTTATTTTGGGGGTTCAAAGGCCCAGTACCCTTGTCCAGACATAGAACATCTTGGAAGGGCCACTCCAATTTCAGAGCTCCTAGTAGGATGGGCTGAGGCCTCTATTATAACTGTGTTGCAGTTTAATTATTTTCTGTCCAATTCTGCTTATCTTACAAGTGTGAATCCTCAATAAACTTCTTACAGGCAGATCCCTGTGTTAAAGTCTGTTTCCCAGAGAACTTGACTTAAAATAAACAAATACACACACACACACATAATTGTTGTTGTTAATCCTCACCTGAGGATATTTTTCCATTGATTTTTTTTTTAATCCTCACCCGAGGACACTTTTTGATATTTTGTTCAGATAGAATAGGAGGGAGAGAGAGAGAGAGAAACATCGAGGTGAAAGGGACACATTGAGTGGTCACCACCCACACGACCAAGGCCGGGGACAAACTGCAACCGAGGTAGGTGCCCTTAGCGGGAACCAAACCCAGGTCTCTCCAGACCGCAGACCAACGCTCTAACTGCTGAGCCAAACTGGCCAGGGCTCCATTGACTTTTGGAAAAAAGTGAAAAGGAGGGAGGGAGAGTGAGAGAGAGAGAGGAAGAGAGAGAAACATTGACACAAAAGACACATTAATTTGTTGTCTCCCACACGATCCTGACTGGGGCCGGGATCAAACCTGCAACCCAGATACATGCCCTTGACTGGGAATCGAACCCTTGACCCTTCAGTCCGTGGGCCAACGCTCTAACCGCTGAGTCAAACCGGCCAGGGCAAAAATAAACAATAATAAATAACAAAAATGTGCCCTGGCCAGTTTGGCTCAGCGGTTGGGGTGTCGTCTTGCAGACCAGAGAGTCCCAGTTTCGGTTCCCGCTAGGGGCATATACCAAAAAATAAAATAAAGTTTAAAAAAATAACAAAAATGTTAAAAATAAAATGATATCAGCAAACACATAAACCTTCCTACGTGCTAGGAACTGCTCTACGTGCTTTACACATCGGTAAACATGTTTGCATTGGCTGAGAAATGGTTATAATTCCATGGCCTCTGAGCACTGCAGAGTGGAGAGGAGAAAGATGAGGCTGGGATCAGGGAAGGGGAGTGTGGTTGGAGACAAGAGGACAAGTTAGATGTAGTTAGTGCTTACTGTTTGGCAGAAAGTGAGGTACGATAATAGGACGGGTGATCCCAAGACAGTGGGGCAGTTTATAGGAGCAGGAACTGGCGAAACACATTGGGTTCATTCAGCAGCATGGACTCCTTTCCTGAGATGGGAACTGGGGCAGAGTTAGTAGAGTTGGGGCCGGTTGGCCATGAGGAAGGTTTTGGTGGCTTCTCCTTCTCTACTGCCAGGGCTGGCCACTGACATCCTGCACCTGCCTCCGCATCAAAGTACTGGAATCCCTGGGTTGTTTTCGTTCCTTTCGGCGGTTGACATTTGCCGATGGTCCCCAAAATTTTGCGGCCGTGCCCGCAGAGAAGAATTGCTCTGGGTTCCCTAGCAGAGCGCGGGGCGGAAGCGGAAGCAGTGACGCTGGCGCCGGCGGCTGGGCGGTGAGGAACGGAAGCGGAAGTGGCGGCGGCGCCGGCCTGGCCGGGCCTGGCTAAGGGGAGGCGGCGGGCGGGCGCGATGGCGGAGGCCGGGCCACAGGCGCCGCCGCCCCCGGGCACGCCAAGCCGGCACGAGAAGAGCTTGGGACTTCTCACCACCAAGTTCGTGTCGCTTCTGCAGGAGGCCAAGGACGGCGTGCTTGACCTCAAGCTGGTGCGGTCCAGGCTAAGGGACGACGGGGGGGGTGGGGGAATGTTGGAACAGGCCTGGGCAGGTAGCGGGAAACCCTGGAGAGACCCAGCGAAGCCCTTGGAAAGCAGGCCGCCATCCGTTTGCTTTCTCATAAGTGGGAGGCTGGGAGCTGTTTAATTCATTCGGCTGAGGCGATTGGGTGTTAGCTATGTGCTAGTTTCAAAGCTGCAGGTGCTGATCCTCGTGACCCTCCCTGTCTGAAAAAAAGAGTATCAGAACATCAGTTCAGTTTGTGCCAGGTCTCTTTTCGCCTTGCGGTCCTGAGCTGTTGTAATACCTGGGAGGAGGGTTAGGACTGTCCACCTCCTTTCCAGTCTACTCCACATCAAGTCTCAAGGTAGCCGAGGGTACACCTGAGAGTGGGGTTGAGCATTCTCCTCTCTGTTCTCTCTGCCAGGCAGCTGACACCCTAGCTGTGCGCCAGAAGCGGCGGATTTATGACATTACCAACGTGCTGGAAGGTATTGGGCTGATCGAGAAAAAATCTAAGAATAGCATCCAGTGGAAGTGAGTTGGGGCACCTGGGAGGGCAATGGGATCTCCTATCTAGAAGTTTTGGGGTGGAGGGTGCAGAAAAGAGCAGGGCCATGGGACCCAGAGTTTCTGGCAGCCCCCCTCAGCCCCATTCCCTGGGCTTAGGGGTGTGGGACCTGGCTGTAACACCCGGGAGATTGCGGACAAGCTGATTGAGCTCAAGGCAGAGATCGAAGAGCTGCAGCAGCGAGAGCAAGAACTGGACCAGCACAAGGTGTGGGTGCAGCAGAGCATCCGGAACGTCACAGAGGATGTGCAGAACAGCTGATATCCTCCTGGCAGTCCCTGCTCCTGGGGTGTGGGTGAAGGGCCCTCTAGTCCAGCTGGGTTTGCTCTGTTGTGTCCTGGGTTCTATTTCTCTTGAGAGGATGGTCCTGCAGCTCCTGGCCAGGTCCTAGCCTCCTGCTTCCTTCTCAGAGCCCCCCTCCCCCCCCAATCTTGGCCTATGATCCCTCCCCCTAGATTCCAGACCCCAAGACATTTTCTGAGGGCTTGAATGTTAGACCTCTGTTAAAGAGCTGGGTCTTCTCTGTGATCTGCCATTTGTCACCATAGGCAGGGAATCAGTTGTGCTCCTTAACCCCCACACTTTGGCCTACGTGACTCATGAGGACATCTGCAGATGCTTTGCTGGTGAGCAGAGCCTGAGTGGGGGGAGATGGGGGTGGGGCTGGGCTGAGCCACAGCCCTGAGCAGTAGGTTCAGTACTTAAAGAGAGTTCTATCTCTTAAGACTTGAGTTCCTGGGGCCTTCCCAAAGAGGAATCAGGCAGAGTGAGTCTGGGTTTGAGGGTCACTGGGACCCTGTGGAGGCCAACCATACAGAGGGGATACAGGAATCCTGGGCTGGGTCCCTGGGTCATTCCCCATCTACATGGTGCCTTGGGTTTGACTTCTCAGGTGTGACGAGCATAAGGGGGACAGTGTGTGTGCATGCTCATTCCTGCATGCTTGGATGCGGAGAGCAGTGATGCCCACTTCTAACCTGTAGTTAGTTTAGCTTCATTGTGGATACAGGAACTGTTTGTTCCTTCTTTATCTTTCGTCCCCCAGACTGGTCCTAAGGAAGGGATGTTGGCCTTGGCCAGAACACCCACACCTAGGGAGCAGCCCTCAACTGAGGAGTGAAATGGTCACAATCAGTAATTTTTTGCTCCACATGTTTGATTCCAGATTTTCTGGTTACTGACACCTGGGCTCTTGGAAAGAGAAAAGCTTTAATTCTCTGCCCAAGCCATGGTGGGGGATGTATAAGGCCTACTGTCTGGCCCCTCATAGACCATGATCTTCCTTGTTCCAAGGGACAGGAACCCTCATTCCCAGCTCAGATTGAGCCCCTGGGCCCTGACCCTTCCTCCTTGTTATTTTAGGAGACACCCTGCTGGCCATCCGGGCTCCATCTGGCACCAGCCTGGAGGTGCCCATCCCAGAGGTGGGTACTCAGCTCAGGCAGGCGTGGTTGGTTGAGGGTGGATGCTGGCTGTGGAGCTCGATAAGTCTTGGGTGGGGCAGGTAGGGGGAGGCCTGAGGTTTCGAGTTATCTAGGAGAACAGGCAGCCTGGGGTGGGAGAGGACACTGTGGCTCAGGGTCAGGCAGGAGCCAATTCCACCGGCCCCACACCCCCAGGGCCTCAATGGGCAGAAGAAGTACCAGATTCATTTGAAGAGTGTGAGTGGCCCCATTGAGGTGCTCCTGGTGAACAAGGAAGCATGGAGCTCACCACCTGTGGCAGTGCCTGTGCCACCACCTGAAGATCTGCTCCAGAGCCCACCTGTTGTCTCTGCTCCTCCACCTCTGCCCAAACCTGCTGTGGCCCTGCCCCAGGATGCCTCACACCCAAGCAGTCCCCAGGTGATCACCACCACTTGTGTACCTGGTGGCACCGAAGCCCAAGGAATGGCCAGTCCAGCAGCTGAGATCACAGGTGAGGCATGACAAGCATCTGGTGATGGGGTAATCTCTGGGGCCCTCTGTGTTGTGAGATGCTATACTCAGAGCTGGAAGAGACTCTGTGGGAGTTATCCTTTTCCTGGCCCCCAGCTGTCCTCCCCATGCTGTGATAAGGGAGCCTTTTTAACAGGCAATCTCTGACTGTGAAGGAGCATTAATGGTGGCAGTTTTTCCTCAGATCCACCTATGTGTCACTTGTCCTGGCAGCCCCTTTTGTTATTATTTTTTTAATCCTCACCCGAGGATATTTTTCCATTTTTTTGTACAGATAGAGTGGGAGGGAGAGAGAGGAAGGGAGAGAGAGAGAGAGAGAAACATCGACGTGAAGGGACACATCGAGTGGCTGCCACCCGCACGACCAACCAGGGCCGGGGACAAACTGCAACCGAAGTACGTGCCCTTAGCGGGAACCGAACCCGGGTCTCTCCGGACCGCAGGCCGACACTCTAACCGCTGAGCCAAACTGGCCAGGGCTTTTATTATTATTTTTTTAATCCTCACCCGAGGATATTTTTCCATTTTTTTGTACAGATAGAGTGGGAGGGAGAGAGAGGAAGGGAGAGAGAGAGAGAGAGAAACATCGACGTGAAGGGACACATCGAGTGGCCTGGCAGCCCCTTTTGAAGTGTGGTCACAGCAGCCATGTTGTCCATGAGTCTCCCTCCTGCAGGCCTCATGCCCCTGTCTCCTTCAGTGCCTCATTTCCAGGTGACCTCTTCGGGGGAGACGGGCAGTGCCTAACTCTCCTTTGGGCTGGGAGCCAGGACTGTAGTCATCCTGGCTGTGCGTTCTATTACAGCCAGCTTCAATATCCCATTTTCTGCCCCCAAATGACTGGGTTTGGGGCATGTGGTTACAGTGAGTGGTGGCCCTGGATCTGATAGCAAAGACAGTGGTGAGCTCAGCTCACTCCCGCTGGGCCCTACAGCACTGGACACCCGGCCACTGCAGTCTTCTGCCCTGCTGGACAGCAACAGTAGCAGCAGCAGCAGCAGCAGCAGCAGTAGCAGCAGCAGCAATAGCAGTTCATCTGGACCCAACCCTTCTACCTCCTTTGAGCCCATCAAGGCAGACCCCACAGGTGGTGAGTACTTGTCCCATCAGAAGTGGGGAGAACACAGCCTCAGTCAGTCCTAGGTCAGAAACAGAATTGAGACTGGAGACCCAGCTCTCCTATCTCCTCAACCAGGCCAGCACAAGGGCCAGCTCTTGCCATCAATCTTGCGTAGACTAGAGCTCTGCCAGCCTGAGTGAGGAGCTTGGCCTCCAGCTTCAGTGCTGGTGTCCCTTTGTCCCCCTTACTGGTCTGATACAGAACTCCCTGGCCCTCTCTCAAGCCCTTGGCCACCCTTGGACTCAGGTCTCAAGAAGATAAAAGCACTCTCTTGGGGAGGGGACTGTGGTTGGCATTCAGGCTCCAAAGATGGGCAGCACCTTCCCAGGAGAGGCATTGTTATCTGCCTGAAGTTCCATCTCCATCCTGTGACTTGAGTATTTGCTTTTACCAGGACTTATTCTTCTCAGCCCATAAGCACCGCTCTCTCCTCACCAAATGACACTTTGCCCTCTGTGTCCCTCTCATCTTCCCTGTCTCCTCTCTGTCTGGACTCTGAAAAAGTCATCTCCACTCCACTTCATATTTTGGTCTCCTAGTCACCCTTCTTCTGGTTGCAGCAGTCTGGACCCCTGACTGTCAGCTCTAGCGAGTTTCAAGGCTGATGTGTTCTGATGCTCTTTTGCTTCATGTTGATGTTTTTATTTTTTCTCCTTTGGCTTTAATGATGCCATCTCTTGACTCTTCTCTCACTGGCTTCCCTTCTGACCTCTCCCTGGCACTTCCTTAAACATTGACACTTCCCAGGTCTCTGTCCCATTCCACACCTATGGAGGGCTAGCCAGACACCTTGCCAAGGTCTTTTGCCTGAACTCCACACTTGTGTCCATGTGCTTTCCTCTGCACATCTAATGGGCATTTCATTCCCATGTGTTCTCAACTGAAACTTGCTTTTCCAGTTCCAGCTCCTTCGCCTTCTGCTCCCCACCTTATGTCAGCTAAGTGAGTTCTATTCCACACATCTCTTATATCTTCAACATTCAGGATTACTCCTGGCCACCTCTATTAAACAATTTTCAGCATCCTCTTTACCTCAGCTGACAAGGGTCTGTCTAAAACACAGCCTGACTGGCATTCCTGTTTACAAAAATACCTTTAATGGCTTCTTAAGGCCTGTTGGATAAAACCAGAACCCCTAAATCTAGCATATGACATCCCTGGTGATCCAGCCAACCCCAACACTCCTCTTCAGCTTCATTTTCCTCTGCATCCTCACAGTCAGACTTCTGTAGCAGGGTTGTTACCCTATAGCACTAACCCCCATTGAAGTGTCTGCCAGGTAACCCTGCTCAGATGTGTCTGAGCCTGGCACCAAAGAACTGCTCAGTAAGGATGGGGATGGACAGGACATTCTCCAGACAGGGCATTCTCCATCAGACAGGATATCCTCCATTGGTCAGGGTCCTGCATCAGACAGCGTATACATGCTGAGCCCAGAAAGGGAGGGGGTCTGCTTGCGCTTCTGTAGCATTTCTGAGTTATAAAGGCTATATTAGTCAGCTGCAATGAGCCTTTGGTCCTAGGCTCATTCACTGAGGAATTTGGATCAGCAAGGAAGACCAACAGACAATGCCGGTTTGGCTTGGGGCATGGCATTTATCTCTTTAGCTCTGTGGAGCCCCAGGGTGGGTGGTACAGGATCTGAGAAAGTTGGGAGCTAGAGTGGGGCCAAGCTGGACTGCTGTGTCCTTGAACATGGCTTTCTTGTCTTTCAGTTCTGGAACTCCCCAAAGAGCTGTCAGAAATCTTTGATCCCACACGAGGTAGGGCTGTGTTCCTCCTTGGGGCTGGGGTAAGGGACACATCTTATTGGGTCTTACAGCTGTTTTCTTTCTTTTTTTTTTAATCCTCACCCGAGGACATTTTTCCATTTTTGTTCAGATAGAGTGGGAGAGAGAGAGAGAGAGAAACATCGACATGAAAGAGACACATCGAGTGGCTGCCTCCCACACAATCCCAACCAGTGCAGGGGACAAACTGCAACCGAGGTACATGCCCTTAGCGGGAATCGAACCCAGGTCTCTATGGACCATGGGCTGACTCTCTAACCGCTGAGCCAAACTGGCCAGGGCCTTACAGCTGTTTTCTTTCCCTTCTGAGGACCTATGGTTGTGTTTGGTACACCTGGACATGGTGTAAAAGTTCCTGGTGGGGGAGGGTTCCCCTTCATGGGCTTTGCTGGGTGGAGAGGCAGGAGCCAGAATGTCATCAAGCTCTTCTTCCTTCCCCAGAGTGCATGAGCTCAGAGTTACTAGAGGAGCTGATGTCCTCAGAAGGTGGGTGGCCCAGAAAGGTAGGGGGTAAGTGGCCCAGGAAGGTGGGTAGTGGGTGTGGACAGGGGGTTAGATGGCTGTTGGGTGAGGCCTTGGCCTCAGGACTCAGCTTGGTACTCTCTACAGTGTTTGCCCCCCTTCTCCGCCTTTCACCACCCCCCGGAGACCACGATTACATCTACAACCTGGATGAAAGTGAAGGTGTCTGTGACCTCTTTGATGTGCCTGTTCTCAACCTCTGACTGATGGGGACATGCCTTGTGTGGCTGGGACACAGACTGTAACCTGAGGGCTGCTTGGGGACCTCCCCACATCTCACCCCTACACACAGCTTGAGAGCCACAGACTCCTGGCTTCCCCAACCTTCCCTCACTACTCGGTTCTGGCCACAACTCCCACTCGTGCACCAACACCTGTATTGTGCTGGGAGAGCAGGGGAAAGGGGCTCAGCTCCCTCCATGGTGGAGCCAAAATATTTCTCTCCTTTTCTGGAACCTTCCCTCACCTTGTGTCCTCCCTGAGCCCAGGCTCTGCTGCCACCCAGTGTCACTAAATGAGGACCCATATTCACTCCATAGGGCAGTTTGTCTACCCCCCTTGTCCTGTTCCTGCCAGCTCCTCCCCATCCCAGGAGGGAAGCTGGGGTGGAGCTGGGCACTTGTCAGCATCATTTCTAGCCTCCTTCACTTGACCCTACCGCTCCTCCTGGACCTCTCCTGCCCCCCTTCTGCCTGGCCCTTAGCCCTGACAACCTGTGGGTGGTGTTGGGTGGGGATGCTAACAGGAATAGAGCTAAAGCTGGGCAGGTGAGTCCCTGGGGATTGGCCCAGTCTCCTACTGCCCTATAGCCCCTCTCTTGTTTATTCATTTATCCTCATTTAGAGCCATTTACAGAGATTTAGAAAGATTTGCAGTAACGAATGGATTCCTATATAAAGATTATTTTTATACTTTTTTCAGCAAAAGGAAATTGTAATATTTGTACAGTGTCCAAGTGAATAAAGATCGTGCCTAAGGCTATCTGTGGTCTGGTTCTTTCCGGTCCCCTCCCTGGGACTGCTGGATTGGTGGTGGGACTTGGGTGGGTCCTTGCTGTAACAGGAGGTGTGGCTGGTGGAGCCTGCAGCCCGCCCTCCCTGCCCCCACCTGCCGCACCTTGGGGCGGGGCGGGGCCACTTCAGGGCGGGACAGGGGTGGTGCTGTCCTACCCCCAACCCCCTCCAACCCGGAACTAACCTCGGCTCCCTCTGGAAGGCCGCGGTACCTAGCAGGAGTGGGCACCTGGGCAGTGAGTGTGGGCCACGGGCGTCAAGCCACGGACAGAGGGACGCCCTCATTGTCCCCAGGGGCCCAACCCGGTGCACCCTCGGCAGGAGGTTGCAGGGTTTGGAAGGTACAGGCGTCCCTCTCCAGCTGGACCATGGCGCCCCCACGGGAGGTGGTGAAGATTGCTGTTCAGAAGCCTGGCGCCATCCCGCAGCTCATCCAGCTGGACCAGGTAACCCGGCCTGTCCGGCCAACATCCACCCCACTGCCCACCTCTGGATCGCTCCCTTCTTCTTGAAACAGCCCACCCTACCCCTTCCCCAGATTTCCCCCCAACTCTTCCCCACTCCTGGCCCCTTGAGTGACCTCTTCACTTGCAGGCTAAGCCCCTGGCCGCTGTGCTGAAAGAGGTGTGCGACGCGTGAGTGCAGGCCTGTCCTGTCAGGCCAGGGGAGTGGAGGAAGGGCGGGGGTTGGGGGAGGCCCTTACCTGCCTCACTGCGCCTCTTCTGCCCGCAGGTGGAGCCTAGCTCACTCTGAGCACTATGCCCTGCAGTTTGCTGATGGGCACAGGAAATACATCACTGAGAATGTGAGTTCTCTTTCCCCTTTAGTCCCTTCTAATTCCTTACCCTGATTCCTCAGACTCATCATTCTATTGGATTGTGATCTTTTATTGAGTTCCAAATCCTCCTTCATTGACAATCCCTAATGAACCTATCCTTAGAGCCCTTCTTGACTTCTCTTTTTTGTCTTCTCCAGAACCGCTCAGAGATCAAGAATGGCAGTATCCTATGCCTCAGCACTGCCCCAGTAATGTCCTTTCTGGCCCCACCCTCATTCCCTGCCTTACTGCCTTTGCCTCCTCTCTTCCTCTGTGCCCGTCCCCAGGTCTGGAGGCCCCAGTCACATTCCTGCAGTGCTCCACCTAGTGGACACCCAGGTCCCACCTCCAGTTCCCACTCCTTACCTCCACCCAACCTCCTCACCTTTGCTTTTGCTCCTGCCCCTGCCAGGACCTTGAGGCTGAGCAGCTGTTGGGTGGGCTGCAGAGTGGGAGTCGTGAAGGGCGCCGGGAAGCCCTGCAGCACCTTGTCCTGTTGGCCCCAGACATGACCTTTGCCCAGGAAGTCATCAGCCGTGATGGGCTTCAGAAGCTAGGCACCATCATTGAGGAAGGGGATGAGTGAGCATCAGGCTATGGTGGGTGGTGGACATGGTGAGGCTGGGGGCCCTGGTTTGGCCCTGCTCAGCCCCAGATGTCCTCCCAGCCTAGGAGAGGTGCTGGCCCTTGCACTGCAGGTCTTCTTGGAGCTCATGGAGCATGGCGTGGTGTCCTGGGAGACGCTCAGTATCCCCTTTGTTAGGAAGGTGGGTGGGCTTTTCTAGGGACAGCAGGTAGGGGCATTGGGGTGGTGTTAGGATTTGGCCATCCATGCTGGTCAAGTGGTGACAACCCCTACCCCTCTCACAGGTGGTATGCTATGTGAACATGAACCTGATGGACGCATCGGTGCAGCCCCTGGCTCTCAGGCTGCTGGAGAGTGTAACTTTGAGCAGCCCCGCCCTGAGCCAGCTAGTTAAGAGTGAGGTGCCACTGGATAGGCTGCTGGTGCATCTACAGGTGTAGGTGTCTGGAAGTGGGATACAGATGAGGAGAGCAGAGCCAGATCCTGGATGGCCAATTGAGTCCTCTTCTTGTCCCAGGATGAACCAGCAGCTGCAAACCAAGGCCATGGCACTGCTAACAGCCTTGCTGCAGGGGGCCAGCCCTGTTGAACGTAAGGTGGGTGTCCATCTGGTGGATGGATGAGGGGCAGGAGCTGGTGAGCACTGTGTTGCACCTTGGGCCTACAGGGTGGGTGCTCATGGTGGGGCTACATTATCTAAAACCCCTTCCCACACACCCTTAGCACATGCTTGACTACCTATGGCAAAGACAACTTCGCCAGTTCATCTATAAGGTAGGAAGCACTGGGCCAGGAATATCCCCTCCCCACTCCTCCTTTCCTAGTGAATTCACTTATACTCATGGACTGGCTGTCCTTCAGAATATCATTCATAGCGCAGCACCACTGGGTGACGAGATGGCTCACCACTTGTATGTACTGCAGTCTCTTACACTGGGGTTGCTGGAGCCACGCATGAGGATGCCACTGGACCCCTGCAGCCAGGTGGGTACCTTTGGGTGCACAGGCTGGAGGCACCTGAAGCTTGGCCTTAAATCTGTGATTGTGACCACTCCTCAAATAACTCCCAGGAGCAGCGGGAGCAGCTGCAGGCCCTGCGCCAGGCTGCCTTTGAGCCAGAAGGGGAGTCCCTCAGTGCTGGCCTGAGTGCTGACCGTCGCCGTTCCCTCTGTGCCCGGGAGTTCCGAAAATTGGGCTTCTCCGTGAGTGGACCTTACCCAGCTCCTCACCCCTGCTTCAACCCAGGCTGCTGTTGTTCCAGAGGGCTGCAGCCCTTCCTTAGCTGCCTGTCTCCCTTCTCCCAGAATAGCAACCCTGCACAGGACCTAGAGCGCGTGCCCCCCGGCCTGCTGGCCCTGGACAACATGTTCTACTTCTCCAGACATGCACCCAGTGCCTATAGCCGGGTCAGTGTTGGGGAGTAGGTAAAGCAGAACGCCTACCTACGCAGGGTCCCCGTGGGCTTAGTCATGACTCCCTGCCCATTTTTTGCTCCTACGACCCAGTTTGTTTTGGAGAACAGCAGTCGTGAGGATAAACATGAGTGCCCCTTTGCCCGGAGCAGCATCCAGCTGACTGTGCTGTTGTGTGAGCTGCTCCATGTTGGGGAGCCCTGTGAGTGGGATTGGGCACAGTGTGCCTGGGAACGGGGAACGGAAGGGCAGAGAGGGCCAGGGGCTTCGCATACTTTCTCCCTGAGCCCCTCCTGCCCCCCTGCTCCAGGCTCCGAAACAGCCCAGGACTTTTCACCCATGTTCTTCGGCCAAGACCAGAGCTTCCACGAACTCTTCTGTGTAAGCATTCAGCTGCTGAATAAGACCTGGAAGGAGATGCGGGCTACACAGGAGGACTTTGACAAGGTGGGTGGGTGGGAGCTGGGAGACCTGGGCCAGGGCAGGGGACTATGCAGGGTAAGGCCCCAGAGCTCAGACCCTGAACTGAGCTTGGGGTGGCCCTAGGTCATGCAAGTGGTCCGGGAGCAGCTGGCCCGAACACTGGCCCTGAAGCCCAGCTCCCTGGAGCTCTTCAGAACCAAGTTGAATGCACTTACCTATGGGGAGGTGCTGCGACTGCGGCAGACTGAGCGGATGCATCAGGAGGGCACACTGGCCCCTCCCATACTGTGAGTTGGTGGGGACAGATGGATCCCAGTCCTAGCCCTCACTTTCCCTGGTGCCCCACAGACTTTGTCCCAGGTCATTTTGGTCAGCAAACCTCTTCCCCCAACCCAGGGAGCTTCGGGAGAAGATGAAGCCAGAGCTCATGGGCCTAATCCGCCAGCAACGTCTGCTCCGTCTCTGCGAGGGAACACTCTTCCGCAAGATCAGCAGCCGGAGGCGCCAGGGTTGTTGAGTGGGCAGGGGGGGTAGATGTCTAGCTTGGGGTCAGGGCCCCTCTCATCACTTCTTCCCTTTTCCCCTTGTTGCCCATAGACAAGCTGTGGTTCTGCTGCCTGTCCCCCAACCACAAGGTGCTGCAGTACGGGGATGTGGAGGACAGTGCCAGTCAACCTGCCCCTGAGAGCCTCCCAGAGCAGCGTAAGGAGGGCAGGGGCAGGGATAGGATACCTGCTTCCCCAGATCACCCCATACACTGGGATGCCTGAGGCCCCAGTGGTTATCCCAGACTTCTCTCAGTCCCAGTGGCTGACATCAGGGCGCTACTGACCGGCAAGGACTGCCCCCATGTCCGTGAGAAGAGCTCAGTGAAGCAGAACAAGGTGAGGGCAGAGGGGGCCTGGGGGCTCCTTTCCACCTGCCCTGCCCTGCTCCCTGCTCAGTGCTCCCGATTCCCTTGCCTCCCCAGGACCTCTATGAGTTAGCTTTCTCAGTCAGCTATGACCACGGAGAGGAGGAGGCATACCTCAACTTCATTGCCCCCTCTAAACGGGAGGTGAGTGTCTGGGCAGACTGAGCTGAATTGGGCAGATGGGCAGGGGAAGAGACTGGCAGGTTCTCATGGAGCCGTCCCTGTCCCCAGTTCCACCTGTGGACAGATGGGCTGAGCATTCTGCTGGGCAATCCCATGAGCAGTGAGCAGACAAGGCTGGACCTGGAGCAGCTGATGACCATGGAGACCAAGCTACGCTTGTTAGAGCTGGAGAATGTGCCCATCCCTGAGCAGCCACCCCCTATACCCCCGCCCCCCACCAACTACAACTTCTGCTATGACTGCAGCATCATTGAACCTTGACACATTAGCCAAGGGCCACAGCTGCTGCCATTGTGGTGACCATGAGGGGTGAAGTATGCAGAAGTACAGATACCCAGATCAGTGGAGGCCGCAGCAGAAATAAAGTCTGCTTGGTTCTTAGTATGTGTCGAGCCAGCTGTGAACCCTGTAGGTCAAGCCTGCCTTCAAACTGAGTTTGCACATGAGATATGGGGCATCAGGCCAGGGCCACAAACTGAGGCAACTACAGCTGAGGGGCTTGTCCTTCCTCAGGATGAGTCCTCAGCCTCCCTCGGTGCTGGGCCTGCAGAGAGGGATGACCTATTTGGGGGGCACCAACGAAGAGAGTGCTAGTGCTATCAGCCAGGTGAGGGAGAAGCAGCAGGGCAGGAGGCATTGCCCTAGGTGATGTCTTCCTGGTCAACATTAACAGGGCCCTAGTCTGGGAGCCATGTTTCCAGAGGCTCCTGAGAGTCTGAACCTTGCTTGGCCTGCTGTGTGTCCTTTGCAGGACTTGGAGGCCCTCTGGTGAAAGGTAGGAAAGAAGAGATGTGAAGTTGGGCTTGCTTTGTGCTGAAGGGCAGACTTAAGATTCCAGAAGACATCCTCAAGTAGTGAGAGGATATTCTGACAAAAGGGAATTTAGTGCAGGAAGCCTGAATTCTGACTAAAACCCATTACAGGAGGGTGGGATGAGGGCCACAGGCAGGCCAGAGCCCCTGGGATCAGAACTGGCTAGGGGTATTGGGCCTAGCTGGAGGTCACGCTCAGAGGCTATGGTCATGGACCCCAAGCCTCTGAGGCAAAGAGCACACCCGCCCATGGAGACAGTCTGAAAGCTGCCCACCACCCTCTGACCTTTTCCATGCCTCTCGTACCTCTTTCCCAATGCCTCCTCAAATATCTTTTTAAACAATGTTTACCATCAACATATTACCTTGAAAAGTGATGAAATGACATCTCCTCTGGAGTATGTGCTCAGCCTCGCCTCCCCCAGTTATGCTTCTGACTCAGGCACCCAGAGACTTACTTCCCACCACAGTTGGAATAGTCTGCTGTTGAGTTCAAGGTGGAAATGGGGGTAGAGATCCCAAATGCTGTTAAGTCTCCCAATATTCCTTCTCAGTGGTCCAGTCCTTTGTGCAGGCCACTACCATCTTGACAAAAACCTCCTGACTTCTGCCTCCAGTCTTGCCCCTCCAGTTTCTCAACACCTTTCTTTCTTTTTTTTTATCCTCACCTGAGGACATTTTTGCATTTATCGTCAGACAGAATGGGAGGGAGGAAGGAAGACGGAGAGAAACATTGATGCGAGAGAGACACATTGAGTGGCTGCCACCCACACGACCCCACCCAGGGCCGGGGACAAACTGCAACCGAGGTACGTGCCCTTAGCGGGAACTGAACTCGGGACTCTGGTCCACAGGCTGCCGCTCTAACCTCTGAACCAAATCGGCCAGGGCCCAGCTACTTTCTTAAACGTGAAGCTGATCCAATCACACACACTACCCCCATCCTGTATTCTTCAGTGTCTCCCTATTGTCCAGGTGATAATGGTCATGGCACCGTGATGAGTAGAATTGAGGTGGATTGCAGACATGTGGTTTAGGCCTTCCAGTAGAGTGCCTGTGGCTTGCAGGGTTCTTGGTGCTTGGTCCATCCTGGCATCCTCCCTGTACCCTGTTGGGGCCTGGACCCCCAACCCCCAGTGCCAGCTTTGGCCTGCCATGTGCACCTCTCAGCCCCTTCTGCCTGATTGTCCCCTTCTCTCTCTTCTCATTTTTTCACTGCCTTGAGTCCTTCCTTGACCTCCCAGGCTGAGTTCATTGCTCCCTAGGTTCCTGGTCCCAGATGCCTGTGTCTCTATTTGTGTACACCCTGCACACTGGGCTGTTCCTGCCTGTTGGATGATTTGCCTCCCCAACTGCCCTGGAGGTTAGGAGAACTTCATAACCTCTGAATCCCCACATTAAGCAGGCACTCAAGCAGCCCAGCTGGCTACTACTAGAACTGATGAACAGATACATGGACAGAGTGTAGGTGGATATATGGAGGGCCAGAGAGCCAGACTCTCAGGACTGCTGTTGAGAATTCACTGGTACTGTTTAAGAGGTTGGACTAATTGACCTCTAATAACCTTCCCTAACCCAGAAATGCTTTTTGCTATCCTCTTTCTTGTCCTTTTAGTCCCCCTGAAGACAACCACATGGACTCCCGGCATCATTAATCAGTGTGTTCCTGGGGTCTGGCTGGGCCTAGTGCATACAGATGTGCCTTTGCTGTAGGACCTACCTGGGAGCTTATGCTGGGAGAGGCCTCCAGACTTTTGGAGTCTTCCACTATATGGGGAAGAAGCTGGGACCTGCTAGGGGATCCTGTGGGGCTTTGGGCCACACCTAAGGAAGTTGTCTAGTGTTTCCTTCATTGTCCCTGGGCTGGGCTGCTTCAACTGAAGTGGAGGAGGGGGATGGGCCCTTTAGTCTGAGAACTTCAGATAAGGAGGTGAAGTCTGGAATTTTTAATCTTATTTGGGTTTACAATGAAGACTGTTGCTTGCTGCTAAAGTTCAGTGTTGGTAGAGGACTGGGGGAGCTCTTCTGGACCACAGGTCAAAGCTCTAACCGCTGAGCCAAACCGGCCTGGGCATGGGGGAGCTCCTATAAGGAACAAAGTGGAGCACAGGGAGAAGTGGGCAGAGCAAGAGGCACGGGGTCTGCTCCTCCCCAGCATCAGACCCAGCCACCTGTGGGCCTGGGGCTTCCGGACCCAGGCCTGGTCAGGAGAGCAGGGGCTGGCATTTCCAGGGGCCTGCGGCAGTCACGTAGCTAAAAGCCCTGTTGGACTGTGGGGCAGGCTGGGTAGGAAACACACAGGGCTGCCCTGGATTAGTCCACCTCCAGTCCTAGCAAAGGTACTTATAGCTTGGGGAAGGGGCTCTGGGGTATGTAGCAGAGGGAAACAGGAGGCAATGAGTCGAACTCCAGGTCAAAAAGCCAGGGCTAGGGACTATGGAGGCTGAGCTACAGGGCTGCTTACTGACCTGGCCTCAGAGCGTTAGGGTCAGGTCAGCCCCTCCCACGAAGCGGGACTGGATGCAGGTCACCTGGGGCAGTTGGACTTGGAATCGCCTGACAGCAGCCATGCTAATACCAGGGCACATAGCAACATCTAACATCTGGATCTGCTTGCACGCCTGCCCAATGGTATCCAGTGTTCTGCAGGGAGGACAAAGTGTGAGTGCCTGACTTGATGTGGGGCCCCAGCCCAGCCCAGCCCAGCCCAGCCCAGCCCCTGCACTGTGGCATCATTGGACACACTCACTGCTCTGTGAGCTGACTGCAGCTGGACAGGTTGAGGTGCTGCAGCCTTGGCCAGGAGCTGGCTGCCTGGGCCCAGCCCTCATCACTGAGGAGGCTGCAGTGACTCAGTGCCAAGCGCTCCAGGCTAGGGCAGCCCCTGGCCACAGCCACCAAGCCCTTGTCTGTGAGTGCTGGCAACAGGCTCAGTGACAGCTGCCTCAGCTGGGGAAACTGGAGCACCTGCAAGGATGGGGGTGTGGGGATGGAGTATAGTATGGCACAGGGCCAGGGCTCTTCTAGGTTCTTCCACCCCAGCCAAAGGAGAGGCCATAGGCAACAGAAGCCAGTGAGAAAGGAATTTTTTCCAAGCAAAATGTGGGTCGGCTCAGACCCCTGACTCAAGCCCCAGGATCTTCAGCCTATCCACACCACCAGTCCCACACCTTTGCCAAGCTGGTATCAGTCAGCTTGCTGCAGGCTGTGAGGTCCAACTCCTGCAGGGCCTGCAGCATGAGCAGGGAGGGGCCCTGTGGCTGGGGAGAAGAGTCCTTAGGGCCTGAGGCGTGATCCTCCAGCTCTTGGTGTAGCTGTGGGAAGAAGCCCTGCTTCTCAGCTTCCGAGTTTGGCCCTCAGGTGCTCAGAGAGAGAGAGAGAGAGAGAGAGAGAGAGAGAGAGAGAGAGAGAGACACTCAGGAGGGGCAGGAGGACAGGTAAGCCCCACCCTCCGTAACCTCAAGGGTCCCACACCTGGGCTCCTTGTGCTGGCTCCTCACGTGGTTCCCCCAGCCCCAGAAGCCCCCAGTCACGAAGCTCCTTACACCAGGCCAGGCGCAGGACTAAGAGAGGAGTAAGGTAAGTGCAGATGGTTTGCAGGGTCCGATTGGTGAGGGCCACACAAGAGGATAAGTCTAGCACCCTGAGACTTGGTCCCAGCGCTGGGATCAGGGAGAGCACTGAGGTGTCCTAGGAGGAAAGTGGAGAAGGGAGAGAGCAATGGAAAGATGGCTTGTGCTTGTCACCATACTTGGCAAGGGTCACTAGGAAGGTTCCGGCCCCATAGGCAACAGGGAGCTGTCCAAGGTTCAAGCCCCACAGGCAATAGGGAGCTACCAAGGGTCCATGGAGGGAAGCAATACTGTCCCTGTGCTGGTGAAAGGTCAGAGTGGACAGAATGAGCCACCAGGGATAGGACACCAGGATGAGTTTGCTGGAGGATAAAGGCCTAGATTGGCTGAGGCAGAAAAGATGCAGGTGGAAATTTCCAAGGTAGGTGTCTGCCCTGATTGTGCTTCCAGTCCCTGCTGAAGGGGTAGGTTGAGGCTAGCCTCTGACCACAGCTTATTGGAGTAGTGGTGGCCAACTGACCTAACTGACACCATCAGATACACTTCCTCTAGATTTTGAAGCAGAACTGTGAGGTCACAGTGGATGTAGGGTTGCCACCTGGCAGAAGCAGTGGTGGTTGGGGAACAGGAGCTAAGGGCAGAGTAGAGGAAACTGGTTTGTAGAAAGATGCAGACACAAGAATGTGAGGCTCCGGAGAGTCCAGCTAAGAGACAGTGGCAAAAAGAAGATGGAGTGGGGCAGGGGAAGAGGCATTTGTGGAGAAAAGGTTGAGAGATGGTTTTCAGGGTGGGAATACCCTGGTCACATTGACAGATTGAAAGAATGACCCACTAAAGAAGACTGACCTTGCCAAGGCAGGGATGCCACCCAGAGGGGCAGGGCTGAGCCCTATTGAAGAGACTGGCTTCAGGCAAAAAGTGAACCTCAGTGTCCCTTCTCCACAAGGCTCAGTTCTGTCACCTCCTTTCATCAGCCCTCCTTGCCTCCAGAACACCCGCTTTCAGTGCCCCCTCTCCAGACTGCAGTGGTCAATGAACACTTGGCATGCCAGGTGTAGGTTACCTCGTGGGCTGAGCCACCCCAGCCTCTTGAACCTCCCTTTACCTGAGCCCACAGAGGGAGCTGCTGGGAAGAGTGCTGGCAGCTGCACTGTCTTGTCTAGGCTCCTTTCCCCTTCCAGACTGTGTCCCAAGTTCAGATCTGACTACTACTCCTTGGACACAAACACTGGGCAGTTCCTCCCTGGTGCCACACATCCAGTTCCCCAGCCCCCAGCCCTGGTGTGGAAGAAAGGGGATGGTAGGCTCACCTTGAGTGAGGAGCAGTAGGCCAGGCTGAGGGAGGCCAGTGGGGGTGGAGCTCCGCAAACTGAACCCAGGGCCTGGGCCAATTCCTGTCCACTCACTAGACAGCACTCAGCCATATCAAGGCTCTGCAGCTCCCGGAGGCCCCCCAGGGCTGTACATCCTGCATCCGTCAGCCGCCGCAGCTTTCTCAGGCTCAGGTGCCGCAGGTGCCGCAGGCCCCGGCTCACGGCCAAGAGTGCCCTGTCAGCCAGTTCTGAGCAGCCGCTGAGGTCCAGGGAGGTAAGGCCTGGTTGCTGGCGGCAAAGGGCAGCCACAGCCTCCGTGGAGAGGTCCCGGCAGCTGTGCATGCTCAGCTCCTGCAGCTGTAGCCCGGCCACCTGGCCCAGGGCCTGCAGGGCCTCAGGTGGCAAGCCAGTGCCACTCAGGTCCAGGGCACGCAGGCTACCAGCCCGCTCCTTCACAAATCGCAGCAGGTTGTGGAAGGAGAGTTGGGAAGGGGAGGAGTCCTGGGGGCCAATGGAGCCCCAGGCTGAGCCTAGCTCAAAGGTGAGATGACAGTAAGCCAAGGAGAGGCGCTCTAGGCTGGGGGTACAGCTGCTTAGCTGGTTGAAGCTGAGGTCGGCCAGGTCTCGCAGGCCAGCCAGGTTGAGCTCACGGAGGCCGCTCAGTGCCTGCTGGACCTGCTGTGCCATCTTGGGTTGAGCTAGCAGCATGCCTGAAGCAAAGAGACTGTTGCAGCCACTGAGGTCAAGGCTACGCAGGGCTGGGCAGCTGAGGATCAGGGCCACAAAGGAAGCCTCTGTTGGGCTGCCCCCACTGAGGCACAAGCTCTGCAGGTGGGGGCCCAGGTGGTAGGCAATAGACTGCAACACCTGGTGTGAAGTTGGTGAGCCATCCAGGTTGGTCAGGTTGATGCAGGAGATGCCCCAGAGGCCCAGGCTCTTGATGGCTGGGAGGGAGGCCGAAGACATAGGGATATTGTACCGCACCTTTTCCTAAAGGGCAGCAGGTCTGCATTAGCCCTCTGGCCTCAGAGGGTGTTGGACATCAGGTCTGGTGACAAGTTGTTAGTTAGAGGTTGAAGGCAGGTCAGAGAAGGGCCCTTCTACAAGGGACACCCACTGTGGTATGTGATGTCATGTGTGGTTAGGGGGGTGCTGGTGGGAATTGGGAGCTGGGAGGACAAGTCATACTGGGGCTCAAGGGGATGGATGATTGACAATAAGGGGAGGGTAGGAAGATTAGTGATGGATGGGTCTGGATGCCAATGGAGTCCCGTGGGAAGTGGGGAGTTGGCATGCAGGATATAGAAGGGTTGGTGGGTGGCCTTGAGGAGACCTAGCAAAGCCTCCAGGGAGCTGAAGGACAAATTATGCTGGACCCCAACCTTTGGGACTTTCAGAAGGTGGCCCTGAGACCCATGGGCTCAGCCCTTGGCCTTAGCTAAACCACCAGTCTCCCCTACTTTCTCGAGACCATATAAATAGCCCTTAGAGCCCTGGCCGGTTTGGCTCAGCGGCTAGAGCGTCAGCCTGTGGTCCAGAGAGACCCAGGTTCGGTTCCCACTATGGGCACATACCTCGGTTGCAGTTTATCCCTGGTTCTGGTTGGGTTGTGCGGGTGGCAACCACTCGATGTGTACCTTTCACGTTGATGTTTCTCTCTCTCTCTTTCTCTCTCCCTCTCTCTCCCTCCCACTCTATCTGAACAAAAAACGAAAAAATGTCCTCGGCTGAGGATAAAAATAATAAAAATAGATAAATAGCCCTTAGAACAGCTGAAGGTGGGAAGAGGGTAAGGCAGGTTTCACTCACCACAACCCACTGTGGCTCAGATGCCAGAGGTCTGGGGCAGGCAGTAAGATTGAGATCCCTGGTGGCTTCAGTGTCTCGGCCACATGAATGTTTGCAAAAATGAATTTTGTGTATAAGTGAAAATGTGTGCATGCATGCATGTGTATGTGTGCATGCACTAACACATGTGAGCTCCACAGGCTCCAGAGTTCAAGATATGCTTGTGATGCCTGAGGCTCATCTCTGGAAGGTTTGTCTTATCCAGGTAAGGAAGGAGAAGACTCCATTTCTGGGGGCAGGAACTAAGAGAATGAATCTCAGAGGTGCCAAGGAAGTTGATCTGGCCCTGCTGTACAGGAACAGGGGAGCAGACAACTGGAGGGAGGTAGGCAGGAGGCCTGCTCAGGGCTAAGTCATTGTGGGAATAAGTTGGTTTGTGCAGGAGTTTGGAGAGCCCCCAGCTAAGGAAACCTAACCTTGTGCCAGAGGGAGCCAAAGGGTAGTTGGTACAGGTCTTTATGAAACAGGTCTGTGACCCTGGCCAGTTTGGCTCAGCAGTTGGAGCATTGGCCTGTGGACCAGAGAGTCCCGGGTTTGGTTTCCGCTAGGGGCACATACCAAAGAAAAAAAGAAAGAAACAGGTCTGTGATGGGAGGGAGAAGAGGCTTGGCTTCTAAAATCCTAGCTCTGTTTCTCTACCCTTGAGGATGCCCAGGTTGCAGGCAAGTAGTACTCAAAGGCTCTTGTCTTAATGTATCAACGCAATCCTGATGCAGGAAAGCAAGTTCCCTGGAAAACCTGCCCTGTCAGCAACTGTAATAACAAGCTTATGTTCCCTGCTGTACCCTACAGAACATAAAGGGGAAGCAGAAAGGTAGAACTGACACATAATATGCACTCCTGCAAGATACCTATCAACAGGATCCTCCCAGGAAGACACACAAAACTCATCCCCAGGGGTGGAGAAACAGCCTGGCTTCTGCCAGAGAGAAGCAGCCATCAATAGCATGGCTGTCATCACGGGAAGGAGTAAGTGGTAAGTGATGGAGACCAGCTCTTGGCTGCTTCCACAGGAATTGTGGGTCAACCAGATTCCCTTTCTACACCCCACTGAACATGGTCATTATGGATGAGAGGAGCACTCCCCACATATCCCTTTGTGGACACTGGGACACAGTGGGGTAGTGGGGATTCCCAAAGACCTGGGTCCCTCTCTCAGATTTAATGAGAGATGGGGAACATCCCAGTGTGAGGGTGGGGAGAGGGATGAAAAGATCAGGGAGGAAAGATTTTAGAAAGGCAAGGTAAAGCAGGCCTCCAGCCATTTCAAAGCCCTGCATGCCAGATGAGCCAATCTGATGATGCATGGGATGAACTATGGCTGGGGGACTGCATAGCCTGCTGACTGCCCAGGCAGCACCTGCCCCCTAAGTCACATGCCAGCTCCCTCTGCCTTCAGTCTTCCTTCTTGACCTTCCTTCCTGAGCCTAGGGTGTCAGGAATGTTCTCTCCTCTCCCACTGCCTCCCTATAAACAGGTAGACAAACAGCTGAGGGAAGGCACTGGCAGTAAGCCCAGGGTCCAAGTTCAGGGCTGGTGGGTAGCAGCAAAAGCCACTGGATAAAGGGGTAGGGCCTGGCCTAAAGGACTTCTAGCTCACCCACCTCCCTGCTGTCCACTATTTTTCTTGGTGGGGAGGGGGCAGCATCTAAGTCATCACCTAAGTGGTCCGGCCTAGACTCAAAGGCAGGAGCCCAGGAGCAGCCTTTTAGGGATATAATCTGGGGTTGGGGGGTAGAGCAGCAGGCAGAAGGAGCAGGCTCTTAGGTCCTTGTGTTTGGCCCTAGTATAGTAAAGCTCTCCTCCTTGGGCCCTAGGAAGATGCTTCTAGAGGCTCAAGAGAGGACTGCAAGGGAACCTACTCCAATTTTAGCCACCCTATCCACAGAGGGGCCAACTAGCCCCTGGTTTCCTCCCAATGCTGGTATCTTTTTTTTTTTTTCTTCTTCCTTCCCAATCTGTGTATCTTTTCTTTTCTCTTCTTTTTTTTTTATCCTCACCCGAGGATATTTTTCCATTTTTTTGTACAGATAGAGTGGGAGGGAGAGAGAGGAAGGGAGAGAGAGTGAGAAACATCGACGTGAAGGGACACATCGAGTGGCTGCCACCCGCACGACCAACCAGGGCTGGGGACAAACTGCAACCGAAGTACGTGCCCTTAGCGGGAACCGAACCCGGGTCTCTCCGGACCGCAGGCCGACGCTCTAACTGCTGAGCCAAACCGGCCAGGGCCCAATGCTGGTATCTTAAGAGTAAATGCAAAGTCAGGAAATGCCCTACATCTGCTAAAAGTGCCACATGTGCCTTGTGAGAGGCCAGGATTTTGTTGTACCTACTGAAGCCTGAGCTGAGGCTCCAGGCCTCAGTGTGCAGACTTGGAGAGCCATCTGACAGAGAAATGGCCCTCTGTCTTCTGGTACAGGAACCCAAAGCTAACACACATGTTCTCTAGAGGACCTTTGAGAAAACAGGCCCTGGAACCCAGGGCTTTGGTCTCTAGAGAGGAGTTAGACTTTAAGTCTTTAACACCCAAGACGGGGGCAGAAGCTGAGATGTTCTGAGTGCCTCACAGTGATCAATCCAGCAGCAGGCAATCAGCCCCCAGCCCCAGGAAGAGGCAGAGCCTGGGTGTATGTTGGGGTGCTGCCTTTGTCTACTTTCTTATTTGAGAAAAACTGGGATTAAGTGGAGCAGGTCAGAGAGAATAAGAAATCAACTGAGTCCAGCATCCTAGCCTGGCCTGGTGAGCCACAGGCCCTACATTGGCCTTGGTGAGCCAGAATCTTCTATAGCACCTACTAGCTGGGGCACTACCTCCTTATCAACCTGTCCATACCTGGGTCCTGGAAGATGGTTCCTGCCAATAGGGTCTTGCAGATTGCTCTCTGGGACATGGTGGTGGTAGGATGTCAGCAGGGCCCTAGATGCCCTGGTACCTGTGGCCTGGACTCCAAGTGCCCTCAGCCCAGGGAGGGCTGAGTTCTTCAGAAGCACTAAATGGGTCTTTGTCAATGTTCTATCTGGAACAGCCCCAGCACTAAAATGGTGGACTCTAAAATCCTGAACTCTAACCCTGGCCTCTTCTTCCCTTACTCCTTTATTCCCATTCCAGTCTCATCTATACCCCAGGGCCTGACTGCCCACTTTGCTTCTTCTGCCCTCTCCTTCTTTGCTGGACTCCAACAGATCTCTCCCCTGATTATATCTCCCTAGGAGTCTCATGGCCCTGCCCATTATGCTGCTGCACCCATTTTGCTTGCTCCCTGCCTGGCCAGGGATGGTGAGACCACTGTCTCCCCTGGGTATGTGCAGGGGATACAGAATTCTGTGCTGAGGAAGCCATCCATGGTCTCCCCTTACTCGCACTGTCAGCACTAGCCTGCTCCACTCCTACCACCCAGTTCTCTTCTCATTCCTTTTGAGATTTCTCTCCAGGCCCACTATCTTCTCCAGCCCCTGAGGCTACTGTGGCACCCTCCCTCACTCCAGCCTTCTCAGGGGTGACCTGCTCTATTTCCAAAATAAACCAATGCCATTAGTTGGGAAGGCCCTCCCTTTGTCAGATTCACCAGCCCACTCCTGGCAGGACCAGTTCTAACCTCCTTCCCTCTCCTACTCTTGAGTTCAAGGTAACTCTCTTCTCCTGGTCTAGGGAGTCTGTCCCCCACCTTCTCCTCTGAGAACCCTGCAGTTTCTGCCTTTCTACTGTTCCTTCCCCAGAGTCCACAGACACCCCAGAGTCTTTTTTTTTTTTTTTTTGCATTTATCTTTAGATAGAGCAGGAGGGAGAGAAGGAGGAAGTGACAGAGAAACATCGTCGTGAGAGAGACACATCGAGTGGTTGCCACCCACATTACCCCAACCGGGGCCGGGGACAAACTGCAACTGAGGTATGTGCCCTTAACCTGAACTGAACCCGGGTCTCTCTGGTCCATGGACCGACGCTCTAACCGCTGAGCCAAACCAGCCATGGCGACACCCCAGACTCTTAAACAACAAAAAGCCTCCCTTGATCCTGCACCCCCTCTTCTCACCTCTCCTATTTCTCCCCTTCCCTCCACAGTCACACTTCTTGGAAGTGCATGGGCACACCCACACCCGCTGTGGCCATTTATTTACCCCTTGCTTCACCCATTTACCTC